TGGATTTTCCAACATGTAAATGGGATAACGAGTACCTTCCTATGCTCGCACGAGTGGGACACCACTTTGCGTTGACTTTCAGCATATCAACAATATTGCTGGCTATCATTATGTCAAGGCGCTCTTCCCCCTCAAACCCAGCTTAAATATACGCTCCAAGCCTGGTGGTGTTTCATTCAGACGCTGTCTTTCCGACAGACCTGTTCTTCACCTGAGGACGGCTGCTTGCGTTGTGGCCGAAACGTCGTGAGAATTATTTAATTGTTTTATTTTTATTGTTTTATTATTTCCCTTCTACGTGACTTTACCGAAAGAACCAAGAAGATATCAACAATGGTTATAAACCAAAGGGGTGAAGTGTGGGTGCAGTCGTTTGTACGTTGTTGCATTGGTGAATATTTCCCTTCGGAACCATTTTTGGCAAAACTGGACTGAACAGCTCCATCACCAGTGATAGGGAAAACTGCCCACGCCATGGATTTTGCCCGTTGTGTCAACAGGCGAATGTGTACTGGTTCACATTCCCACGTGCACATCACACGAACAGAAAGCAGCGAATATAAGGCTCATTAGCAAGACCTTACGATTTTAGCCCGGAGGTCACAATAATTGTGAAATCTTGGCACTGGCGGCAGAAACACACTGGATTAGGCGTTTCCTTTTTATTTTTTTAAATGTCGTGTGTCACTCTCTGAAAACACAAAGCCGCATTTGCGTTACGAATTGGTGCATTATCTTTGACACAGTGAGACCACTTGTTGGGACGGAAGCGCCGAACACTCATGGCGCTGCAGGGTCTCCTCTACAAACCCAACCGGTGTACTGAAGTAGTAACGATTTGGCACATTCTGTTTAAGTGACAAACCTCACTAATAGGCTGTGTCGGGGTGGTGGTGGCGGGTTTAGCAACGTATTTATATTCATGCGATCTAGAGTCTGTTTATTTTAATTTTATGAACGTAGCGCATCCAGTGGCTGCAAAGGGGTTGTGTTAACCCATGACATACAACCCACAATGAATCGAAAATACTGCAGTTGGTTCTCGCACGCAAGATTCGGTGAGTGTATCGTGAGTATAGCAATTGATATTTAATCAATGCGCTGTTACATGCTGCTTACCCTATCCTGCCATGAAATTCCTGGCAACCTCCCCATTCACCTGTATTCAGCAACCAGCGGTCGGTTCCACGAATTATATCAAACTCGCTTTACTACCCGGCTTCGCCCGAGACTTGGATTCTTGTCTTTGATTAATACACGGCCTACGCGGTGAGGGGGGGGGGGGTGAGTGACGTCAGCAGGCACACTGCGTGACGCTCCGCATGCGGGTGACATCACAGATGTGACGTCACCGCTCACTTGCCGTGCAAAATATATCCATTATTGCACCCCCCCCCCGAAAATACAAAAGTCTAGTTTTATACTTTTTGCAGTGTGTAGTCTGGAAGCTACTCACATGCCAAATTTCAAGTTTGTTGCATGTCGGGAAGTACGCTAAACATTTCGAACAGACACACATATTCACAAATTTCCCTTTTATATATATAGATCAAATTATATTTTTTCCCCGTTGGTTTGCAATATAAGGGCGCCACGGTAGCGAGATGTGAACTACCTCGCCTGGTATGCAGGAGGTCGTGGGTTCGATCCAGACCCTGACGCCTGTATATGTGGAGTCTGCGTGTCTCTCTCCCTGTGTTGGTGTGGATTTTTCTCTGGGACCCCCGGTTTTTCACTCCACAATTAGACTCAACATGCGTTTAGAGTATTTGTCTGCTATAAATTTCCACACAATAAGCCACTTGATTGGGTTATCATTTGCGGCCAGGTCGCTTCAGAAAAAGAGCTATATAGCTCAGTGGGCCTTACCTGGTAAAATAAAAAGTGGTATAGTTTGTAGTTTAGTTTAGCCACCCGACTACCACCACCCAACCCTGGACCCAGTGCCAGTGAGAGGTTATCTCGGTCAGTCAAACAATTTTAGAGCTTTGTGTTTTGTTAGGTAGAGAAGTTTTATATTGGTGCGAACTATATTTTGTCGATCTAACCCCCACCCCCCCAAAAAAAAAATATATAAACCTTTATTAGTGTTACCAAGTTGGCTTTGTGCAAGCTGCGGCTGGAGAGGTCACGACTCGCGTCCGAGTTTCCCTGCCACGTGTCCAACTTCTCCTCGTCCTCGTAGGTCTCTGGGGAGAGGCGGGGGGGGGGCGATGCAATGGAACATCGGCAATCATGGGCGGTGAAGGCGGGAAGCCACGTGGCAACGCACGCAGCTGGGCTGTGGGCTCAACAACAATATTCCTCCGCGCAAACAACAAAAAACGTGCCAAAAAAATTGGTTACATTTACACGTTATTCATTAAACTAAACAATTTTTATTTTACCGGGCAAGGCCCACTGAACTATGTAGCTCTTAAATTTCGATTTAAAGCTTTCGTGACTGCAGGGATTCATCTTCTTGGTTCTTTCGGTAAAGTCACGTAGAATGGAAATAATACAATAATAAAAATAAAACATAATAAAATAATTCTCACGACGTTTCGGCCACAACGCAAGCAGCCGTCCTCAGGTGGAGAACAGGTCTGTCGAGAAGACAGAGTCTGAATGTAGCTCTTTTTCAGAAGCGACCTGGCCACAAATGATAGCTCAACGAAGTGCCTTAGCACGTGGGAATTTATAGCAGCCAAATACTCTAAACGCGTGTTTCTAAATGTGGAGGGAAAAACCGGAGGACCCGGAGAAAAACCCACGTGACCAACGGGAAGAACATGCAAGCTCCAAATATACAGGCTTCAGAGTTGAGATCAAGAACCCACGACCTATTGCATACAAGGCGAGGTAGTTAACATCTCGCCCCAGCGGTGGCCCCATTGAGCTACATCAACCTGCGGTCTATCTGTTGATGCAAGAGGGCCTTGCTGTGCACATCGCCATTCGATCAGAACGTGTCGGGTGATGGGGGTTTGTTCATTTCACCATACTTGACTATGCTGGTTGGTAAGGGCTGGTGAAGCAACCGTGTTTTATCTCGCCTCTCACCAAGCACCCAAAAGATACAGGTGCCCCTATCCAGCAGGGCTCCTCTGGTATGCAAAGCACTCAAGCCTCTACATCACATCCCCGGCGGCACCAAATTGAAGAGAGTGATTTAACTTCTTGGTTCTTTCGGTAAAGTCACGTAGAAGGGAAATAATAAAATAATAAAAATAAAACATAATAAAATAATTCTCACGACGTTTCGGCCACAACGCAAGCGGCCGTCCTCAGGTGAAGACCAGGTCTTAGAGTCGAGGACGGCTGCTTGCGTTGTGGCCGAAACGTCGTGAGAATTATTTTATTATGTTTTATTTTTATTATTTTATTATTTTCCTTCTACGTGACTTTACCGAAAGAACGAATAAGATGAATCCCTGCAGTCACGAAAGCTTTAAATCGAAATATAAGTCAGTTGTTTCTGCTTGGAAGAGCAGTGAGGCTAGAGACCTTGAACTAATGATGGAACAATCTAGATTTGAAGCTTTCGTGACTGCAGGAATCCATATTCTTTAGTTCTTTGGGTAAAGTCGCGAAGGTAGAAAAATGTAATAAAATTAAAAATAATATATCACGACATTTCGATCGCAACACAAGTGGTCGTCCTCAGGTGAAAAAAAATGTGTGGGAGTCGAGGAGGAGCCATACACTGGCTCACCAGGAGAAGGCGGTACAGCAAAATGTGGACTCCAACTTGTTCCTTCTGCATGAAATCAGCACGGTTGGCTACGTACGGTGTGAAAGAAGTTCAACATACATACGTACAGAAAGTGTTACCCCCTCCCATTCGTGGGTTTTCTCTGGGTGCTACCATTTCCTTCCACGTGGAAATGCTCATTAATTGGTTGAAAACACCTTAATACATAGAGGACCACAGAGCTTGGGGGGGGGGGGGAGGGGGAATTTGGTACCCGGCTGCTGCTTTTACAGTTTCTCCGTGGTTCCTCGCGCCTCCGAGCCATTCGCTCTCTCTCTCTCTGGGAGCGAATACCACCACGGCGCGTCACCACAAGTCGAAACGACGATTGAGACCATGAATCCCCCCCCCACCGTCGCTCACTCTGATCGGCGACGTAGCTCGCCGGGAAGTATCCCTGAGCGCCGGCGGGTCCGTCCGCTTGCCCGAACCACCAGCTCTCGTTGTCCTTGAAGAGGACGAGGACGCGCTCGCCGCGGCGCAGACTCAGCTCGTCGGAGCGCCGTGCCGTGTAGTCGTACAGGGCCACCACCTGGCGGGGGAGCCAACGCGCGCCGTCGGTACACGCGGGGAAACGTCGCCGGCGGGTGCGCCAGAGGTCGCAAATGGGTTTTGATTCCTTACCCGTACCCGGCCGCACCAGGGTCGCAAACGGGTACCCGTACCCGGCCGTACCCGTACCCTACCCATATCCGGCCGGGTACGGGTATCGGGTACCTGATTGCGACCTCTGGGATGAAGCCATGTTGCAGGCGCGGGTGGGTTGATTCTAGGAACTTGAATTGTGAGAAGAGACAAGACGTTGGGAAATGAGTGACAAACGGTTACTCACCAGTGACTCACGGCCTACCCGTACCCGGCCGCACCAGGGTCGCAAACGGCTACCCGTACCCGACCGGGTACGGGTAGCCGGGTATCGGGTAGTGTACGGGTATCGGGTACCCGGTTGCGACCTCTGGGGTGCGCCGGGGCTCGCGGTTCGAGCACGGCGGTGAACTGCCCGTGGTTCTCTGCGGTGAGCAACAATGTCTTCAAAAAAATCATGGCGCTACTACGCCTCTCTAAATTCATTCCCCAGTAGTTGGCTGAGCGCAACTCCGAGTGGAAGCTGAAGTGTCTAGGCCGAGCCCTCACCGTCTCCTGCACCGCGGGGTCACCCTCCGCCTCCAGCCTCAGGCCGGCCGCCCCCGAACCAGACTCGTTCTGCGTCACCGTAGCAAGGGAAGGGAGAGGCAAGTCAACGGACGTGACAGGCGGGCACTCCATCATTGATCACGTGGGGTACTCCATCAATAATCTCGGCCTCAAGAGGCCACCGCAACCCCATCAGGCAGCTCTATTCCTCATCACCTGCACATTAAGGAAGTGTTAGTTTGTGTGTAAAGTAGGCAGGTGCATGTAGGTTACATTTGTTTGTATCCTCAGGTCTCCCTTGCAAGAGGAACATCACGCCTCAATGGGCTGTCACCGGGTGTAAATGACGCTTTCGGAAGCATTGTGCGAATTACTCAAGAAATTGACAATTTAGTGCTATAGACCAATACCAGGTGTTGTCTACACTGGGCCATAATGCATTGAAACTGTTGACGCAAAGCCCAGCATCAAAGTGATGCATGTGATAGCGTTAGGCATTGTACACATTAGGGTCAGTGGGCTGAAGAATCCAGATTCTATCCTGTCAATGACAGTAATACAACCCTGAAACCATTCTTAATTAGCCTCTTGTTTCATCATACCGGCATATGATTTGGGTAGCTTGTATCATCATCAACAGCCATGATCAATCAACTGCTGGATGAAGGCCTCCCCACATCAGTGCCACCACACATCGTCTTTTGATGCCATAACCCATCTGGCGAATTCTCACGGGCAAATCTCATTGTGCCATATCCGCAGTGGTGACCATCTATGGCTAGCACAGAGTAAATTATATATATATGTAAATTAAGTTGGACAGGATAAACTGAGTAATCATTAATATGAAAATAATGTGGTTATCTGTATGTAAATTGACATTGCGCATAAGTAAATCGAGAAATACATCTTGCATATCATATTACGTGCAATGTTATAAAAATGTGAGAATGATAACTATTTTCATGAAGTTCTGATAACATTTTCAGTTTCAATTGTGGCGAACAAATGATAACATACACATAACTGTGTTCCTCTTTGTGCACGTGACCATTAAAACACGGTCCTTGGAGGACCGAACACTCGAACCAAAATAATATAAAAGAAACCAAATAAATTGAAAAAGCGGCGACGGGAATATAAATTCCGAATCAACAGGTCAAGCGGGTCAGGAAGAGTGAAAGCTGTGGTACAAGGACAGGCCTCCCAACGACAGAAAGCCAAAAAACCTGTATTATGGACAGAAAGCAGCACGCAGATGGGAACGGATGTGGCTGCTGGCACGCCTCTGTGATACTCTCTGCAAATAAAGCAGCAACCCTGCTTCTTGACCCAGGCACCGAGCGCCCGCCAGGCGCATCCTTGGGAAACTTAAAGGTCCTTGGCAGCAAGTCGACCTGACCACCCCAATCGAGGCGGGTCGCGCGCGCGTTACAACGACGCGTTCTGCCGCTGCTCGACTGCCAGCTTCGCCTTTGCGCGAGTAGCACTTACACGGGAACTCGCACCGTTCAAGCTGCACTTCTGACAGAGTGTCGCGAGTGTGTGTGTGTGTGCATTGCTGCAAAAAAAAATCAGCGACCCGTGTTCGATTCCCGCTCATGGTCATCACCAGCGACGGGCTATATGAACCGGTTCTGGGACATCCCTAGGTCGACTCAGCCTCAGATGAGTACCTGCTGCGGTGTGTAGTCATCACCACTGGGGAGACAAAGGCGGTCGGGCGTGGTGCTGGACACCCACCCATCGCATGCCGTGCCGGCCTTCGTAGGTGTTCCCTAACAGCAGTTGCTCCAAAAGTAAAAGGCTATGCGGGGAATCTCTGTCTTTTTCGTGTATGTGGAGAGCAGTAGTGTAGTGGGTTAACGCACTCCAAACCCAGCCACCTGAGTTTGATTCCCGCTCCTAACCAATATCAGTGATGAATATATGAATCGGTCCTGGGCCTCCCCTAGGTCACCTCAGCCTTAAATGAGTACCTTGTGGCGGTATGTAAATACCAGAATTTGGGGGCGACATAGGTAGCCTGTGTTACCCATTCACCATGTTGTGTGCCATGCCGGACTGACGAACAACGCTTGCTCCAAAAAGTCTGTTACGGCTATACGCTTATACATGTCTGTGTTAAATTCTGTGTCCCATGCTGTAATTCCATGACCGAGAAGATTAGGACCTATCTGGATGCCACAATAATCGACGAGAAAAGAGCAATGAGTGCTTATTATTGAAGTTCGACTATGTCCTCCAAATAAGTCCTAACAATCTATATCTGCGAAGTGCAAGGTAAAGTGAATTGTTGATACACCTGTGCCTAGACATTAACACAGGTAAACATATGGCTTTTTAGCTGGCTTTCTGAGAAAATAATTTTTTTAGCCTTCATATTATTGGCTTTTTTTCTCTCCCTGATATACAAAATGTGGCTATCGGTGTAATATTATTAATTCAATGCAGTTTCAGCCGCATTATACAAGAAGATATCACAACACCACTTCTGAGTCTCTTCAATAAGCCTCTCTGTGCACACCAGGGAACACAACCTGTTTGTCACATGTAAATCACATTTTGATATAAAACAAATTCTCACACCAGGAATAACCAAAATTATATGAAAACGCTTTATTTAATGTGTTTTTTGTACGGCCATCGGTAACTAAGATTTAAACATCAGAATCCAGGTTAAACGTGGGTGGCTGACAGACAGATTGAAACTCAAGTTCTCAGCAGTAGCGGCTCTGTGCTCTGACATGGCATTGTCAGAATTATAATCTTTATTTAGAGACTCGAGGAATCCGATGAGCTATGAAGCTCTTTTTCACAGTATGGGCGGGTCAGCATTTGCACCCACGAGTCACCTGATCGCCTCGAGCAAATAGGGACTCCGCTTAACGTCAGCTTTCTGTCAGGCGACATGGCCTAGCGGTAGCGAGTCCGTCGCTTGTTTGCAGAGGTTCACGGTTCGAATCCAGCGGCTGCCCTGTTTAATCCTGCGGGGGTAATAACCGTATTAATACTTTGCGCCATCTGCTTCACTCACAGTGGATGCTAACGAGTGTGTGATGTCATTGGTAAGAGCAGGCCATCCTGTGCCCATCATCGGGCTGACAAATTTTCCACAAATTTTAAAATTACCCGCAAATTACTCGATGGGAATTATACATCACCCCCTACTGGTGGACTGATGCCCGTCGGCAGGCCAGGTGCCGAGTCACCGTGTGCTTTTACAGGGACAGCTGCCACTGGGAGTGCCCCTTCAAATGTCCGAGGTGAGATGCGATTTAAAGTGCTCTTGGACACCCTGGCATGTAGGGTGCATTATCAAAAACAAATCATTGTTATTTCTTGTAGGTTTTACTGTAATTATTGGATGCTGTACTAAACCTCTTACCTGTACTGCAGTGAAAAAACTACAATGAAGAGATACTAAATGATTTATCTGTCAACTGATACCAGGAACAGTTTGCTTGAACTCATAAAATTCAAAAAATTCACCGCTATATCTAAAAAAGTGACCCCTTCCACGCACATCCTTTCACTCGTCTTAAAATGTCCGATGGCAATTTTTTTTTATTCTTAAATGACCGACGGAACGTACCATATGCAGCCGCAGGGACGGGGGCCGCCCCACGCGCCCCACTGGGCTGAAGAGGCCACCTGGCAGACACAGCACCAACAGCATGTACCCTCAGAACATGGGCCTGCTTGTCACAATTTGGTTCCTGATCACAGTCCAGTTCACTCTCCCAGTGCTAACTGTCGGTCACAGCAGGATATTCCCAGGTGTTGGCAAAGGTGTTTTAAGGATATATTTTGAGGGATGGGTGCGAACAGGTGTTGCACAATTAACCAGCGCTTAAATAGTGGAAACCGACCGTTACCGCCGACCACATAAGTGGCACGGGAAGAGGGCCGAGAGTAACGCTGCATGTCGCTGTCGTCGCTGTCGTCCCTCTCGGCTGTCGTTCCTGGCTCAAGCACCCTCCCCATCCCATCTAATACCATGCCCCTTATCCCCCCGTGCCAAGCTCGTAACACCACACTGCATACGAGGGTTCTTGGGAGCCACAGCTGAGGAAGGAGAGTGGAGGTGGGTTCAAGTTGTCTACCTCAGCACTGTGTTTTAGGTGATGCCATCACCATAACAGACTGTTCCGTATAAAGCAGGGGTCTCAAACTCGCGGCCCGCGGGCCAATTGCGGCCCTCGGGACGATATTTTGTGGCCCCCACCTTAATATGAAAGTTTAATGTTAGTGCGGCCCGCGAGTTTTATATTGTAGCAACCCCGCTGTTAGCTGCTGTGTGGGACAATGTTATGATGCTCTGGTTTCCTACTGTGTGCCTGTCCAGTGAATGCGGCATGCATGTGAGTGACATGGGGGGCGGGGTCGTGTGTGTGTGTGTTTGTGTACGTGTGAGAGTGAGTGAGAGAGAGAGCCGGGAGAGAAAAGAGTGGCTTTGGATGTGCGGAGAGCAGGAGGGTGAAATTCATAGTTTTCCACCCTCTTTCGCGCAGGTCATGATGTATCCAGTGCTTCATTTGTAAATCACAAGGTGCCGGAACGCTAAGAACATATGACAGCGCAGGTACGACGAGCACAGGTCCCGAAACGCACGTAAAACGACGCTTAAAACAGCACACACATGCCACTTAGAATGCAGTGGGACTTATTTAGGCTATACTGCAGTGACGGTATCAGTCTTTGTGTCAGTGATTAATAAAGTGGCATCTTGAGCAAAGGCGACTTCTGTGTCCAGCGGAGAAAACGAACGGAACACACACACACACAATTTGTTAAATTGAAGGCAAATTCAAGGGACACCACTGCTCCTTTACGCACACGCTGCGCTGTGAGGTGTTGGGAGCTTCTTTACGCAGACGGATTATTCTAAACCGCAGCAGTTTATAACACGTCATTGAGCTAATATCTACATTGTACAGTCTGGGCTGTTTTACATTATTTACACCTGATATGTTTGGATGAATTTTAATGATTTAAATTCCCTCATCCTCTGGTGGTGACATTTACGCACCGAGCCACAGACTGTACATGACGATGTGCATAATTATTTTGGTTCATCTTAGAAGTCTGCATTTGTTATTATTTTATGAAATTGTGATGCTGTTGTTAAGAAAGCTTTATATATAACTTATTAGATTATCTTGTTATTGCGTGGCCACAAATTAGTAATTCATCCACCGATGTCAACAGGGGCTCCGTAATATTCTAGTGATTACATTATAATGTTTTATTTTATTTTAATCATTTCTTGAAAAACTTTTTTTAATATTCATATTTTTTTCGATACGAGAGGTAACGGATCTGCTCAAATAAGTCCCGGAACGCAGGCAAGCCAACACGCCGGCACAAAGTAAGCACAAAAATGTATAGAAAAATGTGATGATGTGACTGAAGGCAGCGAAAGCCCCGACAGTGGCCAGCAGCATTTGAACCCCGTGGTCACACAATGACGCTGCCTCATAGAGTCCTCTCCTCTCCCTCTTTCGGCTCTCCACTGTGCGCGCACCGTAGCACGTCAAAGCGCAGATCCACAGCTCATCCCGGCTCAGATCCCCGTGCTTTGAACAGAAAAGCGTGTATAGTAGCAGCCGCTACAGCTGTGTCTGCCTGTGACTGGGGTGTGGGGACGAAATCTGATGGGAACGCATTACCCCCCCCCCCATAATCTACGCACCTGTTGTTACCGGAAAAAGCGGAAATGACGTGCATTTGCGGAAATTACGTCTCCGTGCGTCGCTGGTTGGCTAAACACTTGACTGAAACTTTATTGCGTGAGCGACAGCAAGTGGAATGAATATATATATCTTGTCCGAGCACAGACAATTTCAGGAAAAGTGGGAGATGCAATATTTCTTTGTTGAGCACATGAGCACCCCGACGTGTCTTATTTGTACAGAAAAAGTTGCGGTGCACAAGGAATACAACCTCAAACGTCATTACTCAACTAGACATGCTGAGGAGTATGCAAAATACCAGGGAGATGAGAGAGCCAACCGGGTTGCCAATCTTAAAACATGTCTACTGAGGCAACAAAATGTCTTCAAGAAAGCAACCAAAGAGAATAATGCAGCAGTCGAAGTAAGCTACGTGGTTAGTGAGATGATTGCTAAGGTAGGAAAGCCATTCACAGAAGGCGAGTTTATCAAAAAGTGCATCTTACAGGCTGCAAGTATAGTCTGTCCGGAAAAAAAGGTCAGTTTAGGAACATCAGCCTTTCTGCTAACACCGTGGCTGAGCGCATTTCTGACCTGTCAAGTGACATTTATGAACAACTGCGTGAGAAAGCCACATTTTTCAATGCATACTCAGTCGCTCTTGACGAGAGTTCAGACATCACTGACACTACTCAGCTCACAATATATGTCCGTGGTGTTGATGACAATTTTGAAGTGATGGAAGAGTTCCTCACAGTAATTCCAATGCATGGCCACACCACCACTCAGGAGATATTTTGCCAGCTGTGCGATGCCATTGTGAATGCCGGTTTGCCATGGAAGAAGTTTGTTGGAATAACAACCGACGGAGCGCCATCAATGACAGGGAGGAATAAGTATAACCCGTAAAAACAAAGTTTTTCACTATAAATCCTTTATATGCGTGGCAGCGAACTTAATATAAAGGATTTAAAAATATATTCGCCTGTGGAGGACGCGGGGATCGATCCCGCGACCTTTGGCATGGGACGCGAGGGCGCTACCAACTGCGCTACTCCGCCACGGCCTGTGGAGGGGTTACGCTCTGGGCTCTTACACTGTGACGTTCAGCCAAAGCCATGAATGAGTTCTATTTGAATATATGTAAAATAAAATTTTTTTGCCTAAAAAGTGTCAAATTTTGGGAATTTTTTTTCACGAACATTAATTGTCTCGCACAACGAGTCTGTGTGGAAAATGGCAGTTCGATTGGATCACGGGAAGTGGGTTAAAAAACGACCGAAAGATTTGCACGGTCGTAAGCAAGCAAGCAAGCACGCAAGCAAGCAAGCAAGCGAACTTAATATAAAGGATTTAAAAATGAACTGGTGGCACTTGTTCAAAGAAAACTAGTAGAGGAGGGTGTGGAGGAGGCCATGGCTCTGCACTGCATCATCCATCAGCAGGCCTTTTGCAGCAAATGCCTGAAGTTTGACAATGTGATGTCTGTTGTTGTGAAATGCATCAACTAAATCAGATCCAGGGGCTTAAAGCACCGGATGTTTCGTACTTTTTTTAGAGGAAATGGAGTCAGAATATGAGGATGTGCTCTACTTCACCGAGGTACGTTGGCTCAGCAGGGGAAACGTCTTGAAGAGATTTTTTGAGTTGAGAGCAGAAGTGAAAGCCTTCATGGAGAAGGATGGGGTGGCTGTTCCTGTGCTAAGTGATCCCAAATGGGTCATGGACTTCGCTTTTCTTGTTGACATCACGCATGAGCTGAATGTACTGAACAAGAAGTTACAAGGCAGGGGCAGCTCGTCAGTGCTGCCTATGACAACGTGAGAGCATTCTCCACAAAACTTGTGTTATGGAAAGCCCAGCTCTCTCAGACAAACCTTTGCCATTTCCCAGCATGCAAGGCACTCCTGAATGCAGGCACACCATTCAGTGGCGAGAAGTATGTTGATGCCATTTTGAGGCTACAGGAGGAATTTGATCACAGATTTGCAGACTTCAAGACGCACGGAGCCACTTTTCAAAGTTTTGCGGATCCCTTCTCCTTTGATGTGCAAGATGCCCCTCCTGTGCTTCAAATGGAGCTCATTGACCTGCAGTGCAACTCTGACCTCAAAGCCAAGTTCAGGGAGGCGAGTGGAAAAGACGACAAGCTTGGGCAATTTTTGCGAGAATTGAACCCCAGCTTCCCTGAGCTTTCCCGAATGTTCAAGCGGACCATGTGCCTTTTTGGGAGCACATATTTGTGTGAAAAGCTCTTCTCCACCTTGAACTTCAATAAGTCCAAGTACAGGTCCAGACTTACTGATGATCATCTTCAAGCCATACTGAGGGTCTCAACTGCTTCCTCCCTCAAGCCAAATGTGGCTCAGCTATGTGAGAGGAAGCGCTGCCAGGTCTCTGGCAGCAGGAAGTAGGCAAGAGAAGCCATGTTCAGAAGAACCGTTCATGTTCTTCAATATTCTATTCATGTTCAGAAGAACCCATTGAAGTTAAATAACTGTTAGTAATGACATTTGAGAAGTTTGGATTTTTTTAGCAAAGTTTTTTTTGTGGAATACCTGATGCGGCCCAGCCTCACCCAGATACTGCCTCCAGCGGCCCCCAGGTAATTTGAGTTTGAGACCCCTGGTATAAAGGGATGAATGCACATTAGGCACTTACTTGGCAACGGGATTTTTTTTAATGAGTAAACTAGACAATGCTTTGTTCTGGAAGCTCTTTAAAGAGGGACTGACTATTCAGTGGGGACAGTGGCCAAGTTGAAAAAGATTGTGCGAGCATATGTATTAACTTTTTGTGTATATACACAGTTATAGCACACACACAGCACACTGCTGCTGGCAAGGACGTGTGACTCATGCATGACTCTTTAAAAAAAAAACATTTACAACTCTTTTGGTGAATGTCTCCCCATGATGTGGCAGTCACGTGGGTTCTTTGACCATACTTTACCCCACACTGATCAGTACGGGTACTAGTTCGGATATTGCTGGCTACCAATGTTAGCCATGGCCGGCAATCAATTTCCGGTCACCAGATTTACCGTGCGGTTTGCTAACCACTGAACCACCACTCGTCGTCACCACAAGCTGCCCAAAATGGTACGTAGGAAGGATTGCGGCTTGCGACGTCAAGAAATATGAATGAACTCGCACATTAAAAACAAGGAATTGTTTCAATACTCAATTATCCACAAGTAGTAGCGCCGCGGTGGCGAGACGTTAACTCCCTCGCCTGGAATGCAGGAGCTCGTGTGTTCAATACCGACCCTGACATCTGTTGTATATCTGGAGTTTTCACGTTTTCCCTGTAGTTGTGGATTTTTCTCAGGGTCCTCCGGTTTTTCCCTCCACATTTAGAAACAAACGTTTAGAGTATTTGGCTGCTATAAATTTGAACACGATAAGCCACTTTGTTGAGCTATCAATTGTGGCCAGGTCACTTCTTCTGAAAAAGAGATTAATAGCTTAGTGGGCCTTACCTGGTAAGAAAGTGTCTTTTTAAAGTGCCTTGGGATATAAAACATATATTTGGTGTTGAATAAGCCAATGTTATCAGTAGCATGTGACGCAGAGACAACTGCCAATTATACCCGCATATTATAATAATTATAATAGGAGAGTTTCCACTTCGCGGTATTCCTGGTAAAATAAAATAGTAGTTTAATAATAGGCAGCGTTTGCCTGTAAGCCGATGCTTTAGTGGCAAGAGGTTCATGGATCACGTAAATCATCCTAAATTTGCGAGGCTGCAGGGTGGTTCAAACGTGAACCAATATGGACGAACCTTTGAGAATTAGCCTCTCATAATGTGATTACATGTACGGGTTTCTCTGGGTCCTCCTGTTTCTTCCCACGTGCAAAATACTCCCTAAAAAAAATTGACCAAACATAATTTGAATTAATTGGAAGGCAACAAGTAACGCATTTCAATCACAGCCTATAATCATCTCTCTGTGGTCAATAAAATAAGTACGACTGTGCCAAAAACAAGAGTGATCATGTTTTGGAGGGAGGGGGGGGGGTACTACCCTACACCATGAGAATGAGGAAACGTGGAATCTCCAGACGATGGAGATGACCGCATAGACAAGTTTGACCTTTGACCTTAGAATCTGAGCATCAGGTGACACATCCAAAGCCGGTGCCACGTTCCGCTTTTTTAAATCCTTTATATTAAGTTCACTTGCTTGCTTGCGCGCTTACAACCGTGCAAATCTTTCGGTCGTTTTTTAACCCACTTCCCGTGATCCAATCGAGCTCGCATTTTCCACACAGACTCGTTGTGCGTGACAATTAATTTTCGTGAAAAAAAATGTGCAAAATTGTACACTTTTTAGGAATTTTTTTTTTATATTTAATTACCAATTGCTTAATGCTGCCAGGCAATCATCTGACCCCTAGGTGGCAGCCATCTCAAGCCAGAGGACGAGAGGACTCTAGCCGCCACGCATATAAAGGATTTATAGTGAAAAACTTTGTTTTTACGGGTTAATTTTTTATTCCCCCCTCCCCACTGCCACCGAACCTGGCTGGTGCGCGGGGTTGGGCATCATGCGGGAGGCGAGCGACGCAGATGCCGGCGTCCACGAGTGTGGGGACAGCAGCGATGGCGCGAGCGACGCCGCGTGACCCCGAGGTCCCTGGCCACCACCCTGCGTGCGGTCACAAACACGCGGCGGTGCCTGCTTCAGAAGGTGCCGGGCAAGGCTCGTGGCGCGCGCGTGTTCAGCCATCGCTCGGGCCGCTCCCCGCGTACGCGTTTGGCTGCAAGTGGTATTCGTGTTTGTATGCGCTGGGTTAGCGGTGGCCCCGTTCGTGTTGGGAGGTGCATGTGCGCGAGCGTTTTTGCGTGTTCGTGTGTATGTGGGGAGCGGTAGTGAAGCGGTTAGCGCGCTGCGCTGCTACGAACTCGGCAACCTGAGTTAGCGATTCCCGCTCACGGCCAACACCAGTGACGATTATCTGAACCGGTCCTGGGCCTACCCCCAGCTCGACTCAGCCTCAAATGAGTATCTGGTGCGGTGTGTGAAACATTGCCAATAGGGAGACGAAGGCGGCTGGGCGTGGTGTTGGCCACTCACCCCCTCGTGTGCAGTGCCGGCCTTCATAGGTGTTCACTAACAGCACTTGCCCCATGAGTCTGTTAAGGTTATACGGGGGATTTGTATTTGTTTTAATGCAGCTTGTAATTGTGTTTGGGCTTGTGTAGGCATGTGACAACGGGGAGAGATTTGTGATGAAATAAATGTGCTAAATAAAAACGGTGCTAATTAACTCGCAACCATTTTACAACATTTCCATAACATCAGTGTCAGCCCTACCTGGGCATGACACTAAACTGTATCCGGCAAAGGTGTCACGTTAGTAACACGAGAGGAAGGCAACGGCAAACCACCGCTGCCTTCAGAACCCAAGTGTGGAGTCAGCGTCTGCGGTGTAAAGAGAGGGAAGCAGAATGGGATGGAGGGACCTTGAGCCGTGGACCTGCTCTTGGGCAGAAAACCATTGAAGAACTTTGCATTACAGGCAATTCCCACAACATTCTATACACTTAAAATCAATGTAACGTTGATAATTGGTTTTTAACCCTTCTATCTGGCAACAAAACTGACACCTTTTTTTACAAGGAGTCATGTTTGCATAGACCACAATACCTGCAGTCATAATTGCATCATCATATTTTTTACTGGCAAATGAGGTACCAATGGTGTCAATGTAACGTTGCTTCCTTTTTAAATAAATATAATGGCTGAAATTAAATGTAATCAAATGTATGCATGTTGAACTTGATTCTCACCGTACGTAGCCAATCGTGTTGGGCAACAGAAGACATAAATACGACCAAAATGCGAGAGAGCAGCGTAAATTATAAGCCCACTGACTCGCGTTGCTGCATTCATGTTTGCCAAGTCACCAACAGCCCCTTTGCACATTCAGCAAAAATTCCACTTCTTTTTCAGAGAAACCTCGTCGTGATATAGATCCTTATCGCAAACATCCCACACGTGCACTCGCAAAATTGTCTCACCGCATACAGGCAGGTGCAGACTGGCACAGCGCATGGTAGGGTATGTGCTCTTTAGTAATGAGTGGTGGAGCTCTGGCCACAAATTAGGTGTGGTATTGCCGCAATGTCACTCCGCGTACAAATCGTAATCCAGCAGCCCACGGCTTTTTAACGTGGAGAGTTTAATTTGTACGAGCTTAAATATGAATTATGATCGTACGACGCAGTGCAAATGTTCCTCCGACCGAATCGCCCCGAATATGCCCAACCTCGTTGGATCTCGGAAGCTCGTCAGAGTTGAACTTGATGAAGAGAGACCAAGGGGTTTACCAGGTGCTGTAGGCATTGGAGCTGTTGGTAGTCCCTGGATGGCTTCAATAGATTGGGTGGTCTATCTGTGGATTGATTTCTCTCCGTGTTGGGGCACCGAATTCCATATCCTCATGGTTGGCTACGTACGGTGCGAAAGAAGTTCCACATCAGAATCATGAGAATATTTATTTATACTGGAGGAATCCAATGAGCTGTAAAGGTCTTTTTCACAGATATCCATTATGCCGTGGCGGTTTTCTCCAGGTATGCTGGTTTCTTCACACACACACACCAAATATGTATGAGTGGAAATTTCCAACAACTCCAACTCTGGACCCTTCTGAAAATGAGATTTTAGACTCAGAAAGACTTTCCTCAGTTAATAGAGGGCAAATACATATGAGGGTGGTCAAAAGGCTTAGAGAATGAGAAATTGAAAGTCCACATAGGTAAAGAATAGTACTTTATAGTACTTCAACAAGTCTATCTCAACATCCCTTATTTTCTATTGCTTGGTTAGAGCGATAGAAAAGAAATGTTGTATTAATTGGATCTCAATCTTTGATTTTGGCCATCCCTCATGTAGACTATTTACACACGCAATGTTCCTGAAACGGTGTTTAAGAACAGTCACAGGTGAACAGCAAACAGTTATCATCCACGTTTCTACATGGTGTACCAGAAAAGTCTTAAGCGCAAATATTCGGTGCCTCGAAGCAACATCTGCACTGCTGCATTTCTTGCGCGTACTCACCACAATCGTGACTCACCGTGGGGAATAATATAGTCCACGCCACTGCTGGGCAGCCAAGTCATGGCTTAAACACTGGGTATCGATACGAACACTTTGGATTTTTTTGATTTTGAGCAGGGCAAGAACACTTTTTTGCAAGTAATTACAGTTACGCGACACCTGCCTGACTAAGTGTTCAAATGCTTTCCCGAAAGACGGATACCTCGTAAAAATGAATCATTGCCGCAGCGCTGTACAATCAGCACAAAAAAACCATTACGGTGCCTTATCGCAGTCTTCAGAATGGTGCGTGAGAATATATTTTTTATCATGGGCAAGGGGATAACACTAATGAAGTGAAGTGCCAAGCAATGTTCTTATCGCCTGCGTTAAGCTGCAGGTATCATTAGGAGACTATGTCGAGTATTGCTGCATGTAAATACTTGACCCACACATTTTTTTCCGCCTGAGGATGACCGCTTGTGTTGCGATCGAAACGTCGTGATATTTTATTTTTTATTTCATTAAATTTTTCTACCTTCGTGACTTTACCGAAAGAACCAAAGAGTATGGATTTCTGCAGTCACGAAAGCTTCAAATCAAGATTATGACAAAACACTTTCGCAGTATCTACAACATGATGATGATTGCTTTGACGTTCATGATGAGTGATTGAACGACAATGATTGGTGTAGGCGGGCGTCTGTCATCAAATATGACTGGGATCGATTGCAATTTGCATGGTTATTATGACTTTAGTCTGCCCACGGGGGTAGTGTATTTGGTCTTCCTTATGGAATGAGAAATGTCCCATTCAAGAATGTGCATGTGTGTGTATATATAGTATATGTGCAAGGATTAAAGTGTCCTCTGGCTAAGTTAATACGTTTAATCTTTTAATTAACTTTAAGTTCAAAGAGATCGCATAGCTCTCTTCTTTGGAGCACAATATTGGCTTGGTCAGGCGATATGCCAAGGTGGTGTCAGAACAAACGTGGGGACACGACGATCAGCACTCCCAAGCCCAGAGCACCCACCCACGTACGTGCACCCACCCACATATACACAAAGACAAACCTACACACACCCATGACGTTCACCCACCAGCCTATACATATACCCACACCCACCTACACTCACCCACAAGCCTATACAGACACACACCAATCTACACACACACACACACATCTACCTTCACGCACACACGCTCACCCACATGCCTATACATGCACACACACACACCTACACTCACCCACAAGCCTATACAGACACACACCAATTTACACACACACACATCCACCTTCACGCACACACGCTCACCCACATGCCTATACATGCACACACACACCCACCTACAATCACCCACAAGCCTATACAAAGACAAAAGACACACACATCCACCTACACACAACAAAAACAACCGACATTCGCCACTAAGTGGCGCTTGTGCCAGGCTAGGTGCATTTTGAGGCCACGTAAAGTGTCAATGGCTCGCTGGCAGGAGGGCACGAGACAGACCCAGCAGGTGCCATGGGTTAACTGAGATGACTGGCAGATGCCCCACCTGTGCTCCACACTGTGCCAAATTGTTGTGTTTAGCCGCCCGGCGCTCCACTCTTTGTTGTGAGCTTCACTCCTCTGCCCTTCGTTGTTGTTGGAGGGCGACTGCATCCAACTGCCCAGTAGCGTCCTGCAAGAGCCTCCTCCATAGAGGCTGATCTTGACACCGCTGGTACAGCATCAGTCCATCTCTTGCTGTGCCATGCCCGTTTAGCCCCCTCTATCTGGCCAAACAGAAGCTGTTTGGGCATGCGGTGGCTAGGCATGTGGACTACATAAGCCAGCCAACGCAGCCTCGCCTGCCAGAGGAGCTCACCAATGGGAATGTGTCCAGATCGTTCCAGGATTTGTGAGCTCCTCACATAATCCAGCCTGGTTAAACTCAGCATGGATCAAACCAGCACGGATGCTCCTTCAGAGCGGTGCACGTTTTACAAGTATAGAAAAGGGAGGGCATAATTGCGGCTGAGAAGACCTGGAGCTTCATATGGCATGACAGATCAGGTAGCTTCCACACAGTGTTACACAGCTGATGAAAAAATGTCACTCGACTGATTCAGTGAATACTCCACTGCCAAACCAAAGCTGGTTATAAGCACACAATCCAGGTATGGAAACTTCTCCACCGTCTCAACCACTGCCACATCACCTATGGGGAGCTAAGGGATGGAGTGTTTGGTGACACTCAACCACCTATACACGCATCCACTTATGCACACGCAACTACACTCACCCACCCATACATACACACACATGCACCAACATGCACCCGACTACACTCACCCACCTATACATACAGACACATTCACATACAGGCATTCATATACACTCAAAACAAAGACCCTCCCCCCCCCCCCATAGCCTTAACAGAACGTTGGGATAAGTGCTGTTAGAGAGAGGCACCTATGAAGGCCAGCACGGCACACGAAGGGGTGGGTGGCCACCGCCACATCCACCGACACACACAGACACTGATCTACACACACGCAATTAAATTAACCCACCCTCCTATACAAACATACAGTCTCACGCCCACAGATATATATAGGTTTAGGGTTATAGACGACTTGGGGAAAGTGTTGTGGGTGAACACCGAGACCAGAACGGTGCATGGGTGGTGGTGGGGGGGGGTACGTGGCCAGCATCATGCCCGACTACCTTTGTCTTCCCAGTGATGATGTTTACACACCGCATCAGGTACTCGTTGAAGGCCGAGTAAACTTAGAGAAGGCCCAGACATGGGTTAAAATATCACTGTTAGCCATGACCTATACACACAAAAACATTGACTTACCAACCCACCTGCTTACATACAACCACACACCCCTATACAACTCACACACCTATACACACCAACCCACCTGCACACATTCACCCACCTATACACACAATCACAAATATCTACACAGTCCCCAACCACCTGTATACACACACCCCACACACCTACCCATCCGTGCACCTACCCACCCACCTAGACACACACACACGCATACACCAACGACTGACTCGCACATACACAAACCAATCTGAACCTGAAAAAAGCCTTCATCCTATTTCAAGTAAATATCGTGGATAATTACAGTGTGGCTATGTCTACTATAGCTCATGTTTAAAAAATTAACCCGTAAAAACAAAGTTTTTCACTATAAATCCTTTATATGCGTGGCATCGGGGCGGCTAGAGTCCTCTCGTCCTCTGGCTTGAGATGGCTGCCACCTACGGGTCAGATGATTGTCTGCCACCATTCAGCAATTGGTAATTAAATATTTTAAAAAATTTCCATTAACAGTGTAAAATTTGGGAAATTTTTTTTCACGAAAATTAATTGTTACGCACAACGAGTCTGTGTGCAAAATGTCAGCTCGATTGGATCACGGGAAGTGGGTTAAAAAACGACCGAAAGATTTGCACGGTCCTAAGCAAGCAAGCAAGCACGCAAGCACGCAAGCAAGCAAGCAAGTGAACTTAATATAAAGGATTTATAAATGTGTCCATGTATACGTTTCACTGCTCTGGAATTACAATTACTGGCATCACTATATTGTGCTGTCTCCAGGTTTCCCTTGAAGATACTTATGGGTTTGAAGTTTTCGTGACTGCAGGGATCCACACTCTTTGGTTCTTTCGGTAAAGTTTTATACCGACGTGACTTTACCGAAAGAACCAAAGAGTATCGATACTTCTGGGCTCAATGGACTTTTCCCCGATTATAAATAATGCTCATTTTAAACATCCACCTCTGCTGATGTTCGTTCAATGCATTGTCAATTAGCAATGCAACTCTCAAGACACCTCCCTCCCCCGTGCTCTAGACGTGTAAACGATGGTAAAAGTGTTGGTGTCAAGCACGAAGATGGGGCTGGGTGGTGTGGTGCTGCTCACCTGGGCAATGTGATCCCCACCGGAGAAAGGGACTGGGCTGTTCCACGCCAATGACGAGCCAACTGTTCGTTCTGTCGGCAGCACACACCACGGAATCTCATTACCGCAATGCAACGATGCATCGTACAACACATGAGGCCGGGTATAAGCTGCATGAATCGGGCTCCTGTCATCGTCAAGGAGCATAAACCGCAACGTCAACTCCGGTCATCCTCGCAACAGCGGCTTCTGGTTGGGCCATCGAACAAAGACGACGCTCACCGCATCGCAACGCTTTCAGATGCTGCTTCTGCAGCCGTCTGAAACGCTCTTCCTTCTGATATTCGGAAGCCACTGGAGCTATGCACTTTAAATGTAAATTAAAAACTAGTTTCTTTAGAACTGATTTTTGTGTTGTCCTTCCCCAGCACCTCAGATTAGCACGGTTGGCTACGTACGGTGCGAAAGAAGTTCAACGAACATACATCATCAGCCGTAATCTAGCCACTGCTGGATGAAAGCCCCCCCCCCCCCCAATTGCCATCGACATCCTTTACGGTGATAATTGTTTTTTAACCCTTTTATCTGGTAACACCTTGGTAACACCTTTTTTACAAGGAGTCATTGCACTGTTCTTGAAGTTGATTTGGACAGTGCATACATTATCAGAGTTATGTTTTTTTTGCATTACGACTACAGGTATTGTGGTCTATGCAAACATGACTCCTTGTAAAAAAGTGTGTTTCACTCGTGTGGATATATTTAATTCAGAAGCAGTTCTTTGACATCAACTTCTGCATTCATTCTCTGAACACAGAGCGATGCGCCGCTAACTGCAGAGTTTCGAATGGGAGATTGTTCGTTTCAGGAAAAGACACGGACAGCACGGCTGATATACAATGGAAGAAAACAAAGAAGCATTATCATACGATGCATCAGTACATCAATACACCCCTAATTCACATCTTCGTCTGGGTAAAAAAAAAATATTTTAACAAATTTTAATTCCGATACAAGACGAGAAAAAAAATTCAAAAAGTCCACGAGGGTTGCACTGTCAAACAAAAAAGCAGTTGTTATTTGTAAGCTCAATGTGTGCTGCTCTGATTAGTTAGGGCTTGTAAAATCGTAAAGATAAACAAACAAACAAAAACCCACCGGTGTCGTAATCCGCTGTTGTTGCTCCTGGCTTCAAAGAGTCCTGAGACACAGACCACACGAGTGAACCACAATGTGTTTATCTATGCCGAGGGTACCAACAAAATGCAAATGTTACATTTAACGGGAGAGGCTTATCTAGAATAACATTTAATTTATCGAGCAAATGCTTTCTTTTAAATCAAGCTTACATTTTTTATAACTTACAAGTATCAATTTTGAAACTTTGAATGTGTGTGTATACCGAATTGTAAAAACATTTTAATGAAACTTAATTTTGTTTTAAGTTAGTCACTAATGAAATGTATTTAAAATATAGGTTAGGCATTAAAAAAATAGCTCAAACTCATAATAAAAAGTTAATCACATTTTAGCCTTATTTTAGACGAATGATAACCACAGAATAGGAGACCTTTCTTCATACGATCAGAAAACACACCTCTTTAAAACCAAGTCCAGAGTATTGCACTGCTAATCTTATCACTGTAGATACCACAGAGGTTCATACAACACAAAGCAAGCAAAGTGGGTTTGTGGATTTGTGGTAAGCCTCAAAACAATAAGGGCGTGGTTGCGAAACATTGCCTCTGGTAAGGATAACACATGGCTCATACTTGCTCATATGCAAAGCAAAAGTGCTGCATCGATCTACTTCCTTCACAAAAAAATTCCATTCATGTCCGAGCAACGTACAACTTCAATGGAGCCAAAGATTTGTGTTTTTTTAATTTCCAAAGCCGATGATTTCCGATAGTCGAAACACATCGACAGAAGAGTTGGAGAAGTGACTGATCAATGTAACATTTTGACCCGCTCCGACTGGACATCTGCAAAATAAATTACCTTTATAGCTCATTGTATTCCTCCAGTATAAATAAAGATTCTGATGTTTTAATCAGCAGTGACCAATGCATAGACCATGTTTGGCCTGTCAGTGACAACAACACTTTGAAGAGACTGGTTCAAGCAAGCCTAACTCTGCTAATGTAACAAGGAATGTTGAAACTGCTCCAATTTACTTGCATTAAACCAATACTGCGAAGATGGACCTCCCCCCCCCCGCCCAGAAAGCTGTACGCCCGAGGGGTTTGTGTAAAGTCAAATGCGTAGAGTCAAATGTGGGAAGTAGGCATGATGTGTTGTCACTTTTAAGAGTAATCGTTATAGTGACATAAATTCAGCTGATGAAGTGTGGTGCGGGGGGGATGATGATTTGATTGCTATATCGAGTATGCCTTCACGAGATCAATAAAGTTTCAAATATGTCTCACTTCCTGTAATGTACATTATGAGTAGAAAGCCAGGTCACAGCCAGAACTACACCTTTGGACTTGAACACAAACTTTCAAAGACTTTTAGAAAACTCGGCCAACATTTTAAAGCTGTGGTTAGGATTTGCAGGTTAGCAATTAGCATTACCTATTTTAAGTTAGGGTATAGAAATGATTCTAGGTGCGTTTAGACACTTTTAAATTCATTACAGATTAGGGTTATATTGAATTTATTGAGGTTACGTTTTTAACAGTTTAGAGATGGTTTTATAGTGTACGAGTTTAAAGTACAGTCGTAACATTCGAGTTGGTGTATATTTAAACTTAAGGCGTTTATTGTTTAGCTGTAAAAATGGAAAGAATTTCAGTGAGTAAACCTCATGGGCTAATACTTTATTAATTTGCGGCAGTGCGGATGAAAGTTGCAAAGCAGGAAATGAAGGCTGTGTTGGAACACTCAGTGCAGATAGAGTTCGACAATCATGATGGATTGTGAGCAACAGCGCCACCTACAGGCATCTCTCACACAACGCGTGCTAAGCGCACGCACTCGTCTCACGGGCAGAATAACGTGCCCTTTGGTTCTTTCGGTAAAGTCACGTATAAAGAAAAAATAATAAATTAAATAATAGCATACGACGTTTCGATTGCAACACAAGCAATCATCATCAGGTATAAATGAAATAGCGACAAAAATCTAACCAGAAAACTATAGACAGAAAACCTTGCATTACATTACATTTCGATATTTTGCTAGGTTTTTTAATTTAATGTGTCGCTCTCCCGTTCTCCTAATTTTCAAACTTGCTTACTTTACCACCCGTCGTCCTACCCATTGACATGCTAATTTTTTCTCTAACCCCCTCCCTCTCTCCGCCCCCGCCCCCTCTCTCTATTTAAGGCCTCGTCACAGAGACGTTCTCTCTCTTTGTGCCTATGTGTTGCTCTCTCTCTGTGTATCCTGGTGATATCTGTCGGCTTATATGTCTGTCTATAGTTTTCTGGTTAGATTTTTGTTGCTATTTCATTTATACCTGATGATGATTGCTTGTGTTGCAATCGAAACGTCGTATGCTATTATTTAATTTATTATTTTATCTTTATACGTGACTTTACCGAAAGAACCAAAGAGTAATTCCTGCAGTCACGAAAGCTCCAAAATTAAGAGAGTAACGTGCCGTCAAGCAGGTGAAGGCGCGCACGCTAACCATTGAACAAATACGAGAAGAGTGCAATAATTAACTTGTACAGTTTTCATACCTATTCATAGTGGTGTGATATAACTGTGAAAACCGATATTAACTTCTGAGCTCAGGCTGGGGTAGAAAGTGTGCTGTCCCCCAGAGACAGTCACTGCATCGCACGCTTTTAGACGTGTCTCTGCGGCCGTCTGGAACGCTCTTTCCTCCAATATGAGGAAGCCACTGGAGCTATGCACTTTTAAATCTACATTGAAAACTCAATTCTTTAGAATTGCTTTTGGTGTTTAATTTGTTGTTCTTCTGAGTAGCACGGTTGGCTGTGTACCGTGCGAAAGAAATTCAACATACATACACACGTCTGCTCTGAAATTGTGCATTCCGAGCGTAACTGTAGCATTGCTGCAGTAATGCAGCACGGACTGAAACATTATTCTTTTTGATCTGTAAATCTTTTTTGGATATACAGAACGTTCACAAATGGATACCCATTTGGATTCTACATGTGCTGCAATGGCGGTAAATGGATTTGAATCGTGAGGGGTCGGGAGAGTTGAGTCGTTATATCCCGACAATGTAAGAACTCTGGGGCGCGTCTAACAAAGAGCAGGTAAACAAGGTTAGATTGAGGTTAATACTGGTAGGAACCACCTGGTTCCACCAGCCCACAGGAGATTATTGTGTCCGTCCGTCGTGCATCCAAAAATGGGAGGGGTGGGGCTGGGTGGAGAGGGGAGGGTGGGGAGGGGCTGGGTGGGGAGGGTGTGGAGGGGCTGGGTGGGGAGGGGAGGGTGGGGAGAGGCTGGGTGGGGAGGGTGGGGCTGGGTGGGGGGTGGGAGGGGTGGGGCTGGGTGGGGAGGGGCTGGTCACCCCGTCGTGCCCTTATAAAACTCAACGTTTAACCTACTCACGCCGGCTTGTGCCCGCCTTCACAGTCGGCCATATTTGCGGAATACACCACGCCGCCATTGACCCTGGCCATTGACCGAGCAACCCAACGTTCCTACCAGCTCCCTCCGCAGCAGGAATGTGTTATATCAATCAGAATAAAATCTCATGAGATTAATTTGAAAAGAAAGTCTTCCAAGAGGGTGGTTTCCCTTTGATTTGTAACTGCTGCACACTGCACTCATCAACTCGCTAACATCTGAACCACGTGAAAATGTTTGCCGCCCAAACCTCAGCATTAAGGCTAGGGTTATAGAGATGAGGTTAAGTTAAAGTTAGGACAAAGGGGTTTAGGAATCATTTTTTGGCCTAGAGTATGGTTAGATACTGTGGTAATAGTTTGGGGTAGGACTATAGTCTGGTTGGCAATGTGGTTATGATTAAAGCTGAGATTGCAGTTGGCAAGTGTGGTTAGCGGCTCGGGGTTGGGGTAGCGGCTGGTTAGATAGCCTAATGGCGAGGGCTAGTGGTAATAATTGGTTGACTGGTGTGATTAGGGTTAGAAGTCGGGCTAGGATCTGGTGGACAATGTATGATTATGGGTCGGGAAAGGGACCAGTTGGTGAGTTTTACGTCTGACATGATTAGGGATAAGAGCAAGGCTCGGGTGCGGTTAGCTAACGCGATTCACTGCCAACAATCCGCCTTTCCAACGCATCGCCAAATCTTGTATTTGTTCGTTCTCTCTTCGCTCGCTTGCGGCGTCCGCAGCAGCCTCACGCTCACCGCGAGCACCGAGTCGAGTTTTCGGCGGACGCTCTGCAGCCGCGAAGGGAAGAGCGACGCGGCAGCGGCCGCCGCGTCGCCGGTCCCGTGTCCCAGCGTCTCCACGGCCGTCCACGAAGCGGGGCCCGTTGGCCCCGTGGACCCGAGCCACCGAGGGCCGCGCGAGTTCCCCGCCGCCAGGTGGCCCGGTGCGGCCGACGAGGGCTCCTGCACGTCCCGGTAGCTGCGGGCCTCCGTCTGTGCCACTGGGCGACGCAAAAAAAGACAAAGATCTCCCCATATAGCCTGAACAGATTGTTGGTGGCAAGTGCTGTTAGCGAGCACCTACGAAGGCCGGGCACGCGGCACACGAGGGGGTGGGTGGTCAGCACCATACCTGGCCACCTTTATCTCCCTAGTGCCGATGTTTATACATTGCACCAGGTACTCTTTTGAGGCTGAGGCGAGGCCCAGGGCCGATTTAGATCATTGTCATTGGTGTTGGCCGTGAGTGGGAATAGAACTCGGGTCGACGGGTTCGTAGTGCAGCGCGCTTACCGCTACACTACCGTGGTGAACACGTAGAGCCACTCGCGACTGGTCGGTCCGGAGTCGATAACCTCTATTCAAGGGCATGCGAAAGCCAAGTAGCCCTGAGTTCAAGTCCTCCTCGGCTATGTCTCAAACCATCATCCCTCCTCCTCGGACGAGAAGCACTACGTGGTAAGTGAACAGTGATGTTGCTATGGATAGACTGGCCTCTTGTCATGGGAATGTGGAATTCTTGGCACTGCCTCAAGGCCTGCAAATAAGAGGATGGCTGTCCATGTTCATTTGAATAGGGAGGCAGACTTGAAATACATTTTATTAATAAAAAAATTGTATGGTGTGGAGAGGCCTTGATCCAGCAAGAGTGGACAGATCATCATAAAGGAGTTTGTTCAATTGCGGAGGTGACCGTTGCACTCTGGGTTTTCCAGATCAAAATGTCTCAGCGACGTTGATTTACATGCAGACTATTTACAGGTACTGGAAACAGTCGCAGCAAAATTAAATATTGCATATTAGTGAAGCATCCATATCAGTCTTCTGCCGTACCTTCTGCACACAAGTAAAATTGCTCGCAGTGGAGTGAGATAGGTCACACTGCAGACCACATCTCTCCCCCTGTATCACGAGGCCAATGTGGCTAACGATGGTAAATCAACCTCGTGACTGACATGGCACGGGGTGGGGCATTGAACAAGCAGTTGACTGGCAAAGGGCTGAAAATCATGATTCATCCAGAACAGAAAAGCTTCATTAAATCTCAAAACTCTTTTCTAGAAGGGCTTCATTTGGATATTTGGGAGGAAACCAGACCATGTGGATGAATCCCACGCCAAGGATGGGATAATGCTCAACAGTCTGCACAGACGGGTTCACAACCCACTTGCTGTACCATCTCCCGGCTGCGTCACGCAGCCCAGCGGGTGTGAAAGTTTCTCAAACCAGCAGGATCCATCAGCCCGTGCTGACAACAAAACACATCTCTGGACCACAGGTGTATGCCACCACACCCCGTCTGGCTCAGAGATAGCTGGAGGGTTAGCTGGCACGTGAGCAACTGTTCTGACGAACGTCAGCGTCAACGCGGCGGGGCCCACCCTTGTGGTCGTAGGCGAAGACAAGAACAGGCTGCGCGTCCCCGTGGCAGCAGAACGCCACCATGTGCTCGTGCGGGTGGAAGTGCACGTCCCGCACGGGAGCCTGGTAGCCCAGCTCCGAGTACATGGCCACCTGGTCTCCTGCAGCCAAAACGGTGGCACACCAAGACGCGGGTCAGGCGAGTTCACTTCACCAATGCTGCTGGCTCCCCGACTGCGGAGGGAGCGAGCGACTCTACGTGACTTTACCGAAAGAACCAAGAAGATGAACCGAACGATGTCAAGGTTGTTATCGTGGCGCAAAAGCTCGCACAAGTCGAGTCACTGAGGTCTGACGGGCGTCATCTGTTTGCAACTGGAAAATACTGCCGGTGAGTCATGATGAAGCATGCCACGATTCAACCCCTCCCACCCACAAATATTTGATCGTCACAACTCTAGGTCGTTATTGCTTTTTTGTGCACCTCTTACCATCTCACTTATTCCATATGATATGTACAGCTCATTTTCGCTCAATGAGCCGAAATGTAACATATGCAGATTATTTACAATCGTCATGAAATGTAAATCCTGTGATTCTTCAATGATTTTTGGGTTAGGCCAGGTAACAATCTGGTCAAATTAGTATCACTACGTTAAGACGAACACTTCTCGCAATCAATTGTTCTTCAACTTTGCGGTGAGCTGAAACAATAGCAATTGACGGGTTAAACGCCGGCTCATACATGTGACAATTTAAGTTGTGTGGCTGTGTCGTGTGTTGGAGGGTCTTAACGAGATGCATTTTGCTAGATCTCTATCACTATGTGGCCTAACCCAAAGACCAATCATGAATCATAATATAGGCTGATAAAACCCAAATATTTAGTAAGCTCCTGCTGCAGCTTGCAAACACGTACTGAAGCCGCATGTCCCGTCACATCACGCTGGAGTCTAGCGCATGTGTAATGACGTAGTGACATCTACTGGTTGGAAAAGGGAAGCGCGGGTACAGGCACCACTAGAAATATCATCCAATCCCCAAGGGAGAGGTATCTGGGCCACAGGTGGAGGGCGGGGCTAGCCGAGATACTCCGGGAACCGGCTAGAAGGTTCCACGAGAGGGCGTGGCTGGAGGTGGAGCCTAGACACGCCTGCAGCTATATAAGCGGAGGTGGACTCATAATCAACGTTTTTGGGTCAGATCGCGTTATCTATAAATGTGTCGTAACCCTCCACCACCCGACACGGCCAATCAGTAAAAAAGTGTCACGTTGACAAAAGACAAATAGTTCACTGCTTTAGCCCACCGGTGTGTTGAAGCGTGAAACCACAACATTTACAATTTGAGTACGACGTTTCGCTGGTAATTGCATCCAGCATCATCGGACAATTCGCCAGAATGGTGAGGCTCTGCTATGTCTCCCGTTTAATATAGAGCAGCAGCAGGGCGACTCGTGGTCGGTGTGGGGAGCCTTGGGTCCGGACTGCGTTGCTGCTCGCCGTCATCTCTCTCCGTCGTTCGGCCACGTGGCGGATCTCCTGCGAAGTCCCACCACCCTCGCCGGCACATCGCCAACCAGCGGCGATGCCGGGAGTGGGCAGACGGAACCACGCTGTGGGATCGACCACGTGCAGCCTGTAGGGATGCTAATATCTATCTGTGTACTCGGAGAAGGAAGAGGGTAAGGTTGGCCTGTGGTGTGCCCGAATTTGAATAAAGAAGAGAGTACCCTCTACACGACGTGTCACGAAGTCGCTCATTACACATGCAATGACTAAGAGAGAAGATATTTCCTTGGAAAAAATAACGCGGACACTCTTGAACAGCTTCAGGACCGTTAACACTGTGAGCTTTCTGAAAAGCATGCTTACAGATTTGAGAATTGCAAAGGCCCAAAATATATATGGCTCATTGAGATTGTAACCAGTATACGAGCGTCAGCTTACTATCGATGTTTTCGCACGTGTCAACCTGTGATCATTTCTGTTACTCAGCATGCAATATAAGCAAACGATCATTGACTAAAACAATTTATCAATTGTATTCGATTCCAATAAAAACTCTCCATATGTCAGTAATTCAAATGACAGTTGCACTTAATCACCAATGAACCAGCATTTGGATGGATTGTCAGACGTTTTGGAACAAATAAAAGTAAAAGAATATCCAAAGCATGTTATTTATGTCAGTGTTACATTACCTTGGTTGACAGCTATCATCAACTTAGTCTACAATTACCATCCTCATCATCCCTTTCGGAACTCCCACTTATCAAGGCTGCTCCATCGATGAGTAGAGTGCCACGGTGGTGAGATGTTAACTCCCTCGGCTGGAATACAGGAGGTCGTGTGTTCAATCCCGACCCTGACGTCTGTATATTTGGAGCTTGCATGTCTCTCTCGTCATAGTCGCGTGGATTTTTCTCTGGGTCCTCCGATTTTTCCCTCTACATTAAAAAAAGATGTGCGTTTTTGGCTGCTATAAATTTCCACACGATAAACCACTTAATTGAGCTATCATTATTTGTGGCCAAGGTCACTTCATAAAAATAGCTATATAGCTCACCGGCCTTGCCTGGTAAAATAAAATAAAAATTGTTAATATTCTTGGTTCTTTCGGTAAAGTCACGTAGAAGGGAAACAACAAAATAACATAAATATAAAATACGTGACTTTACCGAAAGAACCAATAATATGAATCCCTGCAGTCACGTAAGCTTTAAATACAAAAATTGTTAAGTTAGTTATAAAATGAACAGCGATTGTACTATTGTACAGGAATGTGTCATTTTCACTGCTTGCTCTGAACCACTATAGAATATGAGCACCACCTCATGCTCATCTGGGCATAGGGCCATAATACTTGTTTTGTTACTAATTAGTCTGTCTACTTGACGGACCTGTTCTCCACCTGAGGACGGCTGCTTGCGTTGTGGCCAAAACGTCGTGAGAATTATTTTATTATGTTTTATTTTTATTATTTTATTACTTCCCTTCTACGTGACTTTACTAATTAGTAATTTAAGTATTACTTGTATAGATTAGTCACTTAAATAAATGACAGGCAGCAGGACAGATACCATGATGTGCTTCTGTTGCGTTGTTCTCAGCTGCAATCGGCTTCCTGTTGCGTTGTGTGCAATGTCTAACAAGGGAATATGATGTTTCTCTCTCTCTAAAAGTTTTGTATATACGGTCATACAAATAAAATGCAGCAAAAACTGAAATCCATCTATTGAAAAACAACATTAAAACGACACAAACTGTTGAGAACAACCTTCTCTGTCTGAGAATAAACTCAAGTTACAGGTCAAGGGCATGCAAAACTTCATGAAAAACACCACAACAACAAAATAACACTCGTTTTAAAAATATTATAGTTATTGTACTGGCAAGGTGATGCTATGCTGAATTCGAGAAGCCAAGAATGCACATGTCTTGGTGTACTTCACCCATGTGACCCAAAATTTGGGGTCTTTATTGAAATGCCTCAATAATAGCATTCAAGCAGTGCCATTCTGTGCACCAGGGCCACATTTTAATTTGATACAAGCAAATAATGGGCATCCGCACATACACACACATCATACATATACGCATACACATTCAAGAGTGGCTGTGGAACGAAATAAATGCTTTTTCTACCAATAAGTCACATGCAACAAAACGCTGCATGACAGTGAATATGTTCCTGAACATTATTTCAGACTATGGGGTCCATCGAGAGAAAAAATCGTGCAAAACACGACTGTCCTTAACCATTGTTATTTTGATAATTAATTTGTTTTATTTTTATTATTTTATTATCTCCCTTCTACGTGACTTTACCGAAAGAGCCAAGAATATGTCCTTAACCAATTCATTAAAGACCTAAGGATGCTCCAAAATCTTACGGATGATCCAAATGCACATGGGCTCGGAGATCGAAGTCAGAATCAGAGCCTGCAATTATCCTGGAGAAATCCGATGAGCTATGAAGCTCTTTTTCAGAGATGTCGAGTAAAGGCAGATCAGAAAGTTCCAACTATACAAAAACAATTACACTGGTCAACACACTTTTTCTGGCATAAGGTATTCCAACGGTTTCAAGGTAAGTTTGGGGTGCGTTGGTATTGGATCGACAAAACTGTCAATGGTAAATACCAGCCAGAAAACTAAAGCAGTAAATGTAATATTTGTATCACAGATCAAGGCTATTGTAGCAATGTGACTATATCATTTGACTTAAACCTGAATAAACACATCTAAAGTACACGTGCGTGTAGAGCTCCATCTAATTGTGTTATGGTCTCCATTTGTTTCCTGTCGACAAACGGTATTTGTATTGTGTTTATATACCGAGGAAGCATCGGGCAAGGATTACTGTATACTGGTCAACACACTTTTTCTGGAATAAGGTATTCCAACGGTAATTTTGGGGTGCTGATTCCAAATCTGGCATCAGTTTTTGTCTATCACATCAGGTTTTTGAGATATCGAATATTGCATTTTCAATAAAAACTGCAGAAGAAAAATATTAAATAAATGTGGATATCTACATAAAATGATATTATAAACACACTATCCTAAAAATACAGCACCATATTTTAACACTAAAGCAGTCACTGACTCGTAACAACTTGCAATCATAAGTGACAGAGGTAATTTCGGGTAAAATCAATGAAAATGGGGTATGCCGATAGCATAAAAATGAGATGTGATAGAGCAAATTTGAGATCAGATTTGGAATCAGCACCCTGAAATTAGTCTTAAACAGCTGCAAAAGTCCAGGTCAGAAAAAAAAATTTTGTTGTTGACCAGTGTTATAGGAGTGCAAGGTATAGGAAGGTAAGCAAATCACTCTAAATTATAAAAAAACTAAACTATATTTATTTTTCACCAGCTAAAAAAACCCACTGAGCTATTAGTTATTTTTCAGAAGCGGCGTGGCCACAAATGATGGCTCAACGAAGTGGCTTATCACGTGGAAAGGCATAGCAGGCAAATAATCTAAAAGTCACCGGGACATCAAGGGCGTGACATCGCGAGCTCAAGTTCACACACCTGCACTGTGGAACATCGGGACGCTGGTCACGGGCTCTTGTGATTGGCTGTCCAATTTGTGTCTAACTCCCCCTCCCCCCCTGTTGGCAACGTTAACCTAAGGGGGAAGGCCACATGCTAACGTACCTGTGAACCGGTAAGCACTAAGTGGGCATAGAGTGGCAATCCTGAGAAAGAGCCACTCACACCAAAGGGCCACCCAGGTATAGAGATGAATTGTGTTTGCCCCGTCTGGTCCACACAAACACACCCGAGCGGTGATGATGAGCTCAACGCGCCTGTGCTTTCTGCGTCTGTGCACGCTGGCCAAACAGCGCGTGTGCCAATGGATGAGAGAATTTCCACTGCTTTAATAAACTGAATACTTTTTTTATTTTTCTCAACTGTGGTGCAGTGCCATTAACCTTGGCCGTGCAAATACAGCTGTCCAGGAACCAGCAGGTCTGAGCCTAGGTCATTAAGCTTGGTGCTCATTATACGCACCTCAACGCATCACATTTGCTGCAGTAAAAATACATACAAATTCAATCCAATGCACATCCCAGCGCATTACGGCTCATCGCTTCCTTCCTTCCTTCTAAAATTAGAAAAATGCTGTTTTATACTATGGCCATCAATTTTACCAGGGTTATTACGATGTTAGTGTGCGCATTGTCTGTGTATGTAAACACAAATACCAGAGGCCTTTTTGTCTCGAAAGACAATTCTTTTGCGCCTTACGAGGTCAGCTGTAGGTTTTGCAGCGCCTAGAATGACTTAGTAGGCCAATCCTTGAGTGGCAATCGTTGGCGCAAAGCCCGGGCAGGTTATTCTGGAAATCCTGGGTTGTCCATGCGTCATGATCCCCCCCTCGGCCTTGCTGGTGATGTCCAAAGGAGTGCATAGCACGACGTTCGGTACCAGTTTGGCTGCAGGGGCTGCCGGGAATGTGCCGCTGTGCGTCACAAAACCGCCTGAGGGGCCCCACTCCTGATTTTCTGTCGGGGTTTAATCCCTTAGCCATTGACTCTCCCGAGACATGATAATTGGTTTTATACCCATTTATCTGGCAAAAAAACTGACACCTTTTTTATTATAAAAAACGGTGTCAGTTTTTTATGATAAAAAAGTGTCAGTTTTGTTGCCAGATAAAAGGGTAAAAAACCAATTATCATATTTTGTTACTGGCAAATTGAGGTTCCAATGGTGTAAATGCTTAACCCCGAGCTCTCATACTCTGATGGTTCATTGTCCTTGAGTTGTGCGCCTTTTGGCGTCATCTGGTCCAACACCATGTGAGACTAGGCTCTAAGGAAAGCTGTCTCGGGTGTGGACCAATCAATTTCAAGGACAGTGCATACATTATCAGAGTTATGTTTTTTGTTTGCATTCCGACTGCAGGTATTGTGGTCAATGCAAACATGATTCCTTGTAAAAAAAAAGGTGTCAGTTTTGTTGCCAGATAAAAGGGTAAAAAACCAATTATCATATTTTGTTACTGGCAAATGAGGTTCCAATGGTCTCCTGAGACACTCACAAGGCAGTGAGAAAACCGCGTAACCCTGGGAGGGGTCCTTACCAGGTACCGACAGCCGGGCCAGCTGTGCCTGGGACTCGTGTAAGGCAGGGTCGTCACGCCCTGAGGTAGTTTATCACAAACTACCCGCTACCTAAAAACATGTGCTGTTAACATGCACCTACTAAGACTGGCAGAGTGCACGAGTGGATGGTGTGACCAGTAGCACGGCTATCCACCATTGTCTTGCAGCTCCCATCTTTTGTACACTGGACCAGACACTCGTTTGAGGCTGAATTAACATACAGTAGACCGGGTAATATTCAGATATCACTTGCCACGAGTGGTGCAATGCCAGGAATTAATTCCAATGGAGCTGGGATCACAGCACAGTTCAGTGGCCACTGCAACACCACTCGCACATAAAAGACAGAGACAAAGATCCTTAAAAGACTGTGCTGTTAGCGAGCACCTATGAAGGTCAGTAAAGCACCACACCCAGCCCTTTGTGTCTCCCCAGGACCAATTCAGATATCATCACGGGTGTTGACCGTCAGTTGGGGAATCGAACTCTGCAAAGCGGCTTCATAGCACAGAGCACTAACCGCTATGCCAGCGCTCTCCACACACACTCATACATGCACATGGCATTTAAAGAACTTGAACCCATTCGAAAAAAGGTCCTAACGCATGAGGTGACAGCAGAAAGGTGTGAACAGTGCTCACAAATATACAAAGGGGGCAACGCTTAACAGCGCTAACTGCCAAGCACGTTGCACTCTGTGGGCTCAGCCGTAACACCTTGCAGGTGACTTTTAAAAGACGTGAGGACGGAGGGACCCCCCGCTTTGAAGACTGAGACATCAAGGGAAGACCTGGGAGCTGAAGCACACACGTTACGCTCACAGACTGCCGGCGTGGTAGGGCGTGCGGAGGAAGAGGGCGGCAGGCTGCCAGATGTGAGAGGGGAGGGGGGGGAGGACCCTGCAAGGAGACGGGGCTAAGCAGGTGCGCTTCAAGTGAGCTCTCAAGAAGCCTCATTCAGGACGGACTTGGAGAAGTGACAGGAATGTGGCCCAAGTATTGGCTGACAATTGACGGTCAGTCAGCCGGTGTCAACTGCCTCTTGAGGAGGTCAGCCAAGAGAGATGTAAACTATTGCCACACACACCTGCCTGAAACATAAACCGCTGTGGAGTGCTCCTAGCCTATGACTATGAATGGGATTTGCTGCAGAAAGACAACCCACATTTGACTACAGCACAATCAAGGGAAAATCCGCACAGCTTTTACAGCAAAGTACCGAGGTTTAATTTGTGATGCACTCCTAAAATCCCACAGGAGGGCAAGCCGTGTACAAACACCTGAGCAAAAACTTAAAGGAAATATGTAACCGACAAAAAAAACAATTATGATTTCGTAGATACATACTCAGGATTTGTGTTGCACGTTGTCCATTAAGAGGATGAAACTTTGTAAGTGACAATAAAGACTTAAAATACATTTTCAGTACTGCTCGAATGACACTGATGTACCGATAGCAATTATTAAAAACACTCCAAAATATCCTCTTTCTAAATCTCTCTTTCCAATTAACAAAGCCTCGAAAGCATCTTGGAAGCCTGCGATACATAACACAGGTGTGTATCTACCAAATAATGGATATTTTACACTATGAGACCTCCTTTACCAGTGGAAAAATATAGTAATAGGTTTATACCCTTTCAACTGGTACAAAAACTGACACCTTTATACTAGGCATCATGTTTGCAATAACCACAACACAAGCAGTCAAAATGCAAACAAAAAGAAACAACTATGATAATGATATAGGACAGTGCATATCATTATCAGAGTTGTTTCTTTTTGTTTGCATTTTGACTGCTGTGTTGTGGTTATTGCAAACATGATCCCTTGTATAAAGGTGTCAGTTTTTGTACCAGTTGAAAGGGTAAAAACCTATTACTATAATGGCTATTTTGTTTTTTGGACTGCGTCTTTTTTTAATAACATTTCCGTACAATTAGTCTGTATGTTCCAGGTGGTAATCGGAATTTCAGATTAGCATGACAACGTCGATATTACAAACCAAAGCACAACGATCACAGATCTTCCCGTGGACACGTTGGCCAACACGCACGTGCCTGCCTTGATCCCAGGGTTAAAGGACACACCGGGGCACGTGGAGGCCAAGACCAGGAGCCAGTACCCGTGTCGATGTTCCAAACGTAAGCCACGCCATCCTCGCTGCCCGATAGCAGGAAGGTTCCGCAGGGGCTGACGCAGCTGTGCACGCGCTCGCGCTGATTCGAGGCCCCCGTGAACTTCCTGGTCACCTGCCTGCACAGACACAGGCCGGTGCCACGACTCGGAACGCTGCGTCGAAAGCTGCGCAGAGTCTAACGGTTATCGCAACTTTCCTGGTGACTCATGCCTGCGATCCAGCGACTTGGCAGGTTGGTGTTGTGGATGAGGACAAGATTGTGCATGCAAGATGCCCACCAGCAAGGATAGCAAGGTAACCATAGGATGTATGTATGTGTGTGTGTTGAACTTCTTTCACATCGTACATAGCCAACCGTGCTCATCGGATGTGCGGGGGAAGGACAACAAACTAAACACAAAAAGCAGTTCTTCAGAAATGAGTTTTCAATTTAGATTTAAAAGTGCATAGCTTCAGTGGCTTCCTGATATCGGAAGAATGCATCAGAGTAAGTATGTTACCGATGTACATCTACACGCATGTTCTCCGCTTACATGTGTATGTACTTTATTGGCACTCTGGTGTTTTATCACATGCAAACTACGCTGAAAGCCCAATGAGGCGTAATAACATTCGCCTCATGCCGCAGATTACAAGGGGCATATTCACTCACACTCGGACGTCGATGAGGCGCAGGGCGCTGTCTCGGGCGTGCACAAGCAGCCTGCGCCCATTGGGATGAGCCCATAGGTGGTTAATGGGGACCCCCTTGAGGTCTGGCTCTTTGATCTCCTATTTGGGGCGGGAGAAAAGCACAGGGACCATCAATCGGCACATGGCAACAGGACAACGGCAAGCTGCGCCTTTACAATCCAAACACATTTATAATCCAACAATATTTCATTGTGTGGTGACAATACACAGCTCACAATAAGATGGTTCAGAGCTCTAACACATGGTTGGAGGTCGAATCAGCCCATCCTGAGTCTATCAAATGATTATAAGTCAACAATAGCCATTCTAGAGAGAGTCTGGTTAACACCACGGAAATGTGAGATTTCCACAAAAGACTGCCAATATAAATTAGCAGCACCCAAAGTCAGGTGAGCAAAGAAACACTTTGAATTGACTTTGGGGTTTACTCAGAGAGGAATCACAAGCAAAGTTGTGCTTGAGGTGTTTGGTCAGCCATACTGACACCCATGCCAACTCATATCCCAAAAGGTGAGTGTCTCACACATTCAGTTGGTCCCGAGTGCTACCTCCAGTAACAAGGGAGGTGAGGAAAATCAACGCACACACAAAGCCATTATTTCTTCTCTTTTCACTAATTTTTACCGAATTATATTCCTATTATAACATCGGCATCATGCCATAAGGCAAGGACATTCTTATTCTGACTTCTCACAGATAGCAGCACGCAAATCTAGATTAGAGAATATGCCCCCCAAAAATGACATTAAGAATTAGCTTTAAAGTCACTTCAAATTGCCATCTTAACTGATAATGGATGCAATCCTTCAATATTATATGCCCCTTTGGTTCGTGTTAATCAAACCAAATGTTTAAATTCTCACAGTGGAAAAATGCGAAATAGCATGAAAAACTAGATTACATTATTCGTTATTTTTGCCGTTCACTGTTGACTGAGCCAAAACCATCTACTCGCTAAACCTGAGAACTTAGCTTAGCAGACAATTACCTGAAACTCGGATGAGTACCTAGTGTCTATATGATGACACTACACTGCTGAGACATGGCATTAGTTTCCAGAATCAACCCGGACACTTCTTGCCAGCACACACTCTTGAGCGCCACTGGTCAATAATAACACATTCCTGCGGAGGGAGCTGGTAGGAACGTTGGGTTGCTCGGTCAATGGCCAGGGTCAACGGCGGCGTGGTGTATTCCGCAAATATGGCCGACTGTGAAGGCGGGCACAAGCCTACGTGAGTAGGTTAAACGTTGAGTTTTATAAGGGCACCACGGGGTGACCAGCCCCTCCCCACCCTCCCCACCCCTCCCCACCCAGCCCCTCCCCACCCTCCCCTCTCCACCCAGCCCGACCCCTCCCATTTTTGGATGCACGACGGACGGACGGACACAATAATCCCTTGTGGGCTGGTGGAACCAGGTGGTTCCTACCAGTAACAACACTCGACTTATAATGCTCACAGTACAGTATTTGCTTACTCTTGCAGAGAGCGACTCTTGGAGAGAACGTCTCACAATCATGAGGAGCCACAGACAAGCGCCAAGGACAACCGCATGGGTTGTCCTTGACGCTTGTCAAGTTCGCCCCCCAAAGTACTGCGGTCTTCTAATTACTCAGGTGTAATCGGCAAATTAATGAGTGCTTACATGTGGCAGGACACTGGAGAACCTGGAGAAAACCCACGTGTACGGGGGAGTGGGGGGGGGCAACACTCTATCCCCGTACAGATGGAACAGGTGGAGTCCACAATTTGGCTGCACTGCCCTCTCCTGGCAAGCCAAGCTTGTGCACCTTGATGGCCACGGGCAAAAGAGTTTCTCAGACGCTGTCGCCTCGACAGACCTGGTTTTCACCTGAGGACGGCTGCTTGCGTTGTGGCTGAAACGTCGTGAGAATTGTTTTATAATGTTTTATTTTTATTATTTTATTACTTCCCTTCTACGTGACTTTACCGAAAGAACCAAGAATAAGTTTCTCAGCATTCAAGTCATCATCTATTAAGTCCGCCTACACAGTGCTGGCTGAGAGGAGTGCGCCACCATCGTCCTGGATTTACATTTACTTTATTACATTAATGAGTTTCAATGAGTTTCATGACAAAGTCAAAAACAGCAAATACCTACCAAAAAAACCCCATGGGCAGTAGGGAGAAAATTCAGTCCACCGCAGACAATTTAAGGTCCCCAGTCAAGACCCATGTAAATTGCCCATTCAAGACCAATTTCACAAGGCCACATCACACAATGGCAGAATGGCTCCTGTAGAAATTATGTTGCATAATAAAGATGGCCTTGAATGGCTGCACATTGGTGAATGAGTGTGATTAATTTCTATGCGTAACCCATGATGCATTTAGCAGCATTGATATGCGGGATTTGGGATGTGTGCAGCTGCGACACTGCTTTGTGATGTTCACCATATATTTGTCGGGAAGTTACATTTAAAACCCCAGAGGAATGTATTCGTATATAGAGGCCCTTAAAGTTCACCACCCAGTGATTCATTGAATTGCCAAGATTGAGTGTCATGAGATTATTCAATCATTGTGTCACCTAAATGTAAACATTTGCATATAATTAACAAAAAAACATGAATACTCTATTCTATCGTTCGTTTCTCAATTTGCTTGTCCTGGGAAGGCTCGCGGCGGCAGCATATTGAGTAGAGTGGTCCAGACCTCCCTTTCCCTGGCAACGAACTCTAAATCTTCCCGATGAATTCCCAGGCGTTCCCAGGCCAGCTGAGCGACATAATCCCGCCAGCGTGTCCTGGGCCAGGCCCCGGGGTCTTCGCTCAGTGGGACGTGCCCGGCAGAATTCCATGGGGAGTCTACTGGGGGGGGGGGCGGGCGGGGCATCCTTCCCAGGTGCCCGAACTACCTCAACTGGCTCCTCTCGACCCGGAGGAACAGTGGCACGACTTGGAGGCTCTCCCAGATTACAGAGCTCCTCAACCGATCACGGAGAGTGAGCCCGACAACCCTGTGGAGAAACCTCATTTCGGCCCCTTGTACCTGTAATCTCATCCGTTTGGTCATTAGCCAAAGGCCATGACCATAGGTGGGGGTTGGAACGTAGACCGACCTGTAAACCGAGAGCTTTGTTCAAGAAATCAACTCTCGTTTCACTACCATGGAATGGTACGGCACCGGTACATCATACTCCCGCAGCACCTGCCACAAGACATTACGGGGAACACGATCATATGCCTCCTCCAAGTCTACAAAGCAAGAGGTGGACTGGAGAAGCATACTCCCATGACCCCTCGAATATCTGGGAGAGGGAAAAGAGCCGGTCGATTGTTCCACGACCCTGACGGAACCCGCATTGTTCCTCCTGAATCTGAGGCTTGACCAGCTGGTCCAGCCTCTTCTCCAGCACATCATGTCTATCTTTCGATTTAAAGCTTTCGTGACTGCAGGGATTCATCTTCTTGGTTCTTTCGGTAAAGTCACGTAGAAGGGAAGTAATAAAATAATAAAACATAATAAAATAATTCTCACGACGTTTCGGCCACAACGCAAGCAGCCGTCCTCACCTGTTGTGGCCGAAACGTCGTGAGAATTATTTTATGAAGTTTTATTTTTATTATTTTATTACTTCCCTTCTACGTGACTTTACCGAAAGAACCAAGAAGATGAATCCCTGCAGCCGTCTTCACCTGAAGACGGCTGCTTGCGTTGTGGCCGAAACGTCGTGAGAATTATTTTATTATGTTTTATTTGTATTATTTTATTACTTCCCTTCTACGTGACTTTACCGAAAGAACCAAGAAGATTCATGTCTATCGTTTATTGTCAAATTTACATTTGAATCACAGTTCCTATGATCACTGTTACATTGTTTTATAGCTTTATGTTGGTGATTTCGAAAACGTTTTGGTTTAGCCATATTTGTTTCTTGTAGTACAGAATTAGACTTATAACTTTAATCTAAATTGTCTTATGGTTGTTATTGTTTGACTTGCATTCCACTGGGATTTTTGCACACAGCGTTGTAATACGGTGGGTTTTTTTGTGGAAGATTTGCTGGTTTATCCAGGATGTTTCTGTTGCGTGTCGTCGCTTTAAGATGTTCTCCGTTCATATTTTGTTTGTTGCGGTTGCACCCGACTCAAGAGCCGCATGGCTCACAGTGCTATACCTAATAAATGAAACTTGAAAACATGAAACTTGAAATATCATGAAAAGGGGTGAAGACTAACAATGGGGTGGTGGGACAGCCAAAGGACAGAAAATGCCCAAGATAATGTCCACTGCAGAGTTGGAGCGATGAACTTAGCTTGCGTGGGAGCAAGATGGATCATGGCATTATGGGATCATGGTGAGCGGTTGAATTGTAGGAAGGGCCTAATCTACCAGTGGAGAGGTCAAGGCCGATGATGAACACTAAAACATAATTCGGCTCTAACTAATGCTTAAGGAAAGCCTTCAATCTGCCGTGATGAACAGAGCTGCTACAATATTCTGACTTTTACAATAGATTTTTTAAGGTTTCATCACAAATTTTCCACATCAACCATCCGACTCCAAAAAGTATTGTAAACTGTGTCACCCGGCGATGGGATAGGCCTGAATAATTTGAAGTATAAAATTGAATAGCATTATTTCTTAATACAGAAAAGGCGTACTCGGGATCTTAAGACTCGTTTTAGCTGAGTCTTAGAATGAAATGTTTGACCAATTCCATTTTAATGAGTATGTTTCAATTTACATGAACTTGTTTCTGTGCGTTGGTGAGATAATACCATCAAATATGCTACACACGAGCATCTAGTTTTATCATGGAATCTGCTAGCCAAGTGCACCAACATGACCATTAAGAATTCCCTGAGCTCTGCAACTGCTAAGAGTAACATGTGTTATAGGCTGCGGGGGATATCACAGGAAAAGAGAATGCTGCGGCAAAATTCATTGTTGTCTGTACTTCTATGCTCCCATGTATATGCTTCGCGTCTTCACCAACCCGCATTGATCAGTGACGTGGGAATTTGGTGAAATAACCCTCACGTCCCCACACGGTGTGGAGAGGCTCTCATCCAGCAGTGGATGAACTCAAGCGCTGGACTTGTACAACCGCACATCTTTACTCGACACGTTCCACTCGTACCTTGGTCACTGCCCAGTCGCGCAAGGGGTCGCTGTTCGCTGTCTGACTCACAAAAGTTCGCCATACAAGAACAACACCTGTGCTGTCGCCGCTGAACATCTGCAGGCCTGTGGTGAAACAAACAAGCGGGGATTTTGTATGGAGCAAAAATGCAAACACACCGCTCGAGACGCTAAACAAAGTCACACACACACTCCTTTCCCAGGCGCCTATTGAAAGAATTGCTGAAAAATTCCCCACCAAGGTAAAGTATGTCTGCTTGAGTTTCTAAGCATTCTGTTCATGGTTTTGAGATAGAAGCAGTGTGCATTTTTTTTTAATGCTGTGTATTTGGGTTTTTTCTCCTTTGCATCTATTATTATATAACCTTGACCACAGCGACCGGAGCATGTTTTTTTTCACATCAGCAAAAGGATTCAAATATATACATCAGTATTGTAAATGCATTATTCAGAATTATAGTATTCCTGAGGTTTTTGTGATTTGTGTATATGCTATAAAATCTGGCATTCCACAGATTAATTTATATCACGACCATCAGACAATGGGTCAATCAACAACCAAATCCAGACAATGTAGAATGTGTGGGCAGAAGAAATGCATGAGTGCATCAACAACAGCAGGCTAATGTCTGCGGATGTGTCACAATCATGCACAATTAGCTGCCCTTTCCACAATTAACTTTGTAAAAATGAGAATCTTTCTCTTACTAACACTAGGTGGTTCTGAGCAAGTGGAGCCCATGACACATTGTCACAGAAGGGCCAAATTACACTTGATATTGTGTGGGGCGGCACTTATCGACCAGTAGATTGACGAAGGGATGTTGTGTTACTTGCATGATTTACAATGACCACTGCCAACATCCCAACGAGTGGCACAGCTCATAAGATGGCCAACATCAAATATAATTCCGAAACGTACATTGGCAGTCATTCAGAAGTGCACAGGCAGATTTTACCAAACGCATGATCACAATGATGACGCAGATAATTACGACAACAATAGGCAACAATAGATAATAGTAATGATCTTCTTGATTCTTTCGGTAAAATCACGTAGAAGGGAAATAATAAAATAATAAAAATAAAACATAATAAAATACAATTCTCACGACGTTTCGGCCACAACGCAAGCAGCCGTCCTCAGGTGAAGAACAGGTCTGTCGGAAAGACAGCGTCTGAATGGGCACCACCATGCTTGGCAGCGTATATTTAAGCTGGGTTGGAGGGGGAAGGGCGCCTTGACAAAGAAATTTGCATATCAAGAGGAATTTAGCATGTTGTGCAAATCTGATCAAAATATGAGCTTGTACTTGCAACTATGATTCTCCCACTTTCCCCACCACAGCACCAGCTTGGAGTGGTTCAAGATGGTGGCGACCGATTGATGACGACGACGACGACGACGACCACGAGGACGCATCACTTACCATCCGCGTCGAAACACACGGCGTTGACGTAGCCTCGGTGGCCGTCCAACTCGCGCAGGAGCCGGCCGTCGCGCGTGCCCGTCGCGCCGCCCACGTCCCAGACTCGAAGCATGCCGTCGTATGCGCCCGTCACGGCTACCGCGGCGGTGGCGCCCGGGTGCAGCTGCCCCGCGTACGTGAAGCAAGGGTGAGGCAGCACCTTCTCTGCCGCACGCACGCGGCCCTCCACGTTCCACAGGCTGTGATATCGGCAGGGCGGGCGAGAGAGTGTGCGCCGCAGTGAGCTGGGTATTTGGCTGCGAAAAATTTCCACATGGTGATAAGCCACTTTGTTGACATATCATTTGTGGCCAGGTCGCTTCAGAATAAGAGATGTAATAGCTCAGTGGGCCTTGCCTGGTAAAATACAAAATAGTTAACAGTTAATTCTAGATTTGAAGCTTTCGTGACTGCAAGAATTCATACTCTTAGGTTTTTCGGTAAAGTCACGTAGGTAAAAAAGTTATAATAAAAATATAATTGAAATAATAATAATCATTTTATTTCTATTATTATTTCAATTATATTTGTATTATTTATTTTTCACCTACGTGACTTTACCAAAAAACCTAAGAGTAGTTAACAGTTCTGTGCACCCCAGCATTTCAGCACTTGCTGATGGCACATGTCCGTGAAGCTCCCTCCCTGCCTGTGACTGTTAAGTTTTCCGTCTCCTGGCTTGCAAGGGTATGGCAGTAAAGCAAGTGGATTAATATCTGTCCGTACAAAGAACCTTCAGTGTTACCACCCTCGCACAAGTAGGCTTTCTCCGGATCCTCAAAATTCACTCGCACACGTATAAACAAGCATTAATGCAGTTGGTCATACGTCCAAATGTAGGACCATACAGCTGTGACAATGATTGGCAACGACACTGGCTGCCTTCCCGTCTGTCTCTGATTTCCCGCAACTGTGAATCATTACCTCGCTCTGAGAGCGAACAAAATCTGTGCGCATTACACATTTATTCTTAATATCATGAAGCCATGGGAGCATGGTTCCTTTGGCTGAGAGGTAAAATATGGCTGCTGGTCTCTGTGAGCCACACCAGACGCGCTAGTCCAATACTGCAACGGGGTTTGTTGAATCGTGTAGACACCACCGCATGTGTGGGATAGCTGACTTATATGGCTGTGAGGTGGCTGGTAGGAAGCAGTACAGAAAGTAGGTTTCTGCAGCTGACCTATCTGTGTAGATTTTTGAGTGCTGTGACGTAGCAAGCGTTTCTATGGGTGCCCTTGATGTGCACCTGCTGAAAACAGTCTGTATGGCTAAATGGGGGATTTTCGATTTAAAGCTTTCGTGACTGCAGGGATTCATATTCTTGCTTCTTTCGGTAAAATAAAGCGGTTTTCACACCTGATGATGATTGCTTGTGTTGCAATTGAAACGTCGTGAGAATTTCATTGTTATATTTTTGTTATATTTTTATTATTTTATTTTTTCCCTTCTACATGACATTACCGAAAGATCCAAAAATATAAATGGGGGATGTTTGTCTTTCCTTGGTAGGTGGCGCATAGGTGGGTGACTACCGTGCAGTGCCATCCGATGACGATGAGAGAAGGTGTGAGCTGTCATGCGACCAGGAAAGGTCATACACGAGACCCAGATGTCCCGGGAGCTCCATCAACAGCTGGCCCGATGGCACCTCAAACACTGACCACATGGACAGAACAGAGAACATAAGCGTAAACAAATCGCATGTATACTCTCTGGTTCTTTCGGTAAAGTCACGTAGGTAGAAAATAAAATAAACACCTACGTGACTTTACCGAAAGAACCAGAGTATGGATTCCTGCAGTCACGAAAGCTTAAAATCAAGATTAAATCGCATTTGCTCATTAACGTTTGTCAATAGCGCTTCCTGCATCGTGATGCCAGAGAGGTAGAGCCAGATATTTTTTTGTTATTTTTGTTTGTGCGCCACTGCCAATGCAGTATCACCAAATAATCAGTTTAAACTTGCCATAGCTTGCCTGAAAACTAGACAGCAACTCTTGATGTTGACCTGCTTTTGTATGTACAGTAAAACCTTGGATTGCGAGCATAATTCGTTCCAGAAACGTGTTTGTAATCCAAAGCACTCGTATATCAGTTGTGATCACGTGACGCTCGGCAGACAAAGCGTATACACGTACTACTCGCATTGCAAGACCTCGCTCGTTTATCAAATGAATATTAATTTAAAAAATTTGCTCGTCTTGCAAAACACTCGCAGACCAAGTTACTCGCAATCCAAGGTTTTACTGGAGGTTGAACTTCTTTCGCGCACCGTACTTAACCAACCGTACTAACCGTGCTTTTGCCAAAATACACTGTCTCCACACGATAACAAAAATATTTTTGTTTATTCTGTCAGCCTATTGTCTTTCCAGAGGAAGGTTACGAAAGAAGCATTTATTTAACGAAGCAATTTCTGGACTGGAAATATATTATACAAAACGTATATTTATCAATAACACCCGGTAATCGAGCGGCAGTTGTTTAACAAGCCTGGCTGCCGATGTGAATCAGATGGCCCATAATTAGATTACTTAAAATATCCTGTTTGGGCTATTAAGACTAAAAATGTGTTTTATTGGTAGGTAGACACATAACTGAGCTATGGCTTACATCTGGTTTTCCCAAAATGTGTTTGTGTACGGTATTGTCTTTGCAAAACACATGTTTTGCCTGGGCCACCGTCATGTTATAAGTGTAGTTTACAAGCTAGCCTTAGGCAACAAATATAAACTCTCCAAAGCTGCGCTCCAGAGTATGCAGGAGTTCAAATTAAATCTGTTTCGCATGCGAGTTTTCACATAAACCACATTCCAGTAAACGCTGCCATTACTGGTTACTCAGATTTTACAGAAAACTGCATGGACGTCCACTAAGCGTACAGATTGTGGTAGAGTGATAGAAGGTTATCTGCTCTAAGAAGGAAATCGTGTCTCATCAAAGCATGCCACGTGAGATGACCATAAGGCCACAACGCCATCTACTGACGCAATCCGTGTCCTGTGGTGCGGTTTGTACTACAGCTGGAAGTCACTATGTGTGGTAACGTTTCATTAGTTAAAGTTGCTTAATTACAATTCGTACATATTTAAAGATGTTATACCACTAAAGAATGGAAAGATCTTTACCACCATACACACTACCTACACCAAAATTACTAATAAAACCATTCCTAAGTGCCACTATCCCAATATTATGTTTCTTGCAAAGATCCGCACTCCATTCATCGCTGAATCCTAAAATTAATCGCTCCCCGCAGTTCGCGGCAACTCTCATAACCCGCGGGGGCGGTAATCCTTACATTTCTCAAGTTCACCGTTGCATTGAAAAATCAATTCTTTCTCATCTTGTTCATATTGTCCATGTCACGGTCTGTCTTATTTATACTAATTCATTAAATCCATGAGTCTATAGGTAACATTAAATGTTCATAGAATTAGAATAATCATAATCAATTCTTGTACACACTGCCATGAGGATCGTTTTCAATAGATACATTTCATTCAAAAGTCAGGGAATTTTTTATGAAATAAACATTGAGACGGCACGGCACGCCAATCTCCCGTTTATCGCCCTGAGCCAGTGGTATAAATTCCACATTCCTATTCAAGTTCAAGTTCATTTATTAGGCATAGCCCTGTGAGCCATTCGGCTCTTGAATCGGGTGCAACCGCAACAAACAAAAAACAAAAACATGAACAAAAAACATCTTACAGTGAATATGTGACTAAGTGCAAACAGAAAATCCAAGAAAAGACAGTAAAATATTGCAAAAAAAGCACCGTACACAAAAATGTGCAAAAATCCAAGTGGGATGCAAGTCAAACAACAACAACCACAAGACAACTTAGATTAAGGCCATCAGTCTAACTCTGTACTACAACAAACAAACATGGACAAACCAAAAAATGTATCGAAAATCACCAAAATAAAGCCATAAAAGCAATGAAACAGTGATCATAGGAACTGTGACCGAATTTTCACAATAAACGACATAAACAACATGGACTACCAAACTTTGCAGCCATAGCTGGCTGCATGAGTCACTCCACAACAGTAGGAGCATCAGTCGGAGTATCAACATTTTTCAATGCATGGCATGGGCAAGCCTCTCCATAGGACAACCACTATTGGGAATCTCCCGCAACGTGGTTCACTCATAGTACGAATCAATTTGAACCGAATACAAACCTAGTAGGAATCCAATACAAATTTTCTAGGATGATTATAAAGCCTTGCAAATGTACGATGTGGCCACTGCCCACAACAGGGGCAGTGGCTGTGGTTTCACTACCAAACGCTGCGGGTAGCCAATAACAATTAAACTATAATCTAAAACAATAAACAATTTTTATTTTACCAGGTAAGGCTCACTAAGCTATATAGCTATTTTTCATAAACGACCTGGCCACAAATGATAGCTTAATGAAGTGGCTTATCATGTGGACATTTCTAGCAGCCAAATACTCTAAGTGCACGTTGATTCTAGATGTGGAGGGAAAAACAGGAGGACCCAGAGAAAAATCCACGTGACCACGGGGAGAAAATGCAAACTCCAAATATACAGGTGTCAGGGTCGGGATTAATCCCATCCGCATCCTTCATACCGGGCGAGGGATTTAACATCTCACCACCACGGCGCTGGGACACGCTCACCGAACACAGGATGGCTGTCGCGGTGCACACACGCCGCCGCCAGCGCCCGTCCGTCCGGAGAGAAGCGCACGCGGAAGCAGCCGGCTGTGCCAGCCTTGAGCGTCAGTGCCAGCTTGTTGGGGATGTAGCAGGTCTGCCGGGGGGCGTGAGGTCAAGACACGAGGCGGGAAGTATGATACAAGCCAAGGGGGAGACGGCGTGCAGGATGGGACAGACACGGATGCGTGGTGACAGAGAAAGCAGCATATGGAGACAAAGCTGGGTATGATGTAAGTGGAGGTGTAGGCGAAAGCGTGGATGCAGATGAGCAGAGGAGTGAGAGGGAAGAGAGACGCAAGGAGCTGTCTATTCAATAAACCTCTCGCTATACTTTCCTCCAGCACCAATACGAATTTGATTATGAATGCTGTTTGTATGCCTGAAAGCACTTTACACCATGAATGAATGTTTCTCAACATGAATTGAGAAAAACTGTGCAGATAATGACCAAGAATAATGAATTCATGAAACATGCAGCGGTCAATGCATTTTAAATGTGCTAACAAAAAGCCAAAAACTGCTAAATGCATCCTTATGAAAATAATAAGTATAACCAGTAAAAACAAAGTTTTTCACTATAAATCCTTTATATGCGTGGCGGCTAGAGTCCTCTCGTCCTCTGGCTTGAGATGGCTGCCACCTATGGGTCAGATGATTGTCTACCAGTATTAAGCAATTGGTAATTAAATATTTAATTTGTTTTCCCTAAACAGTGTCAAATTTTGGAAAAAAAATTCACGAACATTAATTGTCTCGCACAACGAGTCTGTGTGCAAAATGTCAGCTCGATTGGATCACGGGAAGTGGGTTAAAAAACGACCGAAAGATTTGCACGGTCGTAAGCAAGCAAGCAAGCACGCAAGCAAGCAAGCGAACTTAATATAAAGGATTTAAAAAGTGTAAGGGACTGTGTTCGCAGAGGTGCACACACGTGAATTAAAAACACTCAGCAAGTTGGTTATTAATGCCATCCTGACTGTAATAAAGGGGCCACTGCCTCCGCTAACAATATTTGTGTTATAAGGCAGGATTATGGCAAAAATTGGGAGTTATTTAAAATTGTAACTTCCTATATGGAGGTAACGCAACACGGATTATGCTCTAAAATAAGGTAACTATATCTATCTCCAATTCATGCAGTACATGCTCATTAAGCTCGGCTGCAAACAAAAATTGCTGTAAACTCCTCACTAGCCTCAGGAAGACAACTAACCTTAATTGAAAGCCAGGAAAGAAGCCTGAATCCAGAAGTCTCTTTTGCAAAGTGAACTTTAAATTAAACATAATTTAGAAAACTTGAGAATGAATCTAAAATAAATTTAAAAAATCGCATAATATTGAATAATTAAGTGAAAGGAAGCATCTAAGAAAATATTTGAAAAGTAACAACACGCAGCATTAAAGAAAAATTAAGGTATAGAACACAACGTATAAAAAGTAAAACACATGAATAAATGAAACAACAATACAATGCAATTTCATATTTACTCGCGCTGCCTAAGCATTTGCACGGAATACACGGCCGAGTTGGAGGGTGTGTGCGGAGGGGGTGTGACGTCATCACGACGCACGAACCCGGCTAGAGGCTGTGGAATGCGGGATGACGTCATCATGCCCACGTGCGTGGTCACGTCACAGCAGGGCACTTGCCAGCCAGTATAGAGCAGGGGTTGGCAACCAATATAACAAGAGGAGCCATTTTTTCGAATTCAGTAAAAAAAAAAACACTCAATATTTCAAGAGCCGCAATGCATGTGAATACAAGACGGTGATCCTTAATAAATAACGTCACGAAGTATCCCTTAAAGTAGCCGCAGATTGCCGACCATCCCCTGGTACAGAGGTACGTATACAGTGAGCGGCAGCACATTCTATAATTCTAGACTTGAAGCTTTCGTGACTGCAAGAATTCATACTCTTAGTTCTTTCGGTAAAGTCACGTAGGTAAAAAAAATGAAATTAAAATTAATAAAATTTTAATCAATTAAAATGAATAACATTCTATTCATTTTAATTTAATTTTTTTACCTACGTGACTTTACCGAAAGAACTAAGAGTACACATTCTATAACTCCGCCGGGCAGCACTGATCAGTGGCAGTACCTGTCCTGGCAGGCGGCTCCACTTGAGAGCATCACGACGCTGGGAGGCGCGCACGGGCGATGACGCAGCACCGGAGCCCGGCTCGTCAGGTGCTCGCGAGCCTTGCTCCTGCTGCAGCGCCATCACGGAGCGTCCAGATGGATCCAGCTGCAAGCGACACACAAGGTGGTAATTGGTTTTTTACCCTTCTATCTGGCAACAAAACTGACACCTTTTTACAAGGAGTCATGTTTGCATAGACCGCAATGCCTGCAGTCATAAATACAAACAAAAGACATAACTCTGATAATGTGCACTGTCCTTGAAGTTGATTGGTCCACACCCGAGACAGCTTTCCTTAGAGCCTAGTCTCACATGGGTTGGACCAGATGACGCCAAAAAACCAGGTGGTGTTTCATTCTTCACCTGAGGACAGCTGCTTGCGTTGTGGCCGAAACGTCGTGAGAATTATTTTATTATGTTTTATTTTTATTATTTTATTACTTCCCTTCTACGTGACTTTACCAAAAGAACCAAGAAGATGAAGACACACAAGGGGTTAAAATACACGGGCATAGCACGCGGTGCTGTCAAGCCGGGTAAAATGTACGTGCTAAAGTCATGACAGGCTTTGGGGAATTCGACTGCTGAAATCATCGCTGAAAATCGTTTTCTATCGTGGCAAATGTTGATGTCCAATAAAGCGAGAAACTCTTTGTGGGATGTCAAAAGTGGTCATACTAAGAAGAGATTAGAGACCAGTATGGGAATGTGGAACTTCTGACACTGGCTTAAGACCACAAATAGAAATGAGCACCATTCCATGCTTGTTTAACCAGACTTTGACTTGCCAAGCAAAAACTTGCATGCCACTCTTTTCATGAGGACGCTGCTGGATATTTTTTGCCGATTAATTTCTCGTAGACTACACCGGTTTTGTGAGTTAAATGGATTATGGCAATTATAAACCAGACAGCGATTAAAATCCATCGGTTCGTTCAACAGTGATCATAAGCCATCGGTTGGCAGAGAGTGATGATTATAAACCATCGGTAAGCTAGTCCAGGGGTCAGCGACCTGCGGCTCCGAAGCCGCATGCGGCTCTTTGGCTCGACGGCTCTTTTTCACCTGCGAGGGCAGGCGGAGTCCCTTGACCGTGACGTAGATCGTGGCCGGGTAGCGCAAGCGTGCGTGCTTCGCGTACCACTCGTACACAGGCAACACGCCCGCCGCGTGCCGAAACCGAGCCGGCGGGTAGAACAACTGCAGGCGCATCTTTCCGCCCACGTTCACCGCACCGTTGGCACCGACCAGCTGTTTAAACGGCACACGTGCCAAACGGCACAACCAAAATCTCAAGTGTAACACACTCCCAAAGGTATAATTAAAATCATTGTCTCTTTGTCCCCCAATTATATATACTTTGGTATGTTTTCTCATGTACTAGTCAGGTTGATTGATGGCAAAGTTTCAGAGGGGCACACCTTGAGGAAAGCCCAGGCCAGGCACCGCCGGCCGCCGCTGTCTGTCTGGAGGGCGGAGTAGTTGGTCTGAGTTTCGTCCATGCTCACAAGATCCACCACCTAAAGCACAAAGACCAGCATCACCAACACCAAAGCCATTTGTTAGGTTCCTTGCGCACATCTCCATTCATAGTGACATCCGCCTTTGTCTTCTCACAAAGCTGTAACTATTTTTATCAACCATGCAACAATGAAGTAATGAGTCAACCTTCAAACAGAATGTTAACTCGCGCGCTTATTTTGAACTCGCACTCGCTGAGTCAATCACTCAGATCACAGAGCCACTGGGCCTGATGACACTGGCTTTATGAGTAACGTAAAAAGTTTCAATCACCAAATATCTGTTCCCAATGTGTACGGGCAGGTAGAAATAGCATTTAACCAATTAACAGATGTGTGGTCATCAGTCAGGGAGACAGAGATGATGCTGGCTCCTCCCTATAATCATGCATGTATGCTATGTCAATCAGAATTGGTGCTCGGACATCAGTGCATTTCAACATCAATAAAGTGATATGCTCATCATATATGTAAGAGAATGGACTTAACAAAAGTGTACAAATGAGACAAAAAACCCAATTCAAATGAGATGGTAAAATCAAGATCACAAAATAATAATTTATTGTATTGAATCGTTAGAATTCATCAATTTACTGGCTTGTTCATTACATACCTAATTAATTAAGTACAGATTACCTTTATAACTACGTTAAACCTTGATAACCTTGATTAAAGAGTAGACCAAATTTCCTTTATGAAGGAGGCCTGAGTAACAAAAAAATTAACCCGTAAAAACAAAGTTTTTCACTATAAATCCTTTATATGCGTGTTCAATGGGCCACAACCAAGCCCACATTGGTCTTTGAAACGGGCGGCTAGAGTCCTCTCGTCCTCTGGCTTGAGATGGCTGCCACCTATGGGTTAGATGATTGTCTGCCACCATTAAGCAATTGGTAATTAAATATAAAAAAAAATTCCTAAAAGGTGTAAAATTTTGGAATTTTTTTTCACGAAAATGCATTGTCACGCACAACGAGTCTGTGTGCAAAATGTCAGCTCGATTGGATCACGGGAAGTGGGTTAAAAAACGACCGAAAGATTTGTACGGTCGTAAGCAAGCAAGCAAGCAAGTGAACTTAATATAAAGGATTAAAAAAAAAGTACAGCAAATCAAACCCGATACAAGTTCAAGCATAGCAGCAGTGGCGGCTCATTGCATGTCCACTATGTGGGGCTGTTGTGAGTGACCTCTGAAAATATGGTGCTCTAATTAAGAAGAACTTCGTCATGTTATTGGCCTTCCGTGAACGTGATAAAACTGTCTTATCTACCAACGGCCGGCATTTAGAAACAATACGAAACAACACGCAAATTGCTGTCCCCATGAACTTCCAAGTCCACACTACGCAACCCCTTTGACACTGGCAAAAGCCGTGACCTGTTATATTTGCACAGTGCAACCTCGCGTTGTGACGTAGTAATTACAGCCATGGGTGCCTTTTTCACCGCCCTGAATGGGTCTCAAACGGCGTGGCTAAAATGCGAAGCTAATCGCAATGCACGAAGGGATATCTCTCACTCGGACGGCTTCACAGCCACCCTGAGACCTCCCCGAGGCACAAATCAGACTGTGGTGTTGCAACGGTTTCTAATATGAACAAATAAAAATGTTATCTTCATTAGGCAATTCAAGTTGAAAGAATCATTACAATTAAAACAAAAATTAACACAGAACTATTGATAAAAAAGTTTTTTTTTCTTAGAAAAATAATTTCTCATCTCCAGCTGCTTGGTGGTGGGGCAGCGCCCCAACGCCCCTAGTGGACGAACCGTGCCTGCAGAGACGACAGCAGAGACCTTACAACCAGTTGTATTGCCCACTAATCGTCAGAATTAAATCCTACAACCCGAGCCAACGATGCCACCTCTCAAACTCTCCAGCGGTTGGGGCAATCAGTATTGAGGGGCCGGCTCGCAGAGGGGAGTCCAAGGCTTTTCCCCAGGTTGGCATCGCCACCAGCGAGGTACCACCACCATCACCAAAAGCCACCGGCTGCCACCATGCATACCCACCTCGAAGAAGAGTAACACGCGCGCAGCTCCGGGCTCGACGCGGAGGAATGGGCCGAGACGGTGGGGGAACACCAGCTGCTCCTCCCACTCAGGGAGCAACGAGCGGTGAGTGCGCACGTCGCATGGCTGCGTGGTCAGAGGATGCTCCGTGTCGGAGGAGCCCGGCTGGCTGGGAGCTGCGGCAAGTTGCTCGCTGGCACGCGGCCACCGTGAGCGGGACGCAGGAAAGGGAAACCGTGTTAGAGGTCGGTAGCTTGAGACTGCTTAAGGGAGGTAATGTAGACTGATAGAAAATAACAATTTCTGACTATTTCATGTTTGTTAAATCTCTTGTGTTAACGTCTAAAATCCTTCAAGTTGAATTATGTATCCAAACACATCACTGAGTAACAACATATGTATGTTCTTTGGGTCTTTCGGTAAAGTCACGTACATAGGTTCAAAGCAAATAACAAAAACTACGACGTTTAGATCGCAACACAAGCGGTCATCAACCCATCTACGTGACTTTACCGAAAGACCCAAAGAATATAAATTCCTGCAGTCACGAAAGCTTTAAGTCAAGATTTAACATATGTATGCACGAACATATTTTGGAAGACACAACGAGAGCGATGATGACAATTAAGACGATGATGCTGGACCTGCAGTGTTGCGATGATTTTGATTATGGCAATAATAGTGATGATGGTAATGACAATGGACATGATCTTCTTAGTTCTTTCGGTAAAGTCACGTAGAAGGGAGATAATAAAATAATAAAAATGAAACATAAGTAAAATAATACAATATTCTGTTTTATTTTTATTATTTTATTATCTCCCTTATACGTGACTTTACCGAAAGAACCAAGAAGATGAATCCCTGCAGTCACGAAAGCTTTAAATCGAAAAATGGAGATGATGACAAATGTGATGATGACGATCATGATTGCGAGGATTATGACGATCATGACAATGATGATCATGAAGATAATGATGATGCCGACTGCAGGTGGTCACGATGACGACAACAACAAAGACGACATGATACTGAGCTCTCCCCACCCCCCCACCACACTCCCTCCCCTCCCACCAGTCCTCCTTGCGCACGTGTTGCCCCGTGGCAGCGTCCACCAGGTACACGCGCACCAGCGCACATGCGAGCAGCGGATCAGAGGCCAGGCGGTCAGTGCGGTGTACGAACACGCCCAGCGCCTGTTCGTCCTCCTCTCTCCGCTCCGCCTCCTGAGCCACCTCCATTGACGAGGCTTCCTTGCCGCCCGCCACCGCTGCAGTGTTACATCAAAGCGCCGCCACACTTTCCGTCAAACGCGCTTGTCAACGACGGCAGATCGCCAAGGGCGAGGAGGGAAACGCACGGGGATTTGAGAGCTTGCCCACATTATAGGCACGCAATAAGTATACATTCCTTTTTCTTGGTTCTTTCGGTAAAGTCACGTAGAATGGAAATAATAAAATAATAAAAATACAACATAAAATAATTCTCACGACGTTTCGGCCACAACGCAAGCAGCCGTCCTCAGGTGAAGACCAGGTCTGTCGGGGAGACAGCGTCTGAATGAAACAGCACCATGCTTGGAGCGTATATTTAAGCTGGGTTGGAAGGGGGGGAAGGGCGCCTTGACAAAAGAATTTGCAGGACGGCTGCTTGTGTTGTGGCCGAAACGTCGTGAGAATTATTGAATGTTTTATTTTTATTATTTTATTATTTCCATTCTACGTGACTTTACCGAAAGAACCAAGAAGATGAATCCCTGCAGTCACGAAAGCTTTAAATCGAAATATAAATTCCTCGTTCTAAGTATTGTTCAAGAGAAAAAGGGGATGAGTGGCATTGTGGTTAGCACTCTTGTTTATATATGTCACCGTATAGTTGGGCCTCAGAGGTCGGCTCCTCTGCTGCTCATTCTAAATACTCCCTTTGTGTCTGGACGACCCAGTGTCCGTTTAGAGTATTTGGTCCCTATACAGGTAGTCCTCGACTTACGATGGAGATGCGTTACGACGACCCCATCGTAAGTCAAAAACATTGTAAGTCAAAGATGGCCTAGCCTACCCAGGAGTCTTAAAGAATGGTGATAATTTAGCAAAACAGAGCAATGTACAGTACCGTACTGTATAAACTATATACTGTGTGTATTTATGAATTACAATACTGTATTGCGCAGTAAAATGTAAAGTAAAAAAACAAGGTAAATTCTTAGCCTACCTATATGAACTGCAATTTAATAGAAAAAATTTTCATGGAAACAATCCTATCTGCTATAAAAACTTTTAACATGCATTGGAACGTATCGTATCGTGGTAACCCTAAAATGAAATCGCTAAAGCTACGTATCATACGTACAATTTTGTCGTACCGCTATCGCCATCGTAAGATCGAAATATCGTAAGTCGGACCATCGTAACTCGGGGACTATCTGTACATTTCCACGTGATAAACCACGTCGTTGAACTATCATTTGTGGCCAGGTCGCTTCTCAAAAAGTGCTCTATAGCTCTGGTCCTTACCTGGTAAAGTAAAAAAGAAATAGTTTAGTGTTCATCTTCACCTTTCGCGTTCTTCTTCTTGGTCCTCCTGGCGGCTTTCGGTCGCCTCGCGGTCTCCTCGCCCTCCTCGGTGAGTGCGACCTCCTCGTCAGGGCGATCTGGACTCATGGCCGCTCTGCTCTTCTCGCGACCCTCCCTGCTCCGCCGTGGCCGAGGGACCGGTGGTTCGGGAGAGCCCTCGGCCGTGCGGACCTCCCTTCCTCTGGACGGCGTCCTCGACTTGACCTTTGCCCTCCGAACCGCTGGCAGGGGGCTATTGTCCAGGTCAGCTAGGGTCATGGTTCTAAACAAAATGCATACGAAAGCATAATGACGTACAAATTAAACAACTTACATTAGAAAAACATGCCTCGTTGTTTTTGAAAAAAGTAAATTCACATGTATCAAGTAGTAATATGTATTTCAGCCAACACAGATGAGCTGTCGAATTTGTTAGAACTCATCTAATCCACAATTTTGTTATCTACAGCCCCTAATCCTTGGAAATTCCAATTACCCGTGTTTGTTCATCATCCTATGAGCCAAGTTATTCCATTGACAAAGAGGCGCGCATCGCGTGATTAAAGCGGGCACTAAATGTATCTTATTATGTAATTGTTTTATCCCATAGGTGCTCCGATTTCCTCCTAATCGTATAAACACTCATTAATTGGCTGAAAACATGTTAATAGAGGACTGCATGGTTTGGACAGTTGTTGATGCTGCCTCACTGCCTGGCTGCATTTCCAGCTGGTCTGGGATTCCTCGACAATTGTAAGATGCAATTTGCATGAACGAAGAAGGCATTATGTAAAACTAGACATCATTAGCATTCTTATTTTTCTTATTCTGTGCACAACATATAAATAGCAAAAGGTGTCATTTTGTAAATAAAAAAGCCATTCTGACCTGTCTGCTTCTATCGTCTCGTTGTTCAGGGTCGGCTCCTTCCTGATTTTTATCTTCGTGACAACTTCTTCACCCTGAGTCATCGTTTCTCTTTTCTTTCTGGGCTTCTTGGGCTGGTCATCGCTGGGTGTGCTGGGTTCTAGAATCAGCTGCTGCTTATCCTCCTGGACAGGGGTGGAGTTTGGTGTTTATGTACCGATGTAACGGCAGACACACCGGTATACACGTAGGATTTCGCGACCAATATCATCCATAATAGAGGTTTTTGGGTTAGATCGCGTAAACATTTGAATGTGTCGTTAAAACCCGCCACCACCCGACACAGCCAACTAGTAAGGGTTGTCACGTAAACAGAACATGCCAATTCGTCACTAGTACAGCACACCGGTGTGTTGGAGAGCCAAGCTCTTATATATTTACGCGATCTAACCCAAAAACTTAAATTATGGACACCGGGAAACATTTGCCCTTTTGATGATTCAAACATTCACGTGTAATTGCACTACAAGCATGTACCTTTATGTTCATTAACACATCTATGTGTTTGTACACCCACAGAAAATTAACAAAACAAGATTAATATAAATTACAAAATTTATATCACGGTCATTGAATGTTATTTAAAATTATCATAAACCGCTCCTTTTGAATTTAGATAACTTTTAATTATATTACGGATTTGAACGATTGCTGTTTGTTGTAAATGTATTTTTGCATAAAACATTTCTACATTATTTGACACGTTATAACCCCCCCCCCTTGCAAAGGAGATATTATGCCTCATTAAGTTTCCACTTGACTCATGCTTTGGACACGGACCAATGAGTTCCTGCTTGATTCATGCAAGGGTGAAGTGAAACATGTACGGTTTCTGGAGCCAATAGTAACCACTTCAAAAGTGTACATAAACGTAACAGAGGCTGCCGTGACACAAAATGAACGTACTAGACTTGTAATCAAAAGATCAAATGTTCGATCTCCTGGCATAACATTTGAATCTCTTGAATCTCCCTGCCTCTCTTCGCCCAGCAGTATGAATGGGTACACCACACTTAGTTAATCAGTAGGGCGTGTGTGTGGCAGAGTATGAAGAGTTGCAAAAATTACCCGCAAGGCGGGACCTCTTTAAACTCCTTTAGTCAATCAATCAAGCTTTATTTTACGTGCCAATATCGCCCTCGGTAAAATAGGCGTCAGTGCACATTACACTGGAACGGGAAGAGTGGACGCCCTTCCATCAGTGACGGCATCAGCTAGCAAGTGCCAAGCTGCACCTTTACTTTTAAGAAACTTAATAAGCGGTGTCAATAAACACAAGACCTAAGAGTTCAACTGAATTACAATTCTCCAGGTGCAGCAATTAGCATGCGCACTGCAACATAAATCACCTGGTGTACAACTCAACAAACAATATTGGTTGAGATGATACTTGGCTGCTGCAGCTCCTTACTATTAAAAACGTCCCTCCCTTTATTACTGCTAATCCTACTTCCTCCCTTTATTACTGCTAATCCTACATAATACACGAGCATAATATGACTTTGAGACCCCCCCCCACCACCTACACATTCCACAAGTAGTGACTAATCCCATATCTGCATTTTCCATAAATATGCTAAATTCATTTTTCAAGGCGCTCTCCTCCTCTAACCCAGCTTAAATATACGCTGCCACGCTTGGTGGTGTTCATTCGGACGCTGTCTTTCCGACAGCCCTGTTCTTCACCTGAGGACGGCTGCTTGCGTTGTGGCCGAAACGTCGTGAAAATTTTATGTAATTGTAAAAAAATTATTATTTCATTATTTCCCTTCTACGTGACTTTACCGAAAGAACCAAGAAGATGAATCCCTGCAGTCACGAAAACTTTAAATCGAAAAAAAATGATACTTGAAGTCAGAATTGAGACCAGAATCAGAGCTAAAAGAATTAGCAGTTTCCAATACCTTGATTTTGTCCGATATTGTAAAGACCTCGCTGGTGGTGTAGCCTCCAGGGTCATCCTCATCTGGAGGGAGCAACGGCAACTGCCGTTTCTTTTTCTTCTTCTTTTTGATCTTTGCGTCTGTGGCCTCTATGTCCTCGGCCATGACATTGCTAGATTTTTTGGCAGTGGGAACCCGCTCCCGCTGCTTGTTCTTGTTGAAACGTGGACTCTGCTGCTCCTGGACAGCACATGACACAAAACAATGGGGGGGGGGGGGGGGGGGTGGAAACAAGTCAAGATATCTGTCGCTTGCCTAAAATACCAGGCAACCCAGCAGAATTTGTTAAACAGATCACACCCTCCTGATTGAGACTGAGATGTCAAAAACTGGTCCAGAATTTTCCTACTTAAGAGAATGCAGAGACACTTGTGCAGAAAGACTTTTTGGCTGATAAACCCAAATGTTATCCTGTATTATTTGCTCGTGATATTACATACTTTGTCTGTTTATTCATTTACTATATCATTACGCACAGTATGCGACGTTGATGCATATTAATGTTATGCTGTGAACGGCTTGTATTTAATGAACACTTATGCATATTGTCGTTTAAAATAGTTCATTAAAACAATATGCAGAGAAAATATCTTCTCCATCATCGCAAAAAAACGTGGTTATACGTTCATCTGTAGATAAATGAACTGAGAAACCCTTTCGATTTAAAGCTTTCGTGACTGCAGGGATTAATATTATTCGTTCTTTCGGTAAAGTCACGTAAAAGGGAAATAATACAAATAATACAAGTAAAACATAATAAAATAAAATTCTCACAACGTTTCGGCCACAACGCAAGCAGCCGTCCTCAGGTGAAGAAACAGAGCTGTTGGAAAGACAAGGACGGCTGCTTGCGTTGTGGCCGAAACGTAGTGAGAATTTTATTATGTTCTATTTTTATTATTTTATTATTTCCCTTTTACGTGACTTTACCGAAAGAACCAAGAATATGAGAAACCCTTTCTAGATTGTTATTGGATCGCCATCGTAACACTTGTTGTTGCTTGTATATGAGTCAACCAACTGCATGTCTACCTGGTTGTAGGTGTTGTGGAGAATGGTCTCCTCATTCTCGCTGCTCTTCTGCAGGTCCAAACTCCTACGTAGACTTTCCAGCTGCAAATACAACGAACACAGTCAACACACATAAAGTACAGAGAACTACTTAGAAACTATTTGTATTTTACCAGGTAAGGCCCACTGTGCAATATAGCTCTCTTTCAGAAGCGACCTGGCCACAAATGATAGCTCAACGAAGTGTCTTACCATGTGGAAATGTATAGCAGCCAGATACTTTAAACGAATGTTTCTAATTGTGGAGGGCAAAACCAGAGGAGCAGGATAAAATCAATGCGACCACGGGGAGAACATTCAAACTCCAAATATACAGGCGTCGTCAGCGTTGGAACGAACCCACGACCTCCTATATACCAGGCGAGGTAGTTAACATCACAGCATGCATGTATGTTGAACTTCTTTTGCACCACATATCGCCAACCGTTCTTATCAGAGGTGTGGGGAAAGGACAACAAACTAAACACAAAACGCAATTGTAATGAAATTAGTTTCCAATCTAGATTTAAAAGTGCAGAGCTCCATTGGTATCCTAATATCGGAAGGGCATTCCAGACGGCCGCAGAAGCTAATCTGAAAGCGTGCGATGCAGCATCTCTCTTTGTTCTCTGGGGGACAGCACACTTTCTACCCCAGCCTGAGCTCAGAAGTTAAGATGGGTCTTCATAGTAATGTCACATGACTATGAATAGGTATGAAAACTGTACGAGCTAATTATTGCACTCTTTTCGACACATATCTACCTAATTTCGAAATCCAGAGCACCGTTTAATCTAAACACACGTACATTATAATCTAACAATTGTTGCATTCATTTTTAATGGCAGACGCTAATCATTATATTGAAAGCACCAATTGACATTCTAAAGCCTTTACCAACCCTCCCTGCACATCTTATATTCCCATTTGCGGGTCACAAAATGAATATTTTTCGCATCTTTTTACCATCTCATTTGTATCGTTTCATATTTTTAAATCCTTTATATTAAGTTCGCTTGCTTGCTTAGGACCGTGCAAATCTTTCGGTCGTTTTTTAACCCACTTCCCGTGATCCAATCGAGCTGACATTTTCCACACAGACTCGTTGTGCGTGACAATTAATGTTCGTGAAAAAAATTTTCCCAAAATGTTACAATTTTTAGGACAAAAATATTATATTTAATTACCAATTGCTTAATGGTGCAATGCAATCATCTGACCCATAGGTGGCAGCCATCTCAAGCCAGAGGACGAGAGGACTCTAGCCGCCACGCATATAAAGGATTTATAGTGAAAAACTTTGTTTTTACTGGTTATACTTATTTGTTGCTTAGACAGTTTGGTTTACTCCATTAGCCCGAGCAGAATATTACCATACAATCTGCGTGTTTTACATAATCAATTATAACACACAATATTTCATGCATAAATTGAGAGCGTACAAATACATTTCAATCGGCAAATTCGTACATTGTAACGCGCCTATTTCCCATGGCTGCATTATTGTACAGTGCAGTGCCATAGTGGCGAGATGTTAACTACCTCTCCTGGCATATGGGTCGTGGGTTCGATCCCGACCTTGAGGCCTGTATATTTGTTCTCCCCATTGGGCGCGTGGATTTTTCTCCAGGTTCTCCAGTTTTTCCCTCCACATTTAGAATCAACATCATGCGTTTCGAGTATTTGGCTGCTTTAAATTTCTACACGATAAGCCACTTTGTCGAGCTATCATTTGTGGCCAGGTCGCTTCTGAAAAAGAGCTACATATCTTCTTGGTTCTTTCGGTAAAGTCACGTAGAAGGGAAGTAATAAAATAATAAAAATAAAACATAATAATATAATATAATAATATTATTTTATTACTTCCCTTCTACGTGACTTTACCGAAAGAACCAAGAAGATGAATCCCTGCAGTGACGAAAGCTTTAAATCGAAATTTAAGAGCTATATAGCTGAGTGGGCCTTACCTGGTAAAAAAAAAAAAACATTTTTATTCTAGATTTGAAGCTTTCGTGACTGCAAGGATTAATATACTCTTAGGTTTTTTCGGTAAAGTCACGTAGGTAAAAAATAAAAATAAATAATGATAATTATAGAAATAATAATAGAAATAAAATAATAAATCACGACGTTTCGGAGGCAACACAAGTCTCCGTCATCAGGTGGGACCGTCACAGCTAAATTTACTGTATCAAGTGAGGAAAAATCCAAGAGACAAGCTCTTAAATAGAGTATGAAAACATGTTTAGTTTAGCATGAAAAGGGTCACTCACGACGAAAGCGTCGCTCTCCGCCACTTTCTTCTTTCTCCTTTTCTTCTCGCTCGAGATTTGCCCGCCCGCGTATGACTTGAGGACATCCTCGATGCGCGTGCGCGTCGTGTGAGAGTGCTCCTCACCTCCCTCCGCCGTCACCCCTGCAAATTGACGTTCAAAATCGCTCTCCTCAGCGCGGCTATCACCGTCGTGCTTATTGGCAGTGCATCGTAACGAGATGAGGGCTTACATTTTACCAAGGCATTTTGCTTTGCCCACAGTGTACGTATGTATGGAGGTGGATTTTTTAAATCATTTATATTAAGTTCGCTTGCTTGCTTGCGTGCTTGGGTGCTTGCTTGCTTGCTTACGACCGTGCAAATCTTTCGGTCGTTTTTTAACCCACTTCCCGTGATCCAATCGAGCTGACATTTTGCACACAGACTCGTTGTGCGAGACAATTCATGTTCGTGAAAAATTTTTTTCCAAAATTTTACACTGTTTAGGGAAAACAAATTAAATATTTAATTACCAATTGCTTAATACTGGCAGACAATCATCTGACCCATAGGTGGCAGCCATCTCAAGCCAGAGGACGAGAGGACTCTAGTCGCCACGCATATAAAGGATTTATAGTGAAAAACTTTGTTTTTACGGGTTATACTTATTTGTGTATATATTGGGAATATGGTAGTGAGTAAAGATAAATGGGACAACTGCATTATAGTTGTATTACTATACAAGCTGATAATAGCCCTTCGCATGGATGGGTAAATAATTTTCCAAATTAAAATTCGAAATAAAACAGCATTGCGTGTTTTTTTTATAGTTCACACTCACATTAAGCAAAAAACTGTCATACTTAAGTAAAGCTGAAAAATATGGACCTGATAACATTACTGTACTCTACATTATTGTGTTTAATTGCAAAGTAAGTGATGTAAAAACATACAAAACGAACATAATTCACTCTTACAGTAAACGTCCATAACATAATTCACTCTTACCAACAGGCATGGCATCAGCTGTTATGACCTCCACTCCATGGCGAAGATATGTCTCCAGTGATTACACCTAGAAAGATCTGAGTGACAACACATTTCCATATTAATGTAACAAGTAATGTGCTAATTGTAAATGATGGGTCTCAAACTCTCAATCATCTTCACCTTCAGTGGTAATGATGGTCATCTGCTCATTCACCATGTGAAGTAATTGCCGAGTAGTGTAAATTTTGTTTGTAAAATTAGTGACAAATATTTAATGAAAACTTTTTTATTTTATTTTAGTTCACGATATGACTGAGTGAACAGAAATTATTCAGCATGATGATGACTCTGATCACCCACAAAATAACTCAGCATGACTATGATCACATTAAAGTAAGTACTGTAGCCTCAATGAAGACACAGACCAAGACAATTTAGTAATGTTATTAGTGACAGCAATGTATATGTTTGATTAAAAAATTAACCCGTAAAAACAAAGTTTTTCACTATAAATCCTTTATATGCGTAGCGGCTAGAGTCCTCTCGTCCTCTGGCTTGAGATGGCTGCCACCTATGGGTCAGATGATTGCCTGCCACCATTAAGCAATTGGTAATTAAATATAATTTTTTTTCCTAAAAAGTGTAAAATTTTTGAAAAAAATTTTCACGAAAATAAATTGTCACGCACAACGAGTCTGCGTGCAAAATGTCAGCTCGATTGGATCACGGGAAGTGGGTTAAAAAAAGACCGAAAGATTTGCACGGTCGTAAGCAAGCAAGCAAGCAAGTGAACTTAATATAAAGGATTTAAAAAGGTAAATGGATAAATATACAAAACGATCAACTTAATTCACTAATTGGCCTTGATAATCTAGGGGGGTTACTGTGAGCCCCTCACACCAACGTTACATTACTAAGAGGATACTACATTTTTGACTGCTTTAGTCACATAGAGCAAGAAAATAACCAAGTGAAAGCCACAGACTAAGACTCGACTAATATTTTACATGCTGTCGACTATAATAAAAGAGACCTGTTCGAATGTGTGCAAGCGTGGTCTACTTAAATTCGTATTTATTTCTAATCCATTAAAATATTTCCCGTCTGTATCTTTACTCCGTCATGCATTAATGAGTCATATACTGTAGAGGTGCGTTATATTTTTGCCGGTTTAAATCACATTTATAACTCTACGTGGACGTTATCCAACGTGTATTATAAATTCACTTGGTAGTTTAAATATCAATGGACATACATGTGAAATAGGAATTAACTGCAGTTAAATATGATACAGACGGGAAATCTGTGGCTGTATCGAAGAATGCTGAAAATCCCATGGATAGCCAAAACCACCAATACACAAGTTGTGCAAGATATGGGCACTGACAGGCAACTGCTGAAGACCATCATTAGCAGGAAGTGTTACTACCTAGGCCACATTGCCCGAAACGACCACAAATACCAGCTATTAAAGCAAATCCTGGAAGGAAAAATCGAAGGGAAAAAACGACCAGGATGGCCAAAAATGACATGGCTCAGTAACATCAAAACATGGCTACAATTAACAACAGCACAAACTCTACACGCCGTGCTAGACCGGGACCAATATCATCGTGAAGTCGCACACGCCGTTAGGCAGCAGTAAAGAAGAAGAAATATGGATTAACATAGTAAAAACTACAACATTTAGTTGATATCGCAAAGTGATGTACATTTGCAGTGTACGTATTATATTTTAAATGAAAATATATCAAATAGCGTTATTGTTTTAAGAATATAGAACACGCACGGGCGATCAATGTCGATGTAAATATTGATAGCACGGGCTATCAATACTGGATAAAGCATACATGTGATTGAAATCCCATTAAATCACACACCATGTAGTCTAGACTGGATGTTTCTTAATAATCATTAAGGTGAATCTATTGTGGATTTTTTTCCCCAAAACGTATTACCATTCTACTGTACAGTAGTAATACATTAACAGCACAATGTAACGTGTACTGAAAAAGAGCAGTACATCAAATATATAAAGGGTAAAACATATTTAAAATATACCATTGAAAAAATAAGCCCATGAACTTTAAAGAATGTGCAATGATTTAATGCTTAAATGCAACTTTAGAATGGTTTATTCTTAATCGTGTGAAAAGGCAGTGGAACATGACGGTTCGAAACCACGACCACCCTGGTTAATAACACAGGCGGCGGTGCATTAAACACAAATACGCTGCGTCTGCTTAAGAGTGTACGTTACTGGGAATAAAAGAACAGCCCATTGTGTGCCGGTGGCAGTCGAAATTTGCCAACGTTTGTTGAATCACCAGCCTTTTTTTATTGGGAAAAACACATAGCAACATCACCCCCTTCCCCCTCCTCTCATATGTTGGTAAAATACTGCAGACTACAAAATGTGACCTTTTAGCCAGAGAATAGGTTTTACCCTTTCTGGGAATAAATCAGGTGTTAAGATGTCCACGCACCAAATAGAAACCTTTTGGCACGGAATCAAGTCTGCATTAACCACACATCCATTAATTCTAGATTTGAAGCTTTCGTGACTGCAATGATTCATATTCTTAGGTTTTTTCGGTAAAGTCACGTAGGTAAAAACATTAAAAAAGTAAAATAAAATAAAATAATTATTTTATTTTACTTTTTTATGTTAATAAAATAATTATTTTATTTTACTTTTTTATGTTTTTACCTACGTGACTTTACCGAAAAAACCTAATAACACACATCCATTCTCCCATGGAGAAGCAAAATGCTCCTTCATGGAATAAATCAAAGGTGACCTTAGTAAATTTAAATAATCAAATAGTTGAAAATGATTTAAAATTAGTGTTGTTATAACAATTCTATATTTATTTAAAGTTGCGCATTTTGTTGTGACGTCACATTTCTCCCCCCCCCGTCACAAATGTCTGACCCCCCCCCTAGGTGCGTGACGTCATTTATGGCCGGCCCCATATAAGATTATGTGATTAACACACGTTCCAAAACAATACTGGTCGACCCATGACAGTTGACTCCAGATATTCACAACAAATCCACGTGATGTATGATGACATTAAACACACACACATGTTTATATATATAAAGCGAAGAAAACAGTGACAACATTTCAACGTAAATGTTCCTATTCTTGGTTCTTTCGGTAAAGTCACGTAGAAGAAAAATAATAAAATAATTTTAATATAAAACAATTAAAATTCTCACGACGTTTCAAACTGCAACACAAGCAAGCATCATCACCTGCTTGTGTTGCAGTCGAAACGTCGTGAGAATTTTTGTTTTATATTTTTATTATTTTATAATTTCCCTTCTACGTGACTTTACCGAAAGAAACAATAATATGAATCCTTGCAGTCACGAAAGCTTTAAATCTAAAAAAAATAAATGTTCCTATTGATGGCAATGGAGTTGGGCCTGGTCAATTCTAGCGCCCTGCCCGTTCCCACTCTCCCTCACGCGCGAACCAACCAACCAACCAACCGACCCAACCATCACACAACCAAACACGCACACGCTTATAACCCCACCGAACCACGTTTACCGTGCGCGCGATTCTTTTGTAAGTAATTCTTTTACAATTACAATTAACGCTGAACCCGTTAGTCGAGTGACCGTCTTCTCGGTGAGCAATGAGACGCCGTTACCCAGACGCCGAGCGCCCTCGCAACGGCGCGGGTGACACGTCACGTGCTCGCCGCTCAGCCAATGGGCGCGCGCCCCTTGCGTCACCGCGTGCGGTGGGGGTGGGAGGGGCTCAGCCCGATTGTGCCCCTCCCCCCCTCTTTGTGTGATTGTGACGTCATGGTCCAACAGTTGGAGTTTTCATCTTCTTGGTTCTTTCGGTAAAGTCATCGCGTAGAAGGGAAGTAATAAAATAATAAAAATAAAACATAATAAAATAATTCTCACGACGTTTCGGCTACAACGCAAGCAGCCGTCTTCAGGTGAAGAATGAGACACTACCAAGCTAGGAGCTTATATATAAGCTGCGTTGGAGGTGCAAGGGCGCCTTAACAAAAATAATGTGCATATCAAGAGGAATTTAGCATATTCATGGAAATGCGTAGGAGGTGGGTGGGGGGGGTTTCATAGTCATATTATGCCCATGCATTATGCAGGATCAACAGCACCAAGTTGGAGTTTTTTTTCGGTATAGTCCCGTAGGTAAAAAATTAAATTAAAATTAATAAAAAATAAAAACAATAAGATCACAACGTTTCGGAGGCAACACAAGCTTCCGTGTTCAGGTGAAACTGTCACAGCAAAAAATCTAGAATGGAATTTTTATTATTGTTTTTATATTTATTACTAGCTGTACTACCCGGCTTCGCCCGGGACTTGTATCTACCACGGCCGGCCGCCTTTGTCTCCCCAGTGGCGATGTTAATACGCTACAGTAGTTAAGTTACTCGTTTGAGGCAGAGTCGACCTAGGGGAGGTTCAAATAATCGTCACCGGTGGTGGCCGTGAGCGGGAATCGAACTGGGTTTGCCGGGTTGGTAGCGCAGCGTAGCGTTAAGCACTACACCCACCGCTCCTCACACACCACACACGCACAGACACACACACAGACACACACACAGACACACGCAGACACACACAGACAGAAACACACACACAGACAGCACGCTAACCACTACACTACCGCTCCCCACACACCACACACGCACACACACAGACACACACACAGACACACACACAGACACACACACACAGACACACACACACACAGGCAGCACGCTAAGCACTACACTACCGTTCCCCCTACACAACACACGCGCGCGCGTCCATAGGTACACATACACGCGCTTGCTGCAGACACACACGACTTTCAGGGTGCATACGGCAGTAAACGACTGAAATAATAAAGCGGCAATGCTGTGTAAGGAACGCCTTAGACCCGCATTATACATTTGTGTAATGCGAGCGTAAACACACAAACACACACAAACACATACACAATACACACACACATACATGCAGACACACAGACAGACACATAACACACATACATACATACACACACATACAAACACAGAAACACATACACACACATACACAGACACACACATACATACACACGAACACATCCACAGACGTACATACACACATACATACAGGCACGCAGACATACACATAAACACATACAAAAAAACCCACATACATACACACACAACAACAACAACAACCGCCATTCGCCACTAAGTGGCGGTGACGTCACCACGATGCTTGTGCCAGGCCAAGTGCACCTTGAGGCCACGTGAAGTGTCGAAAGCCCGCTGGCAGGAGGTCCGGCAAAACAACCTCCTACCTCCTCGCGGTGCCGGACGGGCAACACTGTCGTGGGCAGTGCTGTGGGGGGAGGGCCAATGCCCATTGGCCTCTCCCCTCATGGTGTCTGTGACCACCACAGTGGCTAAACGGGGGCTCTGGACGGGTGTGAGGGGCTGGTAACCCCTCCACCTTCAATTCATTACCACTAAACCACGAATTAAACATAAACCTGTAACAAATACACACACACATACATACACACAAACACATGCACACACATACATACACACATGCATACAGACACACAGACATACACATAAACACATACACACATACACATGACCCGGCTTCGCCCGGGACTTGGATCCACCACGGCGGCAAAACCGACATACATACACACACAGACATACACACAAACACATACACACACATACATACACACATGCATACAGACACACAGACATACACATAAACACATACACATGACCCGGCTTCGCCCGGGACTTGGATCCACCACGGCGGCAAAACCGACATACATACACACACAGACATACACACAAACACATACACACACATACAAACACACATGCATACAGACACACAGACATACACATAAACACATACACATGACCCGGCTTCGCCCGGGACTTGGATCTACCACGCCCAGCCGCCTTTGTCTCCCAAGTGCCGATGTTAATACGCCACACCAGTTACTCGTTTGAGGCTGAGTGGACCTAGGGGAGGTTCAAATAATCGTCACCGGTGGTGGCCGTGAGCGGGAATGGAACTGGGTTCGCCGGGTTGGTAGCGCAGCGTAGCGTTAAGCACTACACCCACCGCTCGTCACACACCACACACGCACAGACACACACACAGACACACGCAGACACACACAGACAGACACAGACAGACACACACACACACAGACAGCACGCTAAGCACTACACTACCGTTCCCCCTACACAACACACGCGCGCGCGTCCATAGGTACACATACACGCGCTTGCTGCAGACACACACGACTTTCAGGGTGCGTAAGGCAGTAAACGACTGAAATAATAAAGCGGCAATGCTGTGCGAGGAACGCCTTAGACCAGCAACACATTTGTGTAATGCGAGCGTAAACACACAAACACATACAAACACATACACACACATACATACACACATACACACAAACACATACACACAGACATACACATACACACAAACACACACATACATGCACACAAACACATACACAATACACACACACATACATGCAGACACAGACAGACACATAACACACATACATACACACACATACACACACATACATAGACACACACATACATAGACACACACATACATACACACAAACACATGCACACACGTACATACACACATACATAGAGACACGCAGACATACACATAAAGACATAAAAAAAAACCCACATACATACACACACACATACACACAAACACATACATACACATACATACACACATACATAGAGACACACAGACATACACATAAACACAAACACACATACACATGACCCGGCTTCGCCCGGGACTTGGATCCACGATGCCCCGCCGCCTTTGTCTCCCCAGTGACGATGTTCACACACGACAGCAGTTACGCTTTTGAGGCTGAGTGGACCTAGGGGAGGGCCAGGTCCGTTTCAAATAATCGTCAGCGGTGGTGGGCGTGAGTTGGAATCGAACTGGGGTCGCTCAAGCAGCTTAATGACTGTTTGTACAAAGAACATATAAAGAATCGATTATAATAACCAGGCAAGAGTCCACATTATAGACTGCCAGTACACGCACTCAGCTTCATAAGCAGGCTAGAGTGTACATGATAGAGTGGCAGTACGCTCACCGAGCTTAATAAGCAGGCTACAGTGTACATGATAGACTGGCAGTACGCTCACCCAGCTTAATGAGTATTTGTACAGTGAACATTAAAGTAATCGATTGTTGGCGCGTTGGGTTTAAAAGTAATATTAATAGCACACATTGTGGTGGGGGTGTAGTGAAGAGTAGGAAAAACTTTGATGAATTTACCTCAGAGTGGCGTGGTGGGTGTCGAGGCCTAGTAGCGTGCAAAGCCTGCGGCCTCGCCTAAAATTGTCGGCTTGGAAGAGGCAGGGTACGGGTGGCGTTCCTTCCCCCCCCCCCCCTAGCGCTCCAACAATACTGTGTAATGGCTATTATTTAATTAAATACGGAGCTTATGAAAGTGGCGAAGGCGTGGCTAGCCATTGGCAGGGGCAACCGCCGTCCAATGAAACTGCAGCCCTTGGCGAAGGCGTGGCTAGCCGTTGCCAGGTCCAATGAAAGCGGCGAAGGCGTGGCTAGCCGTTGCCAGGGGCAACCGCCGTCCAATGAAAGTGCGTATGGGCCAAAGTCCACACACACACACACACACAGACAGACAGACATGAACGATTTTATATATATAGATTATGATTTAATTTTGTCGTGATTTAATTTTGTTATTTTCATTTATTATTATTTTATTATTATTATTTTACCTACGTGACTTTACCGAAAGTACCTAAGAGTATGAATCCTTGCAGTCACGAACGCTTTAAGTCATGATTTAGTTTCTTGTACTTCCCCCGAAACCTCTGATTAGCACGGTTAGCTACGTACGGTGCGAAAGAAGTTCAACATACATACGATATGGTCAGTCTGATAGACCGAGTCCTCGATGAATTAAGGGGCGAAATTGTTGGGAACGGTAACTTCGGAATTAACGATGGAAGAGTGATAAGGAGCAAGTGTGACTGGAGTGGATCAATGACTCCTGGATCCTCGATGAAGCTGGCTGCTTTACCTTCTGTCAAATGCAGTGGAGATAGGAATTGGGTGCTCCAACTCAAATTTAACAACAACAAAAATTAACCCGTAAAAACAAAGTTTTTCACTATAAATCCTTTATATGCGTGGCGGCTAGAGTCCTCTCGTCCTCTGGCTTGAGATGGCTGCCACCTATGGGTCAGATGATTGCCAGCCACCAATAAGCAATTAGTAATTAAATATAATTTATTTTTTCCTAAAAAGTGTAAAATTTTGAAAAATAAATTTCACGAAAATTAATTGTCACGCACAACGAGTCTGTGTGCAAAATGTCAGCTCGATTGGATCACGGGAAGTGGGTTAAAAAACGACCGAAAGATTTGCACAGTCGTAAGCGCGCAAGCAAGTGAACTTAATATAAAGGATTTAATTACAACTTCTTCCGAATGTGTGCTTTGTACAGTAGTAATAATGTTCTCGTCCCGCCATAGGAACGAGGAACTTCCACAAGCGGTTGAGGGCTGTGGACAGGAGTTGGCACTGCCTCAATGCTCATTTGAGCAGGAAGTTACTTTTACATGAATAATTGTTCACAGATAAACAAGGCTTTATCTTCTTGGTTCTTTCGGTAAAGTCACGTAGAATGGAAATAAAAAATAATAGAAATACATATTTTATTATGTAATATTTTGAATCCCTGCAGTCACGAAAGCTTTAAATCGAAATTTAAACAAGGCTTTGTCAAGGAAAAGCAAACCAAGCTTATTTGATGCCTTCTTAAGCTAAACTATTGATATAGCCATTTCATGAATTGGTGGGAAGAAGACCGCTTGTGTTGCGATCGAAACGTCGTGGGTTTTTTGCTTTTATTTTTTTTTGTTTACGTGACTTTACCGAAAGAACCAAGAATATGAATTCCTGCAGTCACGAAAGTTTTAAGTAAAAAAATAACTCGAGACTATCTCGTAAATACCATAACACATTTAAATAAACTAAAACTTACAAGTCGATTAACGCATATATTCATTTTTCGGATACTCTGTATATATCCATAATATTGGGTTTTTTGGGTTAGATCGCGTAAATATATAAATGTGTCGTTAAACCCGCCACCACCCGACACAAACAATTCGTAAGGGTTGTCACGTAAACATAACGTGCCAATTCGTCACTAGTACAGCACACCGGTGTGTTGGAGAGCAAATCCACAACATTTATAATCGGAGTACGACGTTTCACCAGTAATTACAACCAGCATCATCAGGCGACAGCCAGATTTGTGGAGAAATCCTGTTTTTATATTTACGCGATCTAACAAAAAAACTAAAATATGGATGATATTGGTCTCGAAAGCCTACGTGTTAAACCACCCTCCATATACAGGTTGCTTACACATTTTTTTACACTTCTGAGAATTTGCAACAATGCCACAAAATGTGCAACAATGCCACAAAATGTGCCTCCTCCAGGCTCTCGAGACCACCTGGAGAAGATTCCAGGCCTGTGTTGACAATGATGACGAACAAGTCACTTTGTGAATTTTTGAAGCTATTAACATACATTTGTTATCATGTTAAAGTATTATTATCCGTTCTTTTCCCATTAAAAACAAAAGTCCCATACAAAAAAAGTGCTAACATGTTTTTGAAGCACTCAGCACATTCAGCCTGATTTACCAAACGCCCAATGCGAGTGCCCCCGCAGCCACCGTAGAAGCCGCCGTTGCCCCGGAAGTGAAGGCGGCGGGGGGCCGTCGCCCAGAGAAAAGCCTCAACGCGAGTTAAAGCGACGCGCAGAATTGGACACAAACATCGCAAATAATAAACAACAACAACAACAGCAGCAACAACAAACGCCACAAACACACTAAACACGGCCCTGCCAGCCGATCCCGTCAATTGCTTCTGGCGTATCGACCACCTCTATCACCACCACCACTCGCCGACCATTGGCAACCTACCAGGCCTCAGAGGAGCGGTGAGTTGGAGACACGATAGCGGCGACGCTTCATTAATCGACTCTTCGTTACTTCGCGTGCTGAGTTGTGGTCGTTTTAAGGGTTCTAGCAACGTTTTGATGGCGTTGCTTGAGGTGGGAGGGGGGTGGAGATTTGTTTGTGTTAAGCGGCGTCTCTGGTGAGGCCTTCACTGTGGCGGCGACGGCGGTGCATGTAACCGGTCAGAATAGCGAACAACTTTAGCTTCATTGCTTGTGGTGTTGAGACTATGCGACCGTACGGTGTGAATCGTGTGAATGTTTTGGATGTAGGTGTGTTGGGAGTCGGTGTTTGTGTTGCTTACCAAGAGGCTCCGTCGTCGGGGTGTGGAATTGTCATAGCCCGCGTAAGCCAAATTACTAAATGCTTGAATCACAATTAATAACGGATGAATCGCTGCTTCTAATATGATTCACGGTTAAAATTATATACTTAGTAATGGGCATTAAGTAGATGTGGGTAAGTACAGTCGCGGTCGTACAATAGTCAAATTGGCCCCGTCACGGGAATGTGGAATTTCCACCACTGGCCAGGGCAGAGGAACAAACAGCTGTGCGAGATTAAAGAACAGCGACTGTAATTGGGATATTTACATATTTTCACGATGATTGCTTATCATAGGAATGTTTTTTGTTAGACAGTACAGCTTCAATGGACATTAAATGGGTCACGGAGTCCATAGAGGCAGTTCAATGCGATCTTGCGAGTCATTAGTGACCCCCTATTGAGTAGTCGTAGGAATTTGATGTGAAAATGTTCAATGGGTTTTTATATTGGATATAATTAACATTTGTTAATGTAAATTAAAACAATATTTTACGCGCAGTCGGACATGAAGACGTGTTTTTGCCGAGGTTATTCACATTGACGAGGTTTTATGAAAATTGGATTGGAAAAATGGACATAAAAATTAATGTAGGAAATGTTTGTCGATCAGCTTTACCAATGAAACATTGAACTGCAAATGTAAAAAATACTTAAACAACACTGCACAATTGAGTTCAAGATATGTTGGCTCATAACTAAGTCACGTACAACTTGTTTTTCAAACTATGTGATTTGAATCGCGGGGACACAGCTAAAAACAAACTGAATATCTATTCCTGGGATAGTTATTGAAGGAGGACCACAATGAAAATGATGAAATACAAATTTTAACAAAAGAAGATTGGCGTGCATTTGTAAAACTGAACTTAAGAGTTTTCTCAACCAGATCAGAGATATGTTTATTCGGTTCCATCTTTAATATTAGTCATGTGCACATCTGAATGTGTATTTTCGTTGATAGGACGATGTCTTAAACTGTCAATGAGAATGAAAGTACAGCAACGAGTTTACGGCCTTGTATAATAGCATACAATATTATAGTCCAGCGCTTCGAAGGTAATAAATGCCGTTGAACCTATCTTACTGATTGACAGCTTACTCATGGGTTCACGTTACAATATCATTTACACCACAAGACCACATGTACCACACTTCTCCACACGTGTCTTCATAAATATTCTAGCGTATGATGGGTGCAAAATGCATGCATAAATGAGACCCTTTTCATTTTTGCACCATTGCCGCAATTTCCATAAGTCAATGAAGGAACACACATTGTGGATATGTTTATGTTGTGGAAACGTCCCACTTTTCCATCACAGTAATTTCATACGAATAAGGCATTTTTACCGTTCCTTCTCAGATGAGTTTGTGTTGTTTGTAATGTGGCATTAGCTGAAGGAACGATGCTCAAGCAATGGTTATATGAGTGTTATCCAGAACAAAGTACATAGTTTATAGCACTTACGACTGGATAACTCAAAATAAATAATGCCACGTTTATCCAGGAAATACTGACAGTCTGTTAGATTTCTTCAATCAGGTTCTGCATTGGGATGTTTAACCAATAACTTAAAACATTTTGCACAAACTGGAAAGTGCCTTTATTGAGTCTCGTGTCGTTACCAAGATTACTAAATTAGATTGTTTACATCAATCTGGCGATGAGCATTCTGAACAAATATATCCCGTATTCTTTGGTATCCCAGCAGCATTTTAATTAGGCAGCTCCTCCACTTGTTTTAAAAGCAAGAGCAAAAGTGACTAGGTTTAAAGTTGAATATCACACTAAAATATGTGGCCATGAGAAAAATCTGGTAGATTTAATGCGATATCCATGTATTTGCATTCACCATTTAACCCACATCTGCCTATTATGTATCTCAATGGAATCACACCTGGTTAGGTAAAGATAATCTTTATATTTAATATTGTTTAACAAATTATTTTATACAGATGACACGTCTCTAAAGATTGCAGAAACAGCAATCATTTAAAGAGAATCCCTGAAATAAATATCAATGTCGGAATCAACTTGATATCATACGCAGAAGTGTGGTGAAGTGGGGAGATGGTAATGGGAGGAGGCGTGTGGAACGAGGCAGGCAGGGATGGAAATGCTGAGTGGGAGAGAGTGGGTTCTGTTAAGACAGTTGGGGCAGGTTTTTCACAAACACCATCCGATAGGTCCCTGATCTCCTTCGGACATACAGCAGCATATCTTTATGGCTTCTCTGCTGCTCACCATCACGATGAGCGCAGCGTTAAAACTAGACGATAGTGATCCCTTGACTGCTTTCACTCAATTAATCAACAGACGGAGCAGGTGGCTGCCTTTTAGCCCATGAGGTTTTAAGAGGGCAGGGCTTCAACACAAATATGCAGTGGGGTGAAGTGTGAAACATTGTCCCAGATTCGTTCTTACCAGCGATCGTGACTCAATATCAAGTGAAAGGTATGACTTGCTAAACCATTACCCATTTGATGAGCTCGCTCATTAACTAGGTTCAGAATTTCAACATTGTCAAAGTAAATAGTATTTCAAAATGTAAGTATAAGATGACTACTGAACATCACACCATCTATATAGAGCTACACACAGCTTAGCTCCTGACATCTGCAACATAATAAACCACGTTTTACCGTCAAATTTTTCTTGCGCAAACTTTCATGGCTTTACATATTCTGTGAATAATGTTGCGTATATATTTTTCTCATTTTGCGAGTTTTACACAATTGTAATTGTGCGTTTGGTATCCAATGCTGCTGCTTTCTCTACTGATTACTCTCAAGATACCTGCGAAAATTAGATTTTTCATCTCACAGGGGATTTCTTGTGTTAAATATTTCCAATAAATAAGGAGGAAATCACATGCAGGCTAATGCTGTCTACTGCTGTCTGTACATTGGTATTCAGTCTGCCCAGTAAAATATGTACCCATTAGTTGCCATGTGCAATTAATTTCCACAGTTGAAAGGTGAAATGCATTGGGGATGCTTCAGTGTTTCTCACTGGATACTGCAAAGATACTCAGATCACTCATGATTCTACTGCATAAGTTTTCGTGGTTGAGATGTTTAGTTCGGGCTTGTGGCTTCGAGTTGAATCGCGTCTTGTTCAGCATGATGCCCGACTTTTCGCTTCACATGCTGAGGGTTTATTTAGGAACGTAGGCACGTATATCGAAACATCGGACAATTCTGAACAACACGCGGTACAAACGATAACAGTATTTTCAGTTTTACGTATGTTAAACTTCTTTCGCACCATACGTAGTCTACCATGCTAATCGTTATATGTATTGTATAATTTAGCATTTAACTCTTTATTTAAAGAGAGGGTCGTCGCTGTCTCTGGCGTCTGGCAGTTCGTCGTCATTGATTCAAGTGAGCCTGACGACTGATGACACTTGTATGTTCAAACTGGTCCAAATTTGCTTGCGCTGAATTAATGCTGCTGAGATTATGCACTCCCAGAAGGCCGTGCCACCGATGGGTTGAGTAACGAAATTGCTAATTAATCGGTTCATTCTGATGAACCCAGTTTACTTGTCTGAGTCCACCACGGTAATCAATGGCCTCTCTCGCCCGCCGTAGCTGACACAGCGAGCGACGCTTGCAGCACCTGGGTACGTCGCGACACCATGGACGCCCCTGGCGGGGAGCCCTTGTCTCTCGACATCCTCATCACCAACGTGGTGTGCGTGTTCCGCACGCGCTGCCACCTCGACCTGAGGCACATCGCCCTGGAGGGAGCCAATGTCATGTACAAGCGCGACGAAGGGGTGAGAGCACACGCCATGGGTTCCATCAGTCTTGTGCACATTCAGTCGGGGTGACGTCTTATGTAGTCTTATGTAGTTTTTGCAAGAGGTGTCAGTTTTGTTGCCAGATAGAAGGGTAAAGAACCAATTATCATATTTTTACTGGCAAATGAGGTCCCCATAGTGTAGATGTTTGCCCCGAGCTCTCATACTCTGATGGTGCATTGTCTTTGAGTTGTGCGCCTTTTGGCGTCTTCTGGTCCAACCCATGTGAGACTAGGCTCGAAGGAAAGCTGTCTCGGGTGTGGACCAATCAACTTCAAGGACAGTGCACATTATCAGAGTTATGTCTTTTGTTTGTATTTATGACTGCAGGTATTGCGGTCTATGCAAACATGACTCCTTGTAAAAAGGTGTCAGTTTTGTTGCCAGATAGAAGGGTAAAGAACCAATTATCAGGTGGCGAGATGTTAACTCCCTCGCCTGGCATGCAGGAGGTCGTGGGTTCAATCCCGACCTTGACACCTGTATATTTGGAGTTTGCATTTCTCCCTGTGGTCGCGTGGATTTTTCTCCGGGTCCTCCGGGTTTTCACTCCATATTTAGAAACATGCGTTTAGAGTTTTTGGTTGCTATACATTTCTACACAATAAGCCACTTCGTTGAGCTATCATTTGTGGCCAGGTCACTTTTGAAAAAAAGCAAATAGCTCAGTGGGCCTTTGTGGCAAAATAAAAAAATAAATTTCGTTGAACTACAAACGCTGAATTTTCATGATTCTGGGTGATGTTCTGATTTAGGAATCAATCATTTCTCATCCAATATTAATTATCATGTTTTATTGCATACAGTATTGTTCGACTCATTAGATAAAAAAAGAACATTAGCTTTGAATTTTCATGTAATTTTCATTAATCTTTGTACTAATTTCTCACTTGCATGTGTCAAATAATATTCATTGATTAATTGTCGCATCACTATTAGCCAGGATATTTTACCACAGGGTCCTGTATTGGGCTGGTTTCCTTGATAAGGATATTTTGCATTTGGGAAGAAACTGAATTTGCCTTAAGAAAACCTGTTGAAATGAAGACATAACAATAACATGTGTGCATGGGCAGGTTCACAAACCTACTTTCTGTACTGCCATATCCTAACCATGTGCCGTTATGCCCAGGCTTGGTTGTAGAGCAATATTGTGGCCAAAGGAACTTGCATTGTGGCCAAATAAACTTTATATTTAGCAGTAGTAATCTGTTATTTGCATGGGAATTATACAAAATAGGGCTTTATTTATAAAAAAATGTTTTAATACTATACATACATAATGGGATAAAATTTGCGGTGCATATATGCTTCAAATAGGTTTACATCATGATGAATGTAACATTTTCCATCAATACGTGTATGCACTGCAATGTATACAGCATTAATTGTAGCGACGTTTCGGTCTGCGTAAAGTATTTTTCAAATTGGAGCAGTAGAGCAATGGTAAAACTCAACAAAATCCTCAATAACGCTGCCCGAAAAAGATGCAATACGTGACGTTTCAGACAATGGTCATCACTTCGTGACGCATATACGATGACATTGTTAAAGGTCCATTGCCCATAGCACATATCCTATTAAGAATGGCCACTGACTAAAATGTTGCCTATTTATACACAGTTTCCTTTGGGGTAGTGTTACTTATGAATGTGAGTTTTGGTTATTTGTCTTATGCACCATTGCCAATGCAGTATCACAACATTTTTTTTTTAAATATATAATGGTAGTGACTTAAAGCTTTCGTAACTGCAGGAATTCATATTCTTTAGGTCTTTCGGTAAAGAATATAATCTTCTTGGTTCTTTCGGTAAAGTCACGTAGAAGGGAAGTAATAAAATAATAAAAAGAAAACATAATAAAATAATTTTTATTATTTTATTACTTCCCTTCTACGTGACTTTACCGAAAGAACCAAGAAGATGAATCCCTGCAGTCACGAAAGCTTTAAATCAAAATTTAAAGAATATAATGTTAGTGTTTTGCATGAGACTCGCTTTAATCCTGGCAGCTATGCCCTTTGTGTGACCTCTGCGAAACCTGTGCTGCCACATTTGTCTTGGTCACAGTGGGGCCTGGCATGACCGTTTGTGTGTGCGTGCAAACCCCGACTGTGCACAACAGAAGGTGCTCATGAAGCTGAGACGACCTCGAATCACGTCGACCATCTGGTCTTCAGGGAAGGTCATCTGCACGGGAGCCACAAGGTAGGAGTGTGTTTATTCAAACGCAGGACAGCTGATATGAAAATGTGTATTACACACCACGTGAGGGAAACTTGGTCAAGTCCTGCGTCCTCAATAAAGCATAGGCGCATGCAGCAGTGTTTTTAATATAGATGTTGGTGGCTGCCAAATAATTTGAGAATGTGTCACTGGAAACAATTGAGTTTCCTTGATGACGGAATTATTTTCAACATCTGAGTGCCAATTGCACAACAGAGTAAGTAAATTGATGTCAGAGGTTGCTTTGTTTGCTTAATTAAGACGTAATGGTGTGATTGTGCCTGTGTCTGATATCTCATTATTAAAACCCTTTGGCTGCCACCTTATCTTATCTATTGCATTTATCTAGCAGGAGTAGAAATGCATGGCGGTTGCCATAGATTTTATAATTGCCTCATCACCTTTGGTTCAAATACCCGCTGTATCTTAAATAACACATCTCCTGAAAGTTTCCATCCTCAAGCCAGAGTTGCATGAGGAATCGCACGGTATATGTGTGGGCAAAATTCACCCTCAACCAATGGCTGGGTTAGTATTTCCTTTGCAGTTCCAGAATGAGGGTTGGACACCACTTACGCAAGATGGGAGTTATGGAGAGAGATCGGCCCGCGGTTTTCACACGCGCGCACGCGAATGGTTTTGCCGTTGTGACGCTAAGGCTGACTTCCATTTCCTCCCCCCCCCCCCCTCCCCGTGCAGTGAAGAGGACGCGAAGATTGGGGCGCGGAGGTGCGCCCGATGTTTACAAAAGCTGGGCTTCAAGGTGCGGAACTCGCGTTAAACTTTCCCGCAGGAAACGCTGTCCTGAGTATTCTTAGTGTGCGCTTGCAGAAGGTTATTCAAACGAGAGGACGCTGGCTTCCATCTCGTTTAAAGGTCGTGTTATGTACACTCCTTTGCATCTCCTTCTTGTCCAATAAAACTAAAGTCTTTCTCTGCAGCTTGTGTAAGCCAGAATCGTGATCTCGCAATTTACTGAAGTGTTGGTTTTTTTCTTCCAAATCCACATGGTTTTCAGTCTGTATGCCCAGCGAAATCAATTTTCAAACACTCAAGGAAATATGATTTAAAATATGATTTAAAAGGTAGTTTTCTTTTCATCAATAGCCCTGGCATTCAGGCTGTGATAATTCGTCATAACTGTGTGCTGAATAATTGCATTGATAATGGAACGTTTAAGCCAAACAACAAACAGCTCTGGTTCGTCGGCATCCCATGCCAACAACACTAATTCATTGATTAAAGTAAATTCTTGCACGCAGATAAATGCATACAATCACACGTTTAAGAAGTGACTAATTACAACTTTGCTAATTATTTGAAGATCCTATACAAATGTTAGATTGGTGGTAATGCACTGAATTGAGAGTACAAATGACACGTAAAAGAATCAGGACTTGACTCCGACTCCAAATAATGGTGATGGAATTAGCGGGGGGGGAAAATGTGTCAAACTCCAGTCAGGCATTCCATAGCACGGTAGTGATGTCATGTTAACACACCGTTTCACACCGTTTCTGGCGGTAATATCTCTTCAATGCCATGGCAGCACACTCGGTCGTAACTTTTAAGTGTTTTTGCTCATCAATGAAGCTTTCAGCTCATATTGGACAGCCTCGGGCATAGCATGCAGCGTCGGTTAACTTCTTTGTATTTACAAGTTAACATCTTTCTAGATTTGAAGCTTTCGTGACTGCAAGGATTCATATTCTTAGGTTTTTTTGGTAAAGTCACATAGGTAAAAAATTTAAATTAATAAAATTAAAATAGAAATAAAATAAAAATCGTTTCACCTGAAGACGGAAGCTTGTGTTGCCTCCGAAACGTCGTGATTTTTATTTTATTTTTATTTCTCCGTCTTCAGGTGGAACGGTTCCACCTGAAGACAGAAGCTTGTGTTGCCTTCGAAACGTCGTGATTTTTATTTTATTTTTATTTTACTTTTATTAATTAAAATTTTTTACCTACGTGACTTTACCAAATAAACCTAAGAATATGTTAATATCTTTGACACGCATCCATTACTGTTCACATTTTAGTATAATGGTCACCCTTTTTCTGTTATATGTTTATGTAGATTGATTTGTAATTGTACTATGATCAGTTTGGAAGTGATCTGCTCTAGCTGGCTTGTGCTGAAGGGGATTTATTATTCAACATTTATTTATGTTCGTGCAATGTTTGGGATTTCTACCGTGACACAGTTGACTATTGCACTGATTTCTATTTTTAAATCCTTTATATTAAGTTCGCGTGCATGCTTGCTTGCTTAGGACCGTGCAAATCTTTCGGTCGTTTTTTAACCCACTTCCCGTGATCCAATCGAGCTGACATTTTCCACACAGACTCGTTGTGCGTGACAATTAATTTTCGTGAAATTTTTTTCCAAAATTTTACACTGTTTAGGGAAAACAAATTAAATATTTAATTACCAATTGCTTAATACTGGCAGACAATCATCTGACCCATAGATTGCAGCCATCTCAAGCCAGAGAACGAGAGAACTCTAGCCGCCACGCATATAAAGGATTTAGAGTGAAAAACTTTGTTTTTACGGGTTTACTTGTTTTCAGTGCGGTACGTGATTTTATTTGTTTTACTTTGTCGTTTTGGTGACCTCTTGCAAACGAGACTATCCTGGTCTCTTGAGTAGTCACGTGCGTAAACAAAATGAAATTTAAATGTCTACAGGAGGTGTTTGTTTTTTGTATCGGACCTTCCTGTGAGATGTAACTCCACGACTTGTTATTTTATCGACTTGTAATTTTATATATTGCTTAGGCTGCGCTGTTGATGCTTCTGTTTGTTTTCAACACAGGTCCGATTCTGCGCCTTCAAGGTGGTGAATGTGCTGGCCGTCTGCTCCATGCCTTTTGAGATCCGTCTTGTGGACTTCACCAAAACGCATCGACCAATAGCCAGGTGCTTCCTATGCATGGTCACGTGATTGACTAACTGGTATGCTGTTAAATTTCGATTTAAAGCTTTCGTGACTGCAGGGATTCATCTTCTTGGTTCTTTCGGTAAAGTCACGTAGAAGGGAAATAATAAAATAAAATAAATAAATAAAATAAAAACATACAATAATTTTCACGACGTTTCGGCCACAACGCAAGCAGCTGTCCTCAGGTGAAAAACAGGTCTGTCGGAAAGACAGTGTCTGAATGAATTCACAGGTCTGTCGGAAAGACAGTGTCTGAATGAATGTATTCAGACAGTTTTTCCGACAGACCTATTCTTCACCTGAGGACGGCTGCTTGCGTTGTGGCCGAAACGCCGTGAGAATTATTTTATTATGTTTTTTATTTTATTGTATTATTTCCCTTCTACGTGACTTTACCGAAAGAACCAAGAAGATAGGTATGCTGCTGTTGGATTGTGATTAGCACAGTAAGACCCACATTTACGTCTCCCCCACTCTTACGTGGTTTCGCAAACACATCGTCACTTTATGAATACCGCTACCTGATTTGCGTCGCCTCCACCCACGATCACGTCGCTGACAGCATCGTCCATCCTTTCTCGTATCCGTCACCTCGGCATTCTCTTCCAGCTGCCCTGTGAATCGCGTTGATTGATGTTTCGACATTCATCACCGCTCTTAGGTTTTTTCGGTAAAGTCACGTAGGTAAAAAACAATAAAATTAATAAAAGTAATAATAAAATTAAAATAATAAATCACGACGTTTCGGAGGCAACGCAAGTAAATTTAGCTGTGACGGTCCCACCTGATGACGGAGACTTGTGTTGCCTCCGAAACGTCGTCATTTATTATTTTATTTTTATTATTACTTTTATTAATTTTAATTTTATTATTTTTTACCTACGTGACTTTACCGAAAAAACCTAAGAGTATGAATCCTTGCAGTCACGAAAGCTTCAAATCTAGAATTCATCACCACGCCTTTCAGGAACGCATCCCCGATGGTAAACCGGGGTATTACTGTACGTGCATTATCGTATTATAAGCTGGAATTACACTAAACATTGCCGTTTTTAATTACTGGTCATGAAGAAACAACTTCTTGTTGTATATAGCTATCTGATACAGTGAATCTCAATTGAGTCAAGTATATGTCTTATATTCTTTGGGTCTTCCATATATGTCTTACGATTAATATTGAATTTGGCCCGTTAGAAAGACGATTGTCTGGTCTCTCCGTCGAATTTGGTCACTCGTTATGAAGTAAATGCCTGCACTCGCGATACATGTATCAAATCGTGGATGTTACAAAACGAGGTGTTTTTGAAAAATACAGGAACTACTACTTTGAGACTGCATGAAGAGCGTAGCAAGCTTCAAACAAATCAGCAGAGAGGTCGTGGTTATATATACTACCCGTATTGCTCGCAAGGTTTAATTTACGGGGCGTCTTAAGCTCGACAACATGGCTGACCCATTGCATTAGCATGACACTCGGTGGGGGTATCACGTGGACGGGACTGCACTCATTCAGAGGAAACATGAAACCTAGCCCCAGGGTTCGGCCACCGTGCCTCTCTGGAGCCGCGTGTGGTGGGCTCTTTAATGGGATGGGACACTGTGGATTGCCTTGGTGACAACAACATGCACGGTCAAACTATATTGTTAAAGAATAAGGAAGGGGGGCAAAAACTAAATAGATCTTCTTGGTTCTTTCGGTAAAGTCACGTAGAAGGGAAGTTGTGGCCGAAACGTCGTGAGAATTATTTTATGTTTTATTTTTATTATTTTATTACTTCCCTTCTACGTGACTTTACCGAAAGAACCAAGAATATGAATCCCTGCAGTCACGAAAGCTTTAAATCGAAACTAAATAGATGCAGTTTATTCCATCACCCTATTTAATTTTGTTTATTTAAGTCAGAATGTGTTTGTCACCTGCTGCTGTGTTTGTGTACAAGTAGCTCTGCGTTTGATGAGGCTCTCGAACTATTTTGGTCAATACATTTTAAAAAATGGCTCTTCTTCTTCGAAAGGTTGCCTACCCCTGACCTCGAGGGTGAATCTTGTGCGATGTGCTGTGTTACAGCAGGCTGTGTGTGTTTGGTAAACCTTCAACATTGCATGGGGTTTTATTGTAATAGCTGCCTGCGTTGACCTTCTCCGCTCTGCTCGTTAGCTTGCCACACTGACTTGAGTGTCAAGAGGGGCTTCTTCAACCACACTTTCATTTTTCTTGGTTCTTTCGGTAAAGTCACGTAGAAGGAAAATAATAAAATAATAAAAATAAAACAATAAAATAATTGTCAAGACGAAAATTACTTTGTTTTATTTTTATTATTTTATTATTTCCCTTCTACATGACTTTACCGAAAGAACCAAGAAGATGAATCCCTGCAGTCACGAAAGCTTTAAATCGAAATTTCACACTTTCATTTTTTATAGTTATATACACTCACGTAAAATGCAAATATATATTAACAAATGTTTACGGTGGGTATTTTGTTGACGTCATGAGCAACCATGCCGGACACATTTTTCTATATAATTAAATTCCCTGGACATGAAGACACATTTTTACGCCTAGGTGGAGCAGTGGGCAATTCACGTCCGAATTATCTCACCTGCAGCTTGACCTCAGTTGATATGGACCACCGCCGTTAGTTTTACGGACTCGGAACCACTCGACAACAACGTGACAGGTCCCTTTGTTGTCTCGTGTGTGACCCATAGCTATGAGCCGGAGCTGCACCCAGCCGCAACATACAAGATAAAGTCCTTGTCGGCCACGCTGCAGATCTTTTCAACGGGCAGCATCACACTCACAGGTACCGCTCCGTGCTTGCAAAGCGTCTCTGTCGTCGCTTGAAAGCACCCTTTCCTCGCGTTCCACAGCGGCACGCATTCCAATACCTTCCAACCCCCCACGTTCATGTATAGATGGCCGTTACACACTGCATGCGCCTGCTGATTGGTAACGTGTGACATAATGGGTTTTGAGTCAGAGATAGAGATGCCATGTGTATGTGTGTACACGTGTGTCCCAGTTGGATTACAAGGCTACTTTTAAGGCTCTTTATGGAGAGATCCTGTAAAAAATTTCATCCGTGACCATTATCTGACACACGGAGTGCACTTCTCCGAGATTTCTGATTGGATGCTTCATCTTCTTGGTTCTTTCGGTAAAGTCACGTAGAAGGAAAATAATAAAATAATAAAAATAAAACATTATAAAATAATTCTCATGACGTTTCGGCCACAACGCAAGCATCCGTCCTCAGGTGAAGTCCAGGTCTGTCGGGGAGACAGCGTCTGACAGACCAGGTCTTCACCTGAGGACGGCTGCTTGCGTTGTGGCCGAAACGTCATGAGAATTATTTTATTATGTTTTATTTTTATTATTTTATTATTTTCCTTCTACGTGACTTTACCGAAAGAACCAAGAAGATGAATCCCTGCAGTCACGAAAGCTTTAAATCGAAATGGATGCTTCATCTCTTGACATAGTGCTGATAGCATAATACTTGGAATAAATTGGGAAAACGGACCCGTTTGTTTAATTCGACCCATTTGCCTCTACGTTTGTGTGATTGTGATTTTCTCTAATTCTTCCTCTACATTACAACGTTGTTATTATTTGCCACCCTATGTGATTAACAAATTGCCATTGTCAAATGCTTGACGAAAGCATTGTATAACCCCAGGTTAGAAAACCGGCCTCTGGAAGACGAAATCTCAGAATTAACCTTGACACGTTCGAGCAAAACCATCTCTGATTTTGTCACGCTCAATTGCGACGGCGTTTATTGTTCACGTGCTTTTATCTTTTCATAATGTTCAACACGGTTGCGATAACTACACTTGAAACTGCCAGCAAGGGAGAGCGTCATCTAGGGGAGGAGGTTTTATACCCTGGCTTGTCAGGAGAAGGCAGTGCAGCAAGAATGTGAACTCCACCTGCTCAGTCAGGATGTGATAGAACGTTTCTCCCCCCCCCCTCGCACGCGTGGGTTTTCTCCGAAAGCTTCGGTTTCTTCCCACAAATTGCAAATGTTGTGGATTTACTCTCCAACACACATCCGGTGGGCTGAAGTAATAACGAATTGGCACGTTTTGCTTACGTGGTTTGGCAGGTTACGACGTTTATATAGTTACGCGTTCTAACCCAGAAACCTTTATTATGAATTCTTCCCGCAAATAAACACGAATTAATTGGCCGATAACACCTTAATATATCAAGGACCACAGAACTTGGGCAATTGTTGGTTCTGGCTCATCACGTGGCTGGCCTTCCTGCTTGTCTGTAGTTGTCTGTGGTTCCTCGTGACTTTGAGAGTGAACGAATACTGTGCGCATCACAAGTTGCAATTATTATGATCACCCACGATAAATCAACTGCCTGGATCAAGGCTTTTCCAAGCCATCGCCATCTCACGGCCCTGCAAGTTAACAACTTAACAGCGTCGATACACGGTGGTCGTCCTCTCGAGGCGCTTGCTCCATCGGCTGCGACTTGGTTGCGAGTCTCGCCTGAGCCCACTCTTCTTGACAGTCAAGGTGGCGTGTTTAACACGTGCGTTCCTCTTTCTGTCTGCCGCTGCGATTCTACGCGATTCCAAGTATGCGCAACTTTCCGTTCTTCTTCGGAAAGCGACTTTCTGAAAAAAAGTGCCGCGCCGGCGAGATGTTAACTCCCTCGCCTGGTATGCAGGAGATCGTGGGTTCATCCCGACCCCTGACGCCTTCTGTATATTTGGAGTTTGCTTGTTCTACCCATGGTCACGTGGATTTTTCTCCGGGTCGTCCAGTTTTTCCCCCCAGATTTAGAAGCAATGTGCTTTTAGAGTATTTGGCTGCTATACATTTCCACGCGATAAGCCACTTCGTTGAGCTATCATTTGTGGCCAGGTTGCTTCTGAAAAAGAGCTATATAGCTGAGTGGGTCTTACCTGGTAAAAAGTTTATAGACTGCGAAGTTGTTATTGGGCACCACATGGGTGAATGTGAACGGTGACGTTGAAGTGGTCGTGATGCTTGATCAGTGACGGTGATCTTTTGTGTTTCTTGCCGACAGCGCCGAACGTGTCCCTGATTGCGCAGGCCATAGAGCAGATCTACCCGCTGGTGTGCGCCTGCAGAAAGGTCACGTGATTGTGGTCTCTCTTTCGCTCGCCTGCAATGAAAAGGAGAGGAAACAAAAGTGACAAAAATAAAACTACGGAGAAGCAAAGACGCTAGAACACCGCACGGAGGGAAGAAATAACGACGAGACATTACACGCTACGGAAATATTCAAAAGCAGCTCGCGAATGCAAAACTCTCCCTACGAAGACAAATTTCAACGGCGTTCAACCCAGCAACCACTTGCGCAGTGACCCCGGAGCAGCATGAACATCTGTTTACTGACGAGCAGGACAGGTTTACATTCAGTATATAACTTGCATTGCTCGCGTCGTTAAATAACAAAACATATTTTAGGGGTTGTGGGGGAAATGTTTTAGATTTCTGAATGAGCCATTGCTTGTGGGTGTTTTAGTCTTTTGTCATTTGCCGCCGTACTGTGTTGTTTTTGTTTTAACCTCTTAACACGTGTATCTCATTGCATTGTAATCACCTCGCCCCCACCGTGTCTTTTAAAAGCATTTCGTCGTCGTTTTGCGCTTTCACACAAGGCGAAGAGAAGTCTGAAATTTTGAAGTTGCATTTTCAGCGACGCGCACACAAAACCGCTTCGGTGTGTAACGTGACACTTCTTTTTGAAGGCCCCTATCGAATCGAAAAATAACCTAATGCTTCGGAGCATTCGGAGTGACATGTTCGGTTGCGTATTGTTCCGGAAGTGGGTTCCCCCCCCCCCTCCCACAGCACAGCATCAAAGCATTGAGATACGGTAGATGTGGCCAAGATAAACCAGAATGTGGCTGTGGATACAGCAGAGAAGCGGGCTCCTAAGATGTTATAGTTTATTCAAAGAAAATATACGGAACAAGAGAAATATCATGTGATTTATACCGGCCGGTCGTGGAATTTGTCCTCAGTCCGGAGATGAAGTCTTTATTTCAATCTTGATGGGGCTTAATTTTCTGGAAACGTTTTCAGCATTGGAATCTGGATAAAAACGGCTGGCAGTGGTGGGGAAATTTTTCTACGAGAAAATCGAGGTGGCGCTTGTCCCGAATGTTGTGAAGCATTCAGTCCACTGCAGGGATGTGGTTTAAAAAGTCAAGCAGCAAGGGACATGAAAATCTGCTTGCGTGCTTATTAACAGTGCACAGCTGAACGATATCGGAGGTTGGCTTAAAGGTAAGGGATAGTAAAAACAGGGAGCCTAAAATGTGAACTTTTGAGTTTTCAGCCTCTCTTATTCTCTCCCGCATGAAGGCGGCATGTGTTGTGTTGCACTGACGCCTGTCTTCCCAGGTGAGAGGACACAACCCACCAAATGAGTTCGTAACCCCACACTCCACCACGTTTCGTCATTTTCCATGGCTTACAGAAAATACACTTTCTCAAAAAAGTGGCTTTAAAAGAGCTACATTTTAAGCGTCGGCCTGTGAGCAATGAGAGCGGCCGTTGTAGCCACCGATTAGCACATTTGCAGCCCCATCAACTCCTACGGTTTGGGAATTGCAGCTCAGCAAGAGGGCCTGGTCAATGCCGCCTTCACACGCGTGCGAGCGTCAAACATGATGGCAACCCGTGCACGTCCGCCGCTGCCATTGACTGTGGAGACGACCAACTGCCACCGATTCCTGCCACCGTCGAAATGTCACCAATTCCGTGGTCATTTAAATTCGCGAAGCAATATTTTCGTTTCGGCCCTTGGGGCTGCACATTGAATCTAAAGCAATGCGAATCTATAGAATCTACAGTGGTATTGGCAGATACAAATCAAACATCGATTAGTACGTGCACAATTCAATGCGTTGTATTGTGAGTCTAATCCGTTTCGGTTGATATGAATGCCAAACGCTTGGCCATTTGAAACTATTTAATGATCTACGATCATGATCATGTGGATCAGCTCCAGCCCTTTGCCCAGCCAACACGATTGTGCTGTGTTCACAATAATAGTTTAACTTGGATTGTAATAAAGTTGTGGTTAGTTTTTTCGTAGCAACTTATTGTGATTTTTTTACTTGCATCGTTCTTTGGGGTGACATCTGGTTCTGAGGAAATAAATTTGTGCTTTCATTTTATGACGTGCATTACGTTCGTATACGTTGGTCGATGTGGAGAGGGGTGGAATGGACGTTATTCCGCAGGATTGGAGTTGTGAAAGCCGCTGAAGTCCGATTGAAACATTCATTACTTCAACTCCTGCAGTTAATGGAGTTGTCAAAACATAGAGACGTAACATTTTTTTCAATAACATTGCCTTAAAATAAAACGATAGACGACGCTCTGGGCAATGATCCTTCAGAACACATCAATTATTGACGAACGTGTTGAATTTTGTGAATTGTATCAGTGCACCGTTGCCAATACATGGCCACCAAATAATTAGCAATATACATCGGAGCTGTGTAGCTGTTCAAAGTAGTTTTACTACCGGTCATTCCACTACTACCGTTACCCTGTGTTCGTTTTAATCGTCTGCAAGCGTGTGTGTGTGTGCGCCTGCTGTATCTTAACAACTCGTGATAGAGATCTTGGCTGATTCGGCTTTTCCTTCGGTAAGCTCGGACTGACATGGAACACGCCCAGGTATAGGAGACGCGGCATTGTAGAGCCACCAAGCTACGGGTCGAGGGCGCTAACGGACTTCCGCAGCACGAGAGGGAACTTTAAACTATGAACTACAGCACAGTTGAGCGTCGATTATTCGGCTGCTACCAACTTTATCCGATGGTTCCTCGCCGATCCGGTGAAACCGGCAAAACCGTTCCAAAGGCTGTAACCAGTCCGTCGATCGGCACCATGTAGCGTGATAAAAAAAAGTAGCTTTGCTTGATTTCAGTGTTAAGTGTTATTGTTTACAGTACATTATACACTACATACAACGTAAACGATGAAAATACTGCACGTGTGGTAAGTACGGTACAATAAATAGGTAACATTTAAAAGTAGGATTTTTTGGTATGTTTATGCCAATTTTAAATAGTTTACACATTTTAAACACTAAGAACCAACACCTAAAAGCTAAATATCATACAAGAATGTGCAAAAATAAGCTGTTTTAGATAATTACGTGATTGGCGTTTTTGAAAATCCGGCGGATAATCGATTATCTGTATTTTAATTTGACTAGTTAATGCTTATTGAGCTATGTAGCCGTGTTGTTTCTAAATGTGGAGGGAAAACCCCGAGAAAAATCCACGCGACCACGGGGAGAGATGATGCTTCACTCCAAACGTGTACAACAGGCATCAGGGTCAGGAGCGAACCCACGACCTCCTTGCATACCAGGCGAGGTAGTTAACATCTTGCCACCGTGAAGCCCATTGCAGAGATTACAGACGACGTTTTAGCTCGATGCGTTCCTTATGAACACTGCTGCAGTGGCGCAGTGACGACATCGGCTCGGGGGGGGGGGGGTGCGGCAATTGGTCAGGTGGGGCCCCCCAGTATTTGAGTTGTCTCGCACGCTTTGGTTTTTTTCGGTAAAGTCACATAGGTATAAAATAAATGAAAAATAAATTAAATCACGACGTTTCGGGCGCAACACAAGCGCCCTTCTTCAGGTGGGGACAACGTAGCGAAAGCGCAACCGTCGGAGACGAGGTCGTTGAAAGGAGGCACCGCCTCTATCTTTATTTATCCCGTCCACACCAACTCCAGATTTCTCTCTCTCGACCTCGCTGCCGTACAGCCCGTCATAGACACGACCCTGGCCGCGTTGCACCGACGGCGTCGACCGGGACAGCCCCAATCACTGCCTCGTCGCGCAATGATCCCAGAGCCGACAGCCCGGAGCTCTCCGCTGCTTTTATTCTCCTCGGCGCGGCCTTGCTCCGCCCTGGCCGCGCCTCCCTTCTCGAACCCACCAGAGGGTTCCAGGGGCCTCCCTGTGAGGTCTCCCCTAATTCAGCGGTCCTCAAACCTTGTTGGCACCAGGGACCGGTTTCGTGGAAGACAATTTTTTCACAGCTCTCAATTGACTTTGTTTGTTACTCATTTTGGCTACTAGGGGTTAGCAGCTTGTGGGCTTACCAACACTGTGACTGGGACAAGTGCGCACTGCGGGAAAGAAACGCGGATAGAAGTGGTGAATAATAAAACAATGGGGGTGGGCCACGTGCAGACTCACCGCTCTCACCTCCTGCCGCTGTGCGGCGCGGTTCCTAACAGGCCACGGACCGATACCGGCCCGCGGCCCGGGGATTGGGGACTTCTGATCTACCGTGACCCTTGCCCCAGTTCCTCCGCCCTGCCGGCACACACACTCACACAGCCGTGTCTATGCTCGACGGCGTGCGCGCTTTCTGTCCACCGCAGTTGCTGCTGCTGGGCAGCAGTAGGCGCTGCGTCGCTGCAAGTGTCAGTCCACGCGACCGCAGGGAGAGAGAACTTGCAAACTCCAAATATTCAGCAGGCGTCAGGGTCGGGATCGTAACCCGCGCCGTCCTGTATACCAGGCGAGGTATCTTCTTGGTTCTTTCGGTAAAGTCACGTAGAATGGAAATAATAAAATAAGAAAAATAAAACATTATTTTATAATGTTTTCTTTATATTATTTATAATAAAATAAGAAAAATAAAACATTTTATTATGTTTTATTTTTATTATTTTATTATTTCCATTCTACGTGACTTTACCGAAAGAACCAAGAAGATGAATCCCTGCAGTCACGAAAGCTTTAAATCGAAATTTAGCAGGCGAGGTAGTTGACATCTCGCCCACCAAGGCGCCCCCCATTAACGGGGCATTGCTGCCATTTAACCGGTGGGGGGTGGCTCTCTTTGCCCGTGAATGTGGCTCGTGCAAGACCGTGTTCGTGTGTGCCAGAGGTCGCAACCGGGTACCCGATACCCGTACCCTACCCGATACCTGGCTACCCGTACCCGGCCGGGTACGGGTAGCCGTTTGCGACCCTGGTGCGGCCGGGTACGGGTAGACCGTGAGTCACTGGTGAGTAACTGTTTGTCACTCATTTCCCAACGTCTTGTCTCTTCTCACAATTCAAGTTCCTAGAATCAACCCACCCGCGCCTGCAACATGGCTTCATCCCAGAGGTCGCAATCAGATACGGCCGGGTACGGGTACCCGTTTGTGACCCTGGTGCGGCCGGGTACGGGTACGGGTAAGGAATCAAAACCCGTTTGCGACCTCTGGTGTGTACTCTCTCCCGTCTGCCGACAACGGTGCAGTCAAGACACAAACGCACGGGCAGACTGCTTACTGTTCTGTTCAGGAGTTTGTGTGTGTGTTTGCCAGTCTGCCTCGGTGGAGTCTGTTGGTTCTTTATCAGGAGGGCGCTTTGCCAAGTGTTCGCAGTTCGGGGTGAGTGGGGTTGGGGGTGGTGATTGCTATGAATTTTCATAGCCAGGAATTTGGAATGTCCTACCTCCTGGCTATGCAGGGGCTGTAAACAGGAGAGCACTCTGCTGCAATGCTCATTTGAGCAGGAAATCACCTGGACGTTTAACTATCCGCACATTTGGCATAACGTAAAAAAAGAAAATCCAGCAGTTAGCATATCCATGGCCTCAATGTCGCATGCAGGAATTCAGATCATGGTGCACATCTCGTATTCTTTAAGGGGGGCCAATTCACATTCATACGCTCGTTAAACTTCACAAAGACCGTTTCAAACATTAACTCCCGGAATGCATTCAAATATGTTTCAAACGCCGATAACCGATTGCACCCCCCCCCCCCCCCCCTAACAATGAGTCAATTTACTCAGCTTGGCGATGGTGTCCTATCCACGCTTGTTAATGCACGACTCGTAGAGGTGAGCCTCGGTTGATCCCACAAACGTTGTGGGGGGAGCCTTGAGGTGCCCTACCCTGCTCTGCCAGACGACGGCAGTGCAGCTCCTGCCAGCTCCGTCTGTTCCATCCGTGTGGGATGTAGCGTTGTGCCCCGTGTGCGCGCGTGAGTTTTACCTGCGTGCTTAATCCGCTTTCCTCCCACATTGTGTAAGCATACGGGGGTGGGGAGGGGGGCATTGTTGGCGCTGGCTCGCTGCTTGGCTGCTGCCTTCAATTCGTCTGCGATTTTTCCTCGTGCTTCCGAGTCGCTCTTCCTCTTGGAGAGTAAATGAATGATGTGCGATGCATTACAAGTTGAAATTATGATTCATATTAATTGACGTCACCCGCTACCAAGCCTCACCTATCAAGACTATGTTAGACTCTCCATGAAGACTTCAATATATCGTGAAGCCCAGGCAATGACAATATTTCAAACAAAGTATTTAACTATTTTAAATGGATCTGTTATTTTAACACGATTATTATCTCCGAGTTTAAAAGGTGGCATTTGGTAAAGGCAGAGCCGGCCCAGCCACTAAGCGACCCTTGCAATTGCAAAGGGCCCCGTGGCCAGCAGAGGGCCCCCTAGAGTCACTGCTAGCTAGTGGGTGAAAAAAATCATACATCAAAGGGGCCTCCAACCAAATTTTGCTTAGGGCCCCCAAAGGTCTAGGGCCGGTTCTGGGTAAAGGAGCAGCCCTCCAATATCTTGTTCAGTCAGAAGGGACGTCACTAGAGGCAGCTCTAGAGGGCCCCTTGAGGGTGTTTTGGCCTCCTCTTCCATGTCTTGACAGAGGTGGGAGTACCCATACTTTACCCCACCACACAACCTACCGATCGACTAACTATCGTGTACCCATTAATCTTCTGGGTGGACAGAGGCGGTATGGGAGTGGGGGGGGGGGTTAAAACGTTTACTTATGTGTAGTGACATTGAATGAGTCACTGTAGCACGTGGCGCTGGGAGATTGGTAGACAATGGAATTCTGGGTAGCAGCCCGTTCTACCAGTTGAACTCGTGGGCCAAGCCCGGAGCCTTCTGGGGGATCCAGAAGAGGGCGTGGCCGAGGGTGGAGCCTGGCCACGCTGGGGAGAATAAAAGGCGAGCTCCGACTCACAGTCGGGGCTGCTGCCATCGGGAGTGAAACTCGTCGTGCTGCGGTCGTCGTGGTCTTCGCCTCTTCAAGCTGTGGGTCTGGAAGCATGTTGGCTGTCCTGACCCGGTATGGAGTTATCCTCTATGGCTGTGAGAGCCGAAATAAACAAGAGGGATAACGCTTCCTACCAGTGTCTCTGAATGAGTACACTACGCATGGCTTCAGCTGCCACGATGGGTGATCGCCTCTGGATTTCAACCATGATGATGGGTACAAACTGAGTAATCATTGGAAAGATGTTATTAACCGTGCAAAAAAGATTTAACTACACATTTTTGGACCGTCTTATGTAACAGGTACTATTCTACTTTACCGATTGTTGACATCCCCAGCGTTAAACAGTACTCTCCTTTTTGTATTTGGATTGTCAACCAACACCAGGTAAAACAACAACGTGTGCACCTATTGTTCTCTTTTAGCCCCGCCCACCCCCCCAACACGTTCCATTCATTGGCTACCACATTCAGATAAGCCCCCCCCCTCCTCCCCCCTTAACTTGTATTTAAGGGCTGGTCTCTTGGAATTTTGCCTCACTTGATACAGTAAATCTAGCTGTGACGGTCCCACCTGATGACAGAGACTTGTGTTGCCTCCGAAACGTCGTGATTTATTATTTTATTTCTATTATTATTTCTATTATTTTATTTTTATTATTTATTTTTACCGACGTGACTTTACCGAAAAAACCTAAGAGTATATTTCAAGTACAGTTTGCCGCTAACTATTGCGCCATCGCAAGAATTCCCGCAAGTATTCGTTAATTATGTTTGTTTTCATACACCCCTGCAAGTAAAATATATGACTTGCAACAGAAAATATTAACTAAATATAAACGATGACCAAATGAAATACCGTAACTTTGTACGACTCTCATGAACAGATTTAATAACTACTTTCCTGGAAAATATATTCTTATCGGGGGATTTAAAGCCGCTCTCGTTACAACTCCTGCCATGTCCTGCCATATTCGTGGCGCATTAAGTAATTTAGATGTCAAACACCGATTGCAGCTTGGTAAATATGACGTGTAAGACGCTGAATGGCCACATTTCAGTCTAAAACTAAAAAAAATCCTCCAAAACATTCCTTTACGTGTTCAGAGATTGTTTTTACGGCATCAATGTTTAACCAAAAAAAACCTACGAAATCAGGTGGCCAAGTGGCCCATAGGTGAGTGTGCCGAGCCTTCGACCACTGAGGTTATGGGTTCGAATCCAAATTCCAGCCACCCGTAGTTACAGCGAGTTGTGAAGCGTGGCGAGTTAACGCTGTGGTATCAACACACTCACGAATGACTGCACACGCTGCAAAAGCGTCCAAATGTGAGCTTTTACATAACATTTGGCCAAATCCCCACTCTGAGAAATGACATTTTTGCTTTGACCGTTGTGACAAAAAAAACACAATGTCATATCAGAATGTGGACAAATCTCCCCCCCCACCCTGCACATAGCCCCTAAACCAGCAGTGGAGGCAGCGAGGATTGATAGATCACCTCACAAATTGCCAAACTCTCTTCCCCTGTGGGCGTAGAGCAGATGCCATACTCTGGTTCGCCTGGAGAAGGCCGTACAGCTATGGGTGGAAAAACCCGATTTTTCCAGCGGCAGGCATCGGGTTTTTTATTTAATACAATTAAACCCGATTTCGGGGAATTAAAACCTGGTTTAATGAATACGAAACTCTGATCCAAGGCTTAGGCTGCTTCCTCGTCGGTGCTGCTATCGTACTCGGGGGGGCCGTCGGGCACGGGGTAGTCGTAGAATGCGGCGGGCAGGTTGGTCTTGATGAACACGAGGAGCTTCTCCTCCACAATCGTGGGCGCCAGTGAGTTCCTGAGCTTGGAATGGATGAAGCCCATCGTTGAGAAGTTGGCGAAGTGCGGTTCTGCAAATAGAACCAATTAAACCGGATTTCTCCCAATCTCTCAGATCGGGTTTAATATAAAAAGACAATTAACCCCGATTGTAAAAAACCCGACTGTGCCACCCTTGCGTACAGCAAATGTTGACTCCACCTGTCCGTTCTGTACGGGACAGAAGAGTGTTGTCACCTCCTGTACGTGGGGTTTTCTCCAAGTGCTCCGGTTTCCTCCCCAAGTGTAAAAGCACTCAATAATTGGCCAATAACACCTTAATGTACAGAGAACCGCGGAGCTTTGAGGATTGAATTTTGTGCCTGCTCACCACTTGGCTGCTGCCTTTCCCGCTCGCCTTTGGGTTCTGTCTCTTCGCGAGCGATCGAGCCGATGCTGGGCGGTGCGTTACAAGCCGATGCTATCTTCTTGGTTCTTTCGGTAAAGTCACGTAGATGGGAAGTAATAAAATAATAAAAATAAAACATAATAAAAACATATTTTATTATGTTTTATTTTATTGTTAATTACGTGTGGCTGAAATTACTTCCCTTCTACGTGACTTTACCGAAAGAACCAAGAAGATGAATCCCTGCAGTCACGAAAGCTTTAAATCGAAATTTAAGTCGATGTTACTTTTATGGCAACGCATAAAAGTAACATCGAGAGATCTCCGAATGGATTCTCCGTCCCATGATAAGTGACGCCGACAGCGCGCAGGGAATACAATTGGGGGGTGGGGTGGGGGGAAGACGCCAAACCAAAATCGTCAACAAGAAAACAAAAAAACTCTTCCTGTTGTTTTTTGCCCCGCCTCCACCGCCCCCATCCTTTTATTAGAATCAATAAAAGGTCAGAGTATAAAACATTTGCAAACATGTAACTAATTCCAAGGACAGACATGGCGTTGATATTGTTATGCGCTGCGGGGGTTATGCAAAACCTCGTGGTCAAAGCAAACACTTTCACTCAAAAATGGTCCTCATTACATTATTTGAACTTAGACTTGGCACGTGTGTGTGTGCGCGCGCGTGCATTCATAACGCTGCACGGGTACGTTAAAATTAGCACCACGATCCGCTTATTACTTGCACGAGCCACCAAATCTGGGCTCTGTTTCCACAATAAACTCATTTACACTGAGACCTCCTTTACCAGTGGCAAAATATAGTAGTAGGTTTTTACCCTTTAAACTGGTACAAAACTGACACCTTTATACAAGGCATCATGTTTTCAATAACCACAACACAAGCAGTCAAAATGCAACTCTGATAATGATATGCACTGTCCTTGAAGTTGATTGGTCCACACCCGAGACAGCTTTTTTTAGAGCCTAGTCTCCATTGGTGTTGGACCAGAAGACGCCTTTTGATGCCTTTTGGCGTCATCTGGTCCAACACCAATGGAGACTAGGCTCTAAGAAAAGCTGTCTCGGGTGTGGAACAATCAACTTCAAGGACAGTGCATATCATTATCAGAGTTGTTTCTTTTTGTTTGCATTTTGACTGCTTGTGTTGTGGTTATTGAAAACATGATGCCTTGTATAAAGGTGTCAGTTTGTACTAGTTTTAAGGGTAAAACCCTACTACAATAAATTGCGAAGGGTTTTTTTTGTGCGTGCCAAGGATGACACGAGCGAGGTCGCGTTCCATTGAGATTTTGACGGCGACTGAAAAAAAAAGTTCAGTGGATTTTTACAAACGGGCGCTAAGACGGACATCGCACATTCGGACACAACCGTGAACCTCGACTCTCCAACGAGACGTTATCCTCGTCACCGTCAACCAAGCAGGCCACAAGCTGCCGTTGCTGCTTGCGCACTCTCTGTGTGTGATGTGATGTGCTTACGTGTCTGGCCACAGTTTATTCCCAACTGCTAAGTCTCCAGATTGTTAAATGTTGCGCGGATCGCCCTTCCCAACGTCGCGGCGTGCTGAAGCAATGATAGAATTGGCGAATTTGTTCATCACGTGACAACTTTATTTATTTGGCTGTGTCGGGTGGAGGAGGCGCGCACGACACAATATTAGCATCAGACTCACCCCAAACTGATCAATTATGAAGCAGACTCTTGCTTTCATGGCATTAAGGACGGAATAATCACCCCAGACATAATGAATTGCAGCAAGAGACAACAACAATAACAATTACCGCGTGAGCCCCAGCATCACGATGCACAGCTGTTTACACACAACACAAATAACACGTGGTCTGCATATTAGCCACTCTGTCATCAGTCACCTACCCCCGTCCCCCTTCGCATTTCCACGTGCGCAGGCGCTGCTGCCATATCGCTGGAAGATTGCCCCCCACCCCCACCCCGTTCGATAATCGATAATTGTTTATCCGGCCGTGCAGCAAGCGAGCAAACGGCGTTGGAGCCCGAGCTTGTCGAATGTGAGTGCAACAGCAACGAAAACAGACTGTAATCTACGCTTCTATATCGCAGACATTTGTTCCTGATATATTAATAACAACAACAACAAAGTAAGCTTCGCGGTTCCTGGTAATAAATAAATTGGCATTGGCACGATACGTCGAACGGAGGGAGCGCTGTCGTTTTTAATGACGGCTCGCCATTCGATTTGATAACTCGAGATCCTTAAAAATCACGTACTATATATTGTTGTGGGAATGGGCACACGCGTATTTTGTACACACATACACACAATCTTTCACTAAAGCTATAGATATTCCTTCATTGTTGTTAAAACAAATACTTCCAACTCGGACATTTTCAATGGAGATGCTCTCATGATATGGGAGGTGATTATGATAATACATTCCCATACATCCAATGGGGAAAAAAAACCCCTCACCGGGTCGAAAGGTATTATTATCCCATAAGCCAAGGGTACCACGTGGGGTGACAAATGCTGCCAGTGGGCAATGCCCCCCCCCCCCCCCCCCTAGGCAGAACGCGTGACGTATATATATAAGATCCGTGTTATACATACACATACAGTCCCTATTTATTGTAATATTCCATAGAGGTTCAATATCACAATCGGGTCCCCCCCCCCCTCCAAAATTATATTCTCCCGTACTCCATTAATGACATGGTTCTTATATATTAAAAAAGCTACCACGATCAACGTGCTATCATGTAAATGTGTGATCGATCGTTGAAATACTTCAAGAAAATCATTGTTAGCATTTGCCACCGTAGGTGGTACCGATGATACATTTTCAGGTCAATTGCTCAAGTATCCCACCTTGGGATATTTGGGCCATTCCCCGTTATTTACGTATTTCTTGCATGTCGGGTGAAATTAGAGGACCCAGAGACATCCTATGCGAGTGTGCAGATAATACTTAGACTCGATAGGAATAGGTCGCCAATCTGCTCGCTTTGCTGGCAGGTAAATAATGATGAGATATGATAATTGGTTTTTTACCCTTTTATCTGGCAACAAAACTGACACCTTTTTTTTTGGTTTTGTTGCCAGATAAAAGGGTAAAAAAAACAATTATCATATTTTTGACTGGCAAATGAGGTACCGATGGTGTAAATGATGAGATATTTGACTGATTGGCCACATGGTGACATGCGAAGGCATTAAATCGGAATGTTTTGAGTGTAATGGATTTCCTAATGCACACACATTTGTTTGGATGTTTTGGGTCGTCCCCCCCCCCACCCCGCCGTTAAGAAACCAGTTAGATGAAACTGCCCTCTCCTGACCACCTTAGTATATAATGTGACCCCAAATCGCCCTCAAGGGGCCCAATGAAGCTTCGGGTTTCTGTGGTTGATAAGACCACCACGACACCGGCCTTAGCAGTGATGCGTTTCAAAAGATACGTAGGCTACGCGTGCTGGTGTGCGCTCACGCTCATATATTTTGCCTGTGGTGTGGGAATGGCATTTTCAGATTTTTATTTTACAATATAGTGCAAGTTTTTTTGTTTTTAAGTCGGAGATGCGTGTAGGCTGTAGAAGTAACGACGATCGAAACAGCAGGACAATATAAAAAATTGGGCGACTGGTCCCTTTTCATCAAAATGTAAAACCACCGCGGAGGCGTTACACGCATCTACAGCACACGTAAATTGTACGTTAAAAAAATCTAAGTATGTGTCAAAAGTTCGCCGTTAAATCTGAAGAAGAAAAAAAAAGTCATCAGACGCGTTTAATAAACGCCGCCATGGCGATTCCAACTATAAAAATACGTTAATTTGTACAACATCAAACCAAAAAGACGGAGTGAAAACGAACGCGGTCGTCGCTAACGAGTGTCCACATAAGTTAACGCACAAAGTTACAGACGCGATGGCGGAGCGGCGGGTGTTATTAAAAAAAAGTCTCGTTATTCCGTTGTTCGTCAAGACGCGTGCCCAGTTCCCCCGCTCCCCTTCCGCTAGGTGCTCGGTTACTTTGTAGCGCAACTCGACCGCGAGTAACGACCACAAGCGTCAACCGGCCACACTCCTCCAGACACACACACACACACAACGAGTGAAACACTTGGGGTGCCCGTGTGACATTACGATGAACCGTCGGGGTAAGAAACTGCAACACTGAGAACGACTGGTGGGTGGGTGGTGGGGCGGGGTGGCGGAGAGGTCAATGGGTCACGTTTCACAAAACTATAACATCGAGCAACACAGACAATGGACAACCGTGCCATGGAATCAATGCACACGGGGCCCTCCACGGCACAAACATTACGGCGCGTCTCACTCGTAAGCACGTTTTCAAGTTCCGCGGAGTATTTTTTTTTATTCTCGTTTTTTTTTTTAATATGGCTGCGGGGACAGTCAAACTCATTTCGATGAGTTTTGTGAAGAGGATCGTATCCGCCAGGCGTTGGCGGCTGTAATCCAGCGCTGTGGAGGAAAGCGTTGGTGGATCACACAAATGCCGTGAGATGTCGTGGTCGCCATACCCTTGGCTTGCTAGGAGAAGGCGGTTAGAAGCGAGTGGACTAATCTCCATCTCTTTACATCTGTACGGGGTTAGGAGCGCTGCACAATCCACGCGACCTCCACATGCGCTCCAGTTTACTCTCCCGCATGGTACACGCGCTCGTCTTAGGTTGTCCAAAAACATCTGCGACGATTTCCACCAACGACCCCCCAACGGTCCTACCCACGGGGATTGGAAACCAGTGCTCTGAGAGCATTTTTCAACCCTTCGTAAAATGCCTATTTGTTCTCTGTCAGCCTAGCGTATCTGTTTGTGGTTAGTGGTAGGGTTTGTTCATCTCGTACTATAGGAGTCATGTTCATCAAAGAGTGGCTCAACTCAATCCATCGTGCAAGCCCAAAGTTCTCGTGTAAATGTTGTTGGGTCATCTTTTTTTTTGTTTTTATTCAGAAACGCATTTGGTCTTCAATTTTTGCAGACCGTACATTTATATTCGAGCCATCCGCAATCCGTAAACTATTATATTTCCTCTCTGCAAGTACGCGTGGCAAAGAGAGGAAACATTTGGCGTAGCCAGCTCAGCGCATAGTTTTCTAGCCCTGCATGACATAAATGAGCAATGGCTATACTGCAAGTGGTGCAAGTCCAAAACAAGCACATTATTGGTATTTTTGTTTGTCGATGGGGACAAAAAAAGACAGCCTGTATGCGGACGTGTGCGACACGCACCTTGGGCTACATCTGCGTTTAACTGCGATATCACATTTTAATTCTCGATTGTGCGTGTTGAAAAGCCCGATGACACATTCGAAACAATTTGACACCACGAGTTATTTATATGTGCGCACGTTCTAACAATACTCTCGCAGTCCCAAAACGATGAACACTCATCTCCCCTCCAGAGACCGACGAAAGAGAACCGATGAAAAACCTCATCATCTTTTCGCACGCTCGCTCTGAGTTTATTAACCATTGTTATGGATGGGACGTTTCCTTAAAATGCAGAGAAACTGTCTCTTTTTCTTTCGTTCGCTTGTAAGCAATTTAATAATTTTTTGACAGGGGGGTGGGGGGGGGTCTGTTTTGTCATCGTCTGTATCAAGAGATGAGGAATCCCTTTGGAAATCTTGCAATTAAAAAAAGCGCCCGATATACTTTTAAACGGCTGCAGAATAATGTTTCGTTACTGACCTCAAAAATCCTACAACAGGGTTGGCCATCACGATGTTAACGATTGCTTGATTATTTATTCACAAACGCCCGTGGAATGTTTGGCCATTTGTACAAATGCCTTTATTTTATCTTTCATCAAAGTAAACTCTTAAGATGTTGTCGCCCCCCCATGCATCAGTTGTGACGCTCGCCTGCCAATGGGGCTCTCAGCAGGTTCAAAATAAAGTCCATGGAACCGACGCGTTTAAACGTACTCGCTCGGCCCATTCGCAAAAAAATATAATCCGTGGACTTTGTCGCTCAGTCATTTGGCCATTATCCTTATCGTCGCTCCGGTTACTGTATTTAAAACATTAAAAACCTTGGCACTCTGCTTTTAGGAATGTTCTGTAGTGCACCATGCCACCGACCTTCACACACACAAAGACAAAATATCCCCCGTATAGCCTGAACAGACTGTAGGGGCATGTGCTGTTAGCGAGCACCTATGAAAGGCCGGCACAGCACACGAGGAGATGGGTGGGCCAGCACCACGCCCGGCCGCCTTTGTCTCCCCAGTGGCGATTTTTATACATCACACCAGGTACTTATTTGAGGCTGAGTCGACCTAGGCGAGGCCCATGACCGGTTCAGATAATCGCCACTGGTGTTGGCCGTGAGCGGGAATCGAACCCGGGTCGCCGGATTCGTAGCGCAGCGCGCTAACCGCTACACCACCGCTCCCCACACACACTGACACACACACACTGACACAGTGACACATACACACACACATGTCAAACCTCTATCTCGCGTAAGGTAATCAGGCTTGTGCGTGTCACAGACTGGCCCGAGAACCCAGCACCGACAGGCAAGACGAAATAAAATTCCAGAGCCTCAAATGCCGTGCGGCTGGATCGAGTCCCCCTCCTTGTGACTTTTCAATCCAGAAAAGTGGGTGTCGTGTTGCCGCGGCTTAAGGACTTCTTTCATGTCGCTCGTTTGGGTGTGTCGCTCGCACCGTCAAAGTGTTGAACCTCGTCTCTTAATAATAATAATAAGGGGGGCCCCTTTAATCTCACCCGCGGTGATGCTGTGCAGTTGGTATTTACGTTCATTAGCCGATCGGGCGTGTGCGTCTGAACTGAACTGGCGTGCTCGGTTCTGCACTGGAGCACAAGGGAAAAGCCACCGTAAAAAAAATAACACCGCTGCAACCAATCGGTTTAGATATCGCAGGTCACGGTCACGGGTGCGCTCATGTTTTAAACTATCGGCACACGAATCGGTTGACGGGTGGTTGACAGGGCTCCTATTACATCGCGGGATCTTGAAGGGATTGGCGGCAGTCCGGGCAGGCCTTCATCCAGTGGTGCGTTGACCAGGGGCTTCTGATGGAAGATGATGATTACATCGACAGTCAGCTTTAGAAGCAATCGAGTTTGTTGCTTTTATCTACTTTGTAAGCCGGGTCCCCCTTGTAAAGGTCGACGTTAAGCCGCAATGGGCTCTCGCCTGGTCATAAATATTCTGTCGTTCTGGATTCGGGGGTCAGGCGTAGAGTTGCCCGACTGACGTGCGCGTTGTCTTCCGAAGAGCGGCATTATTTCCAGGGACAACGGCGGTCTTTCGGTTGCGCGGAGCTGCAAGCCGTCCTTGGCAGAAGTTAGCGGAATGTGCACCCTTGCACGGGTGTAATCTTACGGTAAAAAAAAAGAAAGAGGGAGGAAAAAAAAACCGCTTTAAAACTAAATATTATTTTTTCAATGTCGTGGTCCAATTGCGCCGTGCTGTCAAGGAGAGGCTCGCGAAGTGGTCGTTCAACTCTGGGGAGCTGCGGGCGTGGGTGTACGGCGAGTTTCTGTTACGGAGGGCGAGGGGAAGCAAAGGGAGAGTGAAAGGATGGAGTTGCTGGAAATGAGGGGGTTTAGCAGAGAATAATGATTGACCACCGCTGATGAGATAGGATTGCCTGCCGAGCAGGCAGAGTCAAGCTTTCGCTGAAGCCACAAACATGAAAAGCCCACTTCAATTTCCTCCACCCCAATTATCCGGTTTGTTACTTTGTGGGACAAATCCCCGCTGTTAAGTGCAGCGTGTTGTGCATCGTGAAAAACAACCGCGAGCACAGGGGAGTTACATTTGCGTTCGCTCCACGTGGTTCGCTTTGCGTTGCTTGTTCATCTGCTGCGATTATCTTCACTGGGATGATTCACGGTCAACCCCGGTACGGTTTAATCATGATCTGCCAAGGGACAATCGTGGTTCCTCACTCCCTCCTTTCGATCCAAACTCCTGCGGAATGACCACGGCCCATTCTCTCGTCACATCTGCGTGGCTTATCGCGCTCGATGGGGCAATCGCCGACGCTGGGTCGAGTCAACTCGTTTCTCTTGACGCAGGATTTTACGATTTCGTTCACTTGGCTGCTGCAGTTAGTTGCACGATTACCGACACGGAATAAATGCTTGGAATTTACAGAAGGTTTGGCAGTACGGATTAAGCAACAAAAAATGCTTGCTTTTAAGCTTTAATCTGATTCAAGTTAACTTGATGGTAAACGCCCATCCACCAGCAACCACCGAACCGCTGTCACTGTACGATGGTGACGAGGGGGCAGGGCTTTTAGGCCAAGTTACTCTAAACCAGAGAGAACGAGGCAAGGTATTAATAAAAAACAAAACAGAATACGAATAAAAAGTAAAAAAACATTTTTAAAAAGTCCTTCAAGTACAGCCTTTGTTAATTAAGTTAATAAATTGTCTACGACATATGCCTGGGGTGAAGCAATGGTACAGCGGCAAGCGCCCTGCGCTACAAGTCCGTCCACCTGAGTTCGATTCCCCACCGCTGCTAACATCAGTGATGTCATCTCTAAACCGGTCCCGTGCCCTTCAAAAATCTCGCACTGACCTTGGTCAAGAAAGTTGCACAACTCCCATGACCACAAGAACAAAGTCGGGTGTAGTTCATCCAGCAGCGGATTGATTAACGGGCTGTCAATTCTCACCAACCGTTCCACGGTCTGAAATCTAAACAGACGGTCGAGATTGAGACACGACTCAAAAATGCAGTCTTGTACATTCCCGCGATCAATTCCGGGGCTGCCTCTCTTGGCCCGCCAACGCTTGCCGGCAGCTGTAGAGCCACTTGATGATTCGCGCGTTGCGTTCGATGACCGACACCATGGAGGGCGAGTGATCGGCGAGGTCTGGATCGGCGTCGGGACCCTCCCCGGGTCCCGCGCTGCTGCGCCGCGCCGACAGCCCGTCGAAGTCGGGATCGTCCCACTGCGCGCTGCTGCAAGCGCGCCCCTCCTCGTGGCGCTCCCCGCGCCCCTCCTCGCTCTCCGTCGCCATCAGGTCCGCCGCCGTCGCTTCAAAGTGCGCGGAGCGAGCGCGCTCCAGGCACGCGGTCGGGGGGGGTTCCACCCCGCAGCCGTCGAAGAAGGCGGCGGCCGTGTCGGCTCCGCGCCCGGCGACCACCGGCGCTGTACACGACGCGGAGAGGAGCGCGGGAGGAGGGGACGAGCTGCAGGCGAGCGTCGGTCCCGAGCGGCACACGAACGCCGACTCGGGCAGCGACATGGGCCGCGTGGGCCTCCGCCGCGATCCGACCACGTCCGTCGTCTCGGACGAGCGCGCCTTCGGCTCGCGGGGAACGTCGGTGCCGTTGGTGCTCGCCAGCACGCCGGGCTCCCCTGCGAGACCCCGCTGGTGGTGATGGTGGTGTCGGTGATGGCTGCTTGGATTTTGGGAACAAAGATGCTGCTGCTGCTGCTGCTGGAATTCTGGCAAGGCCACTTTAGGTTCCTCGTTCTCCGCTTTGCCTCGGGGCCTGTGCTCGGGCGAGCTTTTCATCGGCTGGCCGCCGGACGGCAGGAGAAGTCCCAGGGATTGCTCCTTGGTGCTGCCCATGCCTTGGAAGAACCTTCGCAGGAACTTGACGTGGCCGGCCTTGAAGACGGAGCCATCGTTCCCGTTGGAGTCGACCCCTTGGGGTTTTTCCGAAGCCTCTGGCCAGCACGGTGGGGCAGAGGGCTCCGGCCCGACCCGGCCGCCCCCTTCACAGTGGCCGCCCTCGCCTCTGTCGGCGCACGGCGATCTCTGCAGGTCGTTGATGGCGTTGTTGAGCACCTCGAGGTTCAGGTTCTGGCCCCCTCCGTTTGCGGTGCCGTTCGCCGCGTCCACCTCGTCTTCATCGTCGTCGTCGTCATCCTCTCGGTGTCCGTCACAGGCGCCGCCGCCGCCACCGCCCTGGGGCGGGCTCGGCTCCCCGTCGCAGCGCGGCTTCACGTACTTGGCACGATCGGCCTCCAGACGCTCGCGCACGCTTACCCTGCCGCGCTGTGACCCCTCGAAGTGCAGCCGTAGGTACTCGGGTCCTTTGCTCAGAATGCGCATGCAGTGCAGGGGGGCCCCTGGGGAGGCCGGGCAGGGTCTGGCGGGCCTGGTTGGCCTAGCGAGCCTCTGCTCTAAGCCCACGCCGGCCGGCATGATGTCGTTCTTCCCAGGACTGCCAGATTGGGCGATTTTGTGCGCAATTGGACGGTGTTGTATTTTTCGTTAAGCTATTCTGAAATGTGTTTGAGAAAAAAAAACTGCTTTTAAAAAATCGCGTGGCTTTTTTGGGGCTCAAATATGGAAAATGGGGGCACTTTTGGGCTCTTCTGTCCAAAGTTTTGGCGCTATTTTAGCAAAAAAAAATAATTGGCAGTCCTGTTCGTTCCTGCCTCGCTCACCAAACGCCAGATGCACTAGGCCAATTTTTCCGGATTATTTTTTTCTCTCTTCTGAATTTTTTTTAGCGGTTACGGAGCTCGAAATCTGTGTCGCCGCCTCCGTTGCTAAGTATTCGCTTTATCAAAGCTCGGCAGCGACGTTTGTTACAAAAAAGAAAATTATTTTGGTTGTAAGTAAATACTTGCTGGAGGCTAATGCAAAACGCGAGTTTACATTTGCCAGCATTCAACCGAGAATGATAAATTAGAAATGTGGAAAATGTAGTGGCGTATTATTATTTTTGCAAGACCTGCTTTATCCCTCCACTCGTTTTCCCGTAATGGATGTTGGCGATGGCGGCGCGATGTGGAATAACCCTCGCACAGCGGGTCCCGCTCGCTTCAATATCAAAACCACTTCCAGTGACGTTAACGTCTCCTTTGGGAGTCGGAGTCTTCCGAACGACCAAGCATAATAACGGCTCGTGGGGGGGGGGGGGGGGGGGCGCGTCCTCGAATAATAACTTCTGCTGCACGCCGTGTCTTGATTTATCGGTCATGCGGTAGACCCCTGTTGTCTTGCAGCCTTTCTGCTTCCTGTAGGAATAGTTGTCGGGGGCTTGTGAGCTCGTACGGTTCTCCACGACCGGGGAGGCCGCATCAACCGAGCGTCCCTCGACCGCAGATCCGAGAAGAAAACTGAAAAAGCAAAACGGAGGGGAAACAGACCGGCAGCAAACGGAAACGTCAAAAGCATAACTCCATCGGAACATCTAACCACTGACGCAAACCTCTCCCTCCGCCGACGGACGCTGTAGGAGTGTTGGTGGTACAGTGGCGGGTTTAAAAACGTGTCATGTTTGTGCACTCTAATGAATACGAGCCTTTCACAAATGGCCAGCCGAGGTAAAACAAACGCTTGCATTTGGCCCACCACGAGAGCGTGTTCTGTTTTGGGTTCCCCACCCCGTTCCCAGCCCAAAGAAAGTGGTTTCCAAGCCGGCAACGCTTTCTCAACAACAACACCACCGCACTGTGCCGGACTGCCACCTTTTCCACACGCGGTACCCAAGGACCCAACTCTCCGCTCTGCGGTGAAGTGCCCTTCGTTACGTAAAGTAGGGTGGTGTGTGGGGCCCAGCGCTAACGCAAGTGGTCGGGCCTGCTGTGCTGTGGCTACGGACCACCCTTGGGCGAGGCCGGGTTCAATCTCTGGCCACCACGGCCAATATCAATGGAGATCATCTGGAGCGGTCGGTCCTGGGCTTCCGCAAGGTCAACTCCGGCCTTACATGGGCAGCACCTGGGTGGCCGTGTTGTAAACATTAGCACAAGGGCCACACCATCATGGTACTGGCAATGTTATCACGGGTCTGACCACACCACCTGGGTTCTGACCACGCCACCAGGGTTCTTGCCACACCACCACGGGTCTGACCACCCCACCAGGGTTCTTGCCACACCATCACGGGTCTGACCACACCACCAGGGTTCTTGCCACACCACCACGGGTCTGACCACACCACCAGGGTTCTTGCCACACCATCACGGGTCTGACCACACCACCAGGGTTCTTGCCACACCACCACGGGTCTGACCACACCACCAGGGTTCTTGCCACACCATCACGGGGTCTGACCAGACCACCAGGGTTCTTGCCACACCACCACGGGTCTGACCACACCACCAGGGTTCTTGCCACACCATCACCGGTCTGACCACACCACCAGGGTTCTTGCCACACCACCACGGGTCTGACCACACCACCAGGGTTCTTGCCACACCATCACGGGTCTGACCACACCACCAGGGTTACTGCCACACCACCACGGGTCTGACCACACCACCAGGGTTCTTGCCACACCATCACGGGTCTGACCACACCACCAGGGTTCTTGCCACACCATCGCGGGTCTGACCACACCACCAGGGTTCTTGCCACACCACCACGGGTCTGACTACACCATCACGGGTCTGGCCACACCACCACGGGTCTGACTACACCATCACGGGGTCTGACCACACCACCAGGGTTCTTGCCACACCATCACGGGTCTGGCCACACCATCACGGGTCTGGCCACACCAATGTGGTGCTGGGCACACCATTATACCGCTGTAACTTCACCGGTGTGTTTGCTAGGCGGGAGAGCGATGTCACAGTTTGCTTGTGGAAGCACACAAATACAATGCCAGCTCGCTTACACTTGCACACGACACCACTGTGTGTGTATACTGTGTGTGTGTACACTGTGTGTGTGTGTGTACACTGTGTGTGTGTGTGTACACTGTGTGTGTGTACACTGTGTGTGTGTGCACTTTGTGTGTACACTGTGTGTGTGTGTACACTGTATGTGTGTACACTGTGTGTGTGTGTGTACACTGTGTGTGTGTGCACTTTGTGTGTACACTGTGTGTGTGTGTACACTGTGTGTATACACTGTGTGTGTGTGTACACTGTGTGTGTACACTGTGTGTGTGTGCACTTTGTGTGTACACTGTGTGTGTGTGTACACTGTGTGTGTACACTGTATGTGTGTACACTGTTTGTGTGTGTGTGTACACTGTGTGTGTGCACTGTGTGTGTGTGTACACTGTGTGTGTGTGTTCACTGTGTGTGTGTATACACTGTGTGTGTGTACACTGTGTGTGTGTACACTGTGTGTGTACACTGTATGTGTATACACTGTGTGTGTGTGTACACTGTGTGTGTGTGTACACTGTGTGTGTACACTGTGTGTGTGTGTACACTGTGTGTGTATGTATACTGTGTGTGTACACTGTGTGTGTGTGTACACTGTGTGTGTGTACACTGTGTGTGTACACTGTGTGTGTGCACTGTGTGTGTGTGTACACTGTGTGTGTGTTCACTGTGTGTGTGTGTACACTGTGTGTTCACTGTGTGTGTATACACTGTGTGTGTTCACTGTGTGTGTGTACACTGTGTGTGTATACACTGTGTGTGTGTACACTGTGTGTGTGTGTTCACTGTGTGTGTGTGTACACTGTGTGTGTGTGTACACTGTGTGTGTTCACTGTGTGTGTGTGTACACTGTGTGTGTTCACTGTGTGTGTGTACACTGTGTGTGTTCACTGTGTGTGTGTACACTGTGTGTGTTCACTGTGTGTGTGTACACTGTGTGTATACACTGTGTGTGTTCACTGTGTGTGTGTTCACTGTGTGTGTGTACACTGTGTGTGTATACACTGTGTGTGTGTGTACACTGCGTGTATGTTCACTGCGTGTATGTACACTGTGTATGTTCACTGTGTGTACACTGTGTGTGTGTGTGTACACTGTGTGTGTGTACACTGTGTGTGTGTACACTGTGTGTGTATGGTCACTGTGTGTGTGTGTACACTGTGTGTGTGTACACTGTGTGTATGTTCACTGTGTGTGTGTACACTGTGTGTGTGTACACTGTGTGTGTATGTTCACTGTGTGTGTGTGTGTACACTGTGTGTGTATATGTTCACTGTGTGTGTGTGTGCACTGTGTGTGTGTGCACTGTGTGTGTACACTGTGTGTGTATGTTCACTGTGTGTGTGTGTACACTGTGTGTGTGTGTTCACTGTGTGTGTGTGTGCACTGTGTGTGTGTGCACTGTGTGTGTATACACTGTGTGTGTGTACACTGTGTGTGTGTGTACACTGTGTGTGTATGTTCACTGCGTGTGTGTGTGTACACTGTGTGTGTGTACACACTGTGTGTGTGTTCACTGTGTGTGTGTTCAGATGGCTGAGAGCTTCCTGAGTGCGGGCACGGCGACAAAAGCAACAAAAGCGGTACAGTGCGGTGGGTGTCTCGCACAGACCACGTGTCTAGCTGATGATGATGATGTCTAGATGATGTGTCTACATGATGATGTCTAGATGATGTCTGCATGTGTCTGAATGATGTATCTGGATATCGCCGGGCCCTGGTGATGGTAGTGGTGGTGGTGATGATGGTGGTGGTGATGGTGGTGGTGATGATGGTGGTGATGATGGTGGTGGTGGTGATGATGGTGATGGTGGTGATGATGGTGATGGTGGTGATGATGGTGGTGATGGTGGTGATGATGGTGGTGATGATGGTGATGGTAGTGGTGGTGATGGTGGTGATGGTGGTAGTGGTGGTGATGATGGTGATGGTGGTGATGATGGTGATGGTGGTGATGATGGTGATGGTGGTGATGATGGTGATGGTGGTGATGATGGTGATGGTGGTGATGGTGGTGATGATGGTGATGGTGGTGGTGATGGTGGTGATGATGGTGATGATGGTGATGGTGGTGATGGTAGTGGTGGTGATGGTGGTGATGGTAGTGGTGGTGATGGTGGTAGTGGTGGAGATGGTGGTGGTGGTGGTCATGGTGGTGGATATGGTGATGGTAATGGTGGTGGTGATGGTGGAGATGGTGGTGGTCATGGTGGTGGTCATGGTGATGATGGTGATGGTAGTGGTGGTGATGGTGGTGGTTATGGTGGTGGTGATGGTGATGATGGTGGTGATGGTGTCCCTGTCAAGTTCGTGGTCAGCCACAGCCAGCACACCACCATCTGTCAAAGCAGACCCCCCCCCACACAAACACCGACACACACACACCGACACACACACTGACACACACACACCGACACACACACACTGACACACACTGACACACACACACACCGACACACACTGACACACACACAGACACACACCAACACACACACTGACACACACACACCGGCACACTGACACACACACTGACACACACACACTGACACACACACAGACACACACACACCGACACACACACAGACACAAACACACTGACACACTGACACACACACCCCGACACACACTGACACACACACACTGCGACACACACCGACACACACACACCGGCACACACACACCGACACACACACACCAACACACACACTGACACACACTGACACACACACACCGACACACACACACTGACACACACACACCAACACACACACTGACACACACTGACACACATCCTCACCTCCACACCCTCCCCATCGCTTCCCTCCCACGCGTTAAATCTCCGCTAAACGACTACGGCTGGCGCCTGGCGTTGGTTCGCACTCCCATCTCTGCACATCCCCTTGCTGCCAGGGGATGATGTGGAGGGTTAGAGGGGGGCTGACTGGCAAGCTTCATTGCCGCGGGTTTAATTATAATCTGTGTAGGTTCGGGCGCCCACTTTTATTAACACAAACAAAGCCCAACACAGACAGCCAAAGTTTGGCTGCGGGAGGCAGAGTTGGATGCAGTTTCACCATCATCATCATCATCGCCATCATCATCATCATCGCCATCATCCGTCTCGCCTCCGATTGCTCTCGCGGGTACCTTTGCACCACGCGCGCTACCTAACTCCTACCGTCAACGACAACAACAAAAAAATAACCCGTAAAAACAAAGTTTTTCACTATAAATCCTTTATATGCGTGGCGGCTAGAGTCCTCTCGTCCTCTGGCTTGAGGTGGCTGCCACCTATGGGTCAGATGATTGCCTGCCACCATTAAGCAATTGGTAATTACATATAATAATTATTTTTTTCCTAAAAAGTGTAAAATTTTGGGGAAAAATTTCACGAAAATAAATTGTCACGCACAACGAGTCTGTGTGCAAAATGTCAGCTCGATTGGATCACGGGAAGTGGGTTAAAAAACGACCGAAAGATTTGCACGGTCGTAAGC